TCAGTGCAATCATTATGATCGTCTATAATGTACTATTCTATAGTAAAATAATATCTAAAGCATGCATCGCATTTTCTTAAAAAAAAAATATGAATTTGATTTTAAAAGTTTGTAAAATTATGCAGGTCCTTATATACCGCACAAACCATCTTATTATTTTACTCGCTCCATCAGATAAGGTTTTAAAATGCATTTCTTTAAAAAAAATCATTAACTCGATAAGAAGGAGTAGCTGCCACTTTGATTTATCTACTACGAAATATTAGAAACAGATAAACTAAAAATCTATATAAAAAATATTAGACAGTACTATTTGTCTAAATAGAAAGATTATCATTTTTATAATATCCCAGAATTGAAATCTCATATATGAAAAGCGTAGTTTGTCAGACAGCTACAGACAAAGGGACCCCAAAGACACAAGAGTCCCCTTTAGACAAATTGGGTAATTGTCGTTTGATACGACCGGAGGTACCGGCCACATGATGCCCGATGAGAAGGGAAAGAAATGGCGATTATTCAATTTGACATCAGTTTTTGATAGATGGGTACGCTTTCTTTGAAGCATTTGAGCTAAATTTCTTACAATATATAATTAAAACGTTTTTTCAAGAATTCCTTTAAAAAAAATCAAATTTTTTTAATTGACCTAATTCATAATAGTAAATATCACATAATCCTATCAATCATCTGATCTTTGAGACAGATCACCCTGAGTTAAAAGTTATGAAATAATGGGCACATGACAATGTTATGTCTTTAAAAGATGTTTAAACATAAGTGCATTAAATATATCTTGGTTTCCTTCTGTTTTCTTTTAAACTAATAAAACAATAATATATCCATTGATATGGAATTCTGCAAAATAACATATAGTTCAGTAAAACTCTTTTAAACTGGTTTACTCGTATTTTTAATTTCGACTTAGATCTAGTAGATTTTTATCCGTCAGTGCAACTAACTGAATGTAGGAAACCTTTGCTCGGAAAACTTTACAGACTACCTAAAACAAATAATTAAATCTAGAACAACAATTTTAAATATGTTAAACTTCTCTTAACCTTTTAATTCTTTATGAAATACTGTATAATACACCTCTATTGTACGGTATCCAAACAAGTTATACAGAGTTCCTGAATTCGTCTCCCACTGGAATGATTTTTCATCTAAATGCACGAGCTAGATCCAGAATTATACTGTCATCATCACAATGATTGTTATTTTCATTTTCATGTCCCTCATAACTAGAGAGAACTTTAAAATTCGTGTCATAAAATTTATGCGATCCAAGAAAAATATGATCTAAATTAGGTATTGTGATTGTTTAATTATTTTACTGGGGATGGTAATTGTGGTAGGTAATGGTAGATAATGTAATTTAATTGGATATTATCTTTCAAATTTTCCATACATACATATTTACATACATACATATCTGTCACGGTTATCTCTCATTAGGGTAGACAAAAACAATGGAACGCCAAATGCTTCGATTCAAACAAACCTTCTTCGCTTCCTCCACATTCATCAATCTTTGCATACATTGCTCGCCGATTACGGGTACTTTTAATTTGGCCTTTTTTCAGTACTTCACCTATTTGGTCGACATACATCCATCTAGGGCTGCCCCCACCGACATCTCCATCCGTTTCGTCGAATAAATTTTCCATTCGTCGAATAATAATTGACTATTGATGCATTTAGAATTCCAAACAATCAAATGGCCTATAATTGATAACAACAGCTGATTCATAGTGTTTGCACATCTATTTGATAATGTTAGGAATCATTTGACCCGGGTCGATCCGGATCCACAATATTGTGTGTGTGTGTGTATGTAACTAACGCGATAATATTGCGCCTTGAACTGTAATCACGTTTGATAATTTTCTAAGTATTTTTAGGTCTCAATACTTATACTGGTGAAATAATTAACATCTTTTTGACCTTACCGATAACTCGTTCAACTGTACCTAGATTCGAGACTTATATCGTCACTAGCTAATTTCCGTGGCTTCGTCCATAGTTCTTCTTGGATTTATCCAAAACTCTTTTTAATTTTAGTGTAATGTTTCTAGTTCGTATCTGATAATTTTCTGTTTCATACCTTAAGTATTTTTTTTAAAGTCTCGTGATGACAAAATTATAACTTTTTTTTTTAATAGAATGAGATAGAATAATCATCTTTATTCAAAATAGTCTTGTTTATTGACTCTTCAAAGTCGTCGCTTTATAATTCTACTCCAGAGTTCGGAAAGCTGTTATTTTTTAAGAAGAACCTGTAAATTAACAGTTACTCTTTTAAATCTCTGTTAACATTATGGGTATTTATTTAAATGTACTATCTCTATAACATGATCATACATTTGTACCTCTCATACATTAATACCACTTATACATTTATACCTTTTTACAATTGGTTACAATGAAATTGTATTACTTAATCATTGCTATCAATATCTGAACTGTAGCAGCATGGATTTTAATTATTTTGTATTTTTTTTTATACAACATAGAATGGCAAACAACCTGACGGTCCGCCTGATGAAAAGTGGTAACCGTCGCCTATAGACATGAGCAGTACCATGGACATAACAGAGTGTACTGTTTCGCCCATGATACCCCCCATGCGTTGCCATTCCTGAGGACTCAGGTGTTATTCCTGTGTACCCAGTAAATTCACGCCATATCCCACCCTTCAAACCGAAACACAGCCATGCAAACACAACTGCTTCACGGTAGAAACACGAATGGGACAGAGGTACCCAGGCAATCGACTTTTGTATAAAGTCTCCCTCTGGTATTTACCTGTCTTTATGGACACTCATTATTATAAATGGTATCTTTCATACATGCACTTATATTACTTGCATACACCCACTCTACTTGCCTGCCTCGCTTTGGAATTATAATTTTTGTTTGTATAAATAAAATCCGTTATTGGCTGTATTCATAAGAGACATAGCATGTAAGTTGTTTTGTGAGAGCTGTGGATTTTTGTGTTAAATAAATAAAAAAAAAAAAAAATTAAAGTCCATGCGTAACATTATGGACGTTTGTCATCTAACTAGTCATTTAGTTTATTTTAGTTATAATTATTTCTTAATGGCGGTTTTAAAATTATTGGTAATTATTGGTATAGATTAAAAATTCTGCTTTAAATGACGCAAATTAAGCCATAACAATCATTTGTGGTAACTAATCTCGTATATATTATCCGTCATCATTTTTCAAATATTTATAATAAATCTCTCGAAAATCTGAGCTCTTTTCAAATATAAACAAATAGCAGTTTCCCGCTTCTTTGTCCGCCTGAATTAGTATATAAAGTACTTTATATGTTAAATTAGGATAAAAAGTTTGCGTGTAAATATTTCATACAAAAAAAATCATACAAGATTACGTATACACACATGTGGAAAAGGTGAGTCTATCTCGATGAAGACAACTTTTGCTCAAAAATTATTATATTACTATACAGGTAAAATATATAATAATATAAATAAAATAATTAACACATACAATACCAATAAATATGTATTTAAGAGAAAGTTATTCCAATGTTTGAGTTCTCTTAGTTATCAATAAATGGAAAATATTATGGAAATAAAATGATAATTAACCTAAATATGCACTTGTATATTGTTTACAACAATATACACAAAACACACACACACATGCAAGCGACCGCACACACACACACACACTCATACAAATACACACACACGCACACACACACACGTGTTGAATCTAAACAAACACAAACACATTTTGCACTTTTTTTTTAATGGATGATAATGGAATAGTAACCCCGCCCGCGCTATCGGTATACACCGGCGGGGCACCAGTGAAGGATGATAGAATAGAATAGAATAGAATAGAAATCATTTATTCAAATAAACTTACATTGAAGCACTTTTGAAAAGTCATTACATTTTTTTTAATTTACCGCTCGTTCGGAAAGCTGTCTCATCACAAGAAGAACGAGCAAGAAACTTGCGTGATGCTCTTTTAAATAATTTTATTATTATTTTACATTTTTAAGTTTAATTGTGTGAATACAAACCACCAATTAGCACTAATTCAATTAAATACTCAAAAAGAAAAAAAAAATTGAATACATAACCAACTGGTTAAACAATTAATAAGAGGAAATCAGTCATAGTGATTAGAGCAGACCAGTCCCTACAAGCAGCACCCGTTCACGAGTATGACGGATGAGCCAGCCATCACTGCGCTCGACCATATTTTGGAGCCCAATGACCCGGCCCACCACGCCGCCACAAGTCTGGACATTTTAGTGAGCATGACTACTCAAAACACTAGACCACGTCAAAGCTACTCACAATTGCCATCTGATAGTTATAGTATTCACATTTTACATAAGAATGCATGCGGCAATTAATACAAAAAACCGCTACGCTTTCATATTTCTAAAATTAATCAATTAAATCAAGAAAGCAATGAGAAAATAAAATTATAACGTTGTATGATAGGTGAGGATGAAGCAGATCAGTTAACTCATCGTGACGAATTCAACAGGAATTGTTCACGATGGTTTCTAGGGGGAACCACGTAGAGGTCGACCTAATAAGGCATATTGCTAGCAATGGGGCTGTCAAACTCCATTGCTAACAATCCCTTTCCGCCCACACATTTTGTACTGTACAGTCGTTTTTTTTTTTTTAAATTTCAATTTACAAACTTTTAAATTTATAATATTAGTAGGGTAGCAGTAATAATTAAATAAAGTAATCCCATAAAGGTTCCGTTTTTACCTTTGTACGTACGGGACCCTAAAAATTAATACAAGTTTTAATTTAATAATAAATTAGTTTATTATTTGTGTCAATTGATATGTCTCTTGTATAACATGACTTATTTATTATCTGATACTACGTGTGGCCAACTCACTTGTTTATTGTACGCGATGCACTCAGTATTATTAATGCCTTAATTGTTTACTTAATTAATTAACATAATTACTTTGTTTGTTACAGATAAGTGTTCGATAGGATGCAAAGGATGTAAGTATCATAAAGACGTTCGTTCTCCTTTAATAGCTCCTGTGTTTTCTCTCCGCGAATCGATAGTCAAGAAGTCATGAATTTTTATAACCATAAATAAACTTATATATTTTTTTATACCGCTGAGGTGGCAAACAAGCATACGGCCCACCTGATGGTAAGTAGTTACCGTAGGCTATAAACGCCTGAAATACCATAGGTGTTACGCGCGCGTTGCCGACCCTGACTATAACTTTTTTTTTATTGGATGGAAATGGAATGGTAACCCTGCCTGCGCTAACGGGATACGCTGGCGGGGCACCAGTGAATGGTGATCGATGAGGATGAAAACAGGCCAGTTAGCCCATCATGATGAATTCATCTGGAATAAATCAAGATAGTTTCCGGGGGAACCGCGTGGAGGTCGACCTGGTTGGGTATATTGCTAGCAATAGGATTCTCAGTCTCCATTACTAACAATCCCTTTCCCCCCGAATATATCTATTTACACCCCATTTAAAGAGCCCCATTTCTGTAATAGTAAATGTATGGAAATGAGAACTATCATGTTACAAATTCCATGAAATACTAATTAGTTTCATAATTTATAAAGACTGGGCAGCATACCATCATATTGACCGTTAACTGTCCACTGCTGAACATAGGTCTCCCCTTGGGAAGTTTCGCCAGTAGTTGCCATGCTTGGCAGGCGAGTTTGCAACCGCAGTTAAGCTTTAGTGATGTTTTAACAGAGACGCTGTTACCCATTCTTTGATTAAGTTCCCTTAACCGTCTTTTCAAACACCTACAGAAAAGAAAGGGGTGATTCACTTTATACCGAGATCTTATAGCGATTTCTATATGTTCTCCTTTAACCAAAGGTTGTCTGTAAGAGATAGCTCCCCTAGCGATAAGACCGCCTTTCCTACTGTTAAATTGTTTATATTACATCGTTTATTTGTGTTTTTGGTGCAATAAGGAGTTAAATAAATCAATGTTTTTTTGTATAGTAAGATAAAATGTTTATGAATAATTTAGCAGCTCATAATTTCCCAACAGCTGCTACGGCACCGACATTTCTGAATGGACATAAATACAACTATGGCGTGGAGGGTACAGTCTCCATATTCCTCTCTGGCGCTGACAAACAGGAAACTAGCGTGAGGCTCCTGGGACAGGTCTCTGTCACTGCCATCGGCAACTGCGTCAATGAGCTCACTGTACAGAACTTGGCAATTTCCGGTCCTAACGGCAAGGTCAGTATAATTTAGAAGTATTTCATTATTTTTCTTTGGAAACTCTTTATAATTTAAGAAGTTATTTTCAAGTAAAAAAAAATAATCTCAAAAATATTTCTGTGAGAAGCAATCCGTCGACCATTCTAAAATCACAGCCAATATCGGATCTTTAAGTTTAAGGCGAAACTTTGTGTTCCTTTGTATATTCTATCGCTTGTATAATAAATTGTGTTTTGAGAAAATGTTCGAAATGATACCACAGCTACCTTTTATTACAGGAAATTTGTTCTCATGCGCTGGAACCTAAATGGTCGCATACAGTGCAGTTTCAGAAGAGTCGACAATATCTAAAATCTTACAATTTTGTTACAGAAATATCCATGCCCCACTGGCATAGAGAAACCAGTCCGTTTCACCATTCAGGATGGCAGAGTTGGCCCTGAGATCTGTGTAGAGGAAGACGACAGCCGTCGAGCTCTGAACATCAAGAGGGCTATTATTTCTCTGCTGCAGACAGAAAACAAAGCTTCGGTTCAGGTAATATATTCTTAAAATCCCATAATCTGGCATTTTCATTCCTAGTTGACTATTAGTCATACTTTACAATATTGGTCATTGACTAAAATAATAAAGCACAATACGAATACACTATTGTAAAAGAAAAAAACTGGAAAATACATTTTCCTGTACGAGTATGTAGCGCCATTATCGATTGCAGATGGACCATTTTTTTACAATTCCAGATAAAAATCTATCTCCTAGAGATATTTATTCGTCATCGGTAATAGTATTTACTTCTTTGTTTAAATGTCATTTCTTTTTGAAGAAATAAATATTTTTAAATTTGTGCGGAGATCAAAAATTGCATCTAACAGTCCCGATTTGTATGACATTCTGCGGATAAGAGTAGAAAGGAATAATAACAGGTTTTCTGACTCTATTACCAGGTTTACAAAGTATAATTACAATGAAATGTCCCTTGGCTTCCAGACGGACATCTTCGGTACATGCCCCACGGAGGCCGTGTCATCGCAAGAAGGCGGTTCCGTACTTCTTCACAGAAACAGGGATCTGTCTCGATGTGCATACCGTGAACAGGGCAAGAATGAACTTATCACAGCTGTCTACAACCCTACCGCTGTAAGTACAGTAAAAACTAATCTATTCTTTTTTTTTATACAACTTAGAATGGCAAACAAGCTGACGGCCCACCTGATGGAAAGTGGTAACCGTCGCGTATAGACATGAGCAGTACCATGGACATAACAGAGTATACAGTTTCGCCCATGATACCCCCCATGCGTTGCCATTCCTGAGGACTCGGGTGTTATTCCTCTGTACCCAGTAAACTCACGCCATATCTCACCCTTCAAACCGAAACAAAGCCCTCCAAACACAACTGCTTCACGGTTGAAACACGAATGGGACAACCCAAGCAAATGACTTTTGTACAAAGTCTCCCTCTGGTACTCCTTAACATAGTCCTTCATTGTACGTTTTTCAACCAATCACATTTTACTGGTATAAAGAACGTGATCAAAATAGATTTTTTTAAAGAATGATAATGGAATGGTTACCCCGCCTGCGCTATCGGTATACGCTGGCGGGGCACCAGTGAGGGATGATAAGTGAAAATAAAGCAGGTCAGTTAGCTCGTCGGAATAAATTCATCAATGAATCAATCACGTTTCCTAGAGAAACCGCGAGGAGGTCGACCTGATAGGGTATATTGCTAGTAATAATTGCTAATCCCATTCCTAATAATCTCTTTTCCCCCCGATCAAAATAGATTGGAACTAGGTCGGCGCGCACGTGACACTCCTAGTATTGCAGGCGTCTATAGGCAACAGTGATCGTTTACCATCAGACGGGCTGCATGCATGTTTGTAGTTTAAAAAAAGAACTGCAGTAACCAAGTTTTGTTGAAATTATGAAAGAAATGATCTGTAAATCAAATTACGAGTAGCAATAAATGAAAATACGCATTTAATTAATCAATTGTTGTTACTATTATTCAAATGCAATAATAGTACAAATAGTAGACTGTCTTATGCCTGAGTCAGTTATTTATTTGTTAATTTTATTAATTTTAATAAAAATACTACATTAAAACTATTTTCAAAGAAAAAATTTTCAAAAAAGAAGAAAGTTTTCAATTTTATTGTATTATTTTATGTTTTTTACTTAATAACTCTGTCAGTTTTAAATTAATTTGGAAAATTCTTTCTTTATCTGAAAGTATGTATTTATATATTGGTTGCGTAGAAATTTTACTAAAATCAGTTTAATAGTTTAGTTTTTTGATAAAAAAAAAAACCGATTTTGTCACAATTGCAATTGGTTTTTGTGGGCCACAATTTTGAATTATTATTTGGTTTAGTACTCGTAAATTCTATATTATAATTTACTAAAATATTGGAATTTCAACTATAGGTACAATGTTGTTTTTTCCGTTCATTGAAATATTTTTATTTTATTTTAATTTATGTAGAGTAAAACTTTAGTGTACCATATTTTATGGCAGGAAATCAAGAACAGTCAAGTCCTCCGCTCCATATTGAACGTGGAATCGAAGGTGAACCATGGTGTCCCAGAAAAAGTGGCCGCAACTGAGGAGTACCTGTACAGACCATTTTCGGTTGGCGACAATGGTGCTAAAGCGAAGGTGTTCACCAAACTGACACTGACTGGCAAAACTAAGGCTGGCGGTGCATCCAGTATGTATTATTCTTCTATATATTCATCACTGTTCTTTACAGCGTGGGTAGAGAGAACAGTGTCAATTCTGCTAAAATATCGTATTATTTTAAACACCAGTTTCGAAGACACTTTTCCTCTCTCAATATTGTAATGACCTTAAAAACATGTATAAACCATCATATGGTTTGCTTTATATCTATATAAACAATGATAATATTATATTACGAATTTAAAAAATATAATAAGCATATAGTAGTAACAGACTACTGCAGTAAAAATGTTGTTATTGTAATTAGCTGATAGTTCTCTAACCAAAATGTTAATACTACCATAATGCAACATGGCATCGATTACGATATGCCATAAGGAACTGAGCTCGGCGTTTGTACACATTTTTCATAATAGAATGAATAATAAATGTCATGAGTCAGAACACAACAGACAGACAGGATACATTATGTTTCCTCCAAAAGATTACATTAGAATAGTAAAAAATATGGACGCTATCGCTGAAAACGATAAGGGGCTAAAAGCAATAGAAAGCAGTATTCTATACTATCTCCAGTTTATCAGTAAGCGTGGTCGTATTAATAAATTTTTATTGAATATTACATGACCGCTCGTACAAATCTTGTACGTCTTTGTTTGTGATTATCTTTGTTAGTAAAAAATGTTGTCGACTGTTCATTGGAAATTTGTATAAAACAAATTTCTTAATTATATCCTTTCTTTCATTCATTATTTTTCGTTCAATATTTAAGAGCCACTCTCGTGTCAGAGACGTTTATGCTATTTGCAACTTTCTTTCAACTTTATCTTTTATCAAACTACTTGATATTTTTAAATTTATACTTACAAAATTGTTTACAATCAGAATTAAAACCAAATCATTAAATTAAATTATCAACCAAAACTACTAAATCTAGAAAGTTAAAATTTTGAACATAAATCTATTTCATAAGGTAAGTATCTGCTAATGAGGGATTTTAAAAATTTAGTACAAAGGGGAAACACAACATTATGCATACAAAGTTGGAGAAAACAACTAGTAAAACAAATATTAGTTGTAAATTTATAAAATTTACTTTTGTAGACAAATGCACACGTAGTCGAACTATCATCTTCGAGAATCCCCATGGTGCTGCCGTAGACAGTAATGCCGATGCCGCCGTGGCTGGCGTCAAGGAAACAGCTAAGAACCTCGCCAATGAGGCTAACTCCAAATCAGCTGGACTGTTCGCTCAACTAGTCAGGGTATGCATAAATATAATATTTTTAACGTATAACATTTTATTGTTAATAATTTTATGTGTATCTCTTAAAATATAAGTAATGATTCAAGTGAAATCAATACGTAATGATTCAATTAAAATTGTTATAATATTTTAATTTCCAAATTAAAAATTTAAAACTGCATATTGTATCTCATTGTAAAAGTAGATTACTAGTATCTAAAGCAAAATAATAACATTTTGTAAGTTTTACATTAAAAATAAATGTATTAAACTATTAAGATTTTTATTAAATTAGATATTTAGATAACTAAATAAAAAAAAAAATTTGGAGAAAACTTGTGAAGGCACTTATAATAGCGAAACATATTAATTTGATTTAATATGCTGGAAAAATGAATTTTAATAAATTGCACACTAATATTAATTTTTTATTTTATTTTAGATTTTCCGCAACACGAACAAAGAAGATTTACTGAAGGTATACAATCAAGTCAAGGGCAACAATTTGGAGAAGTGAGTATGCAATTTTTTATTCAACAAATTAATATTTAATCAGAAAAAACCCCATCGGAGAATAATACAACTTGATGAAATATAATTTTAAACTATAATCATTAAATATCCAATTTAAACAGCTTCATTGAAATTGATCATTTTGTTGAAAACTACGATACTATAGACAGATTCAAACCTGTATTAAATGGATTATTATTAAAAGAGTATATTTGTACATGCCATATTTCCTCAATTATATTAATAGATATAATAGAGAAAATATGGCATGATTAAACTCTAGCAACAGAAATTATTGAACATTTTAAAATTGCAACTCAAAAAGATGCGTAACAGATGACTTATTTCACTTTTTCAGACAAGTATATTTGGATGCTCTATTACGAGCTGGCACTGGCTACAGCATTGAGGCCTCCGTGTCTATCCTCAAGAGCAAAGAGCTAAGTCCTGTGGCTGAACAATTGGTGTATCTCTCTCTAGGAAACGCCAGACACGTCAATAGCGAAGCTATTAAAGCCGCCACTGTTAGTATAAATCCCATTAATGTTTTAAATTCTACTATTTTGTCACCATATTGTTGCAATTAATGACATTTTTCTCTTGTAGGGTTTATTGGACAATCCACGTATTCCTAAAGAAGTCTATCTTGGAATTGGTGCACTTGCTGGTGCGTACTGCAGGGAACACAACTGCCATACAGTAAAGTCTGAGGGTATTACTGTTCTGAGTCAAAAGCTCGCTGCAAAATTACAGAATTGCAAACCCAAGTCGAAGGTTGAAGAAGATGTTGTAAGTCTCATTTCACAAACTAATTTAAATAAATTCGCACAAAACATTATAGATTCCATTTTAAATTTCATTTCTTCTTGCAGACTGTGGCTGTTCTTAAGGGCATCCGTAACATTCGACACTTGGAAGACAGTTTAATTGATAAGTTGGTCAGATTCGCTAACGACAACGGTATCAAGCCCAGAGTTAGGGTAGCAATACTAGAAGCATTCCAAGCAGATCCATGCTCAGCTAAGGTAACTTGCCATTACAATTAATAAAGTTGTTATAGTTTTAAGCAAATTACCTAATTATGCTATAAGACTTTTACTTGTATGACTTAATTGAAATATCTCTGTACAGATTAAGAAGACCGCCTTAGAACTGTTGAAGAATCAGGAACTGGATTCTGAGATACGTATCAAGGCATACCTCGCCGTTATCAGCTGCCCATGTGGACACACAGCCAATGAAATTAAGAATTTACTAGAAAACGAGCAATCTCAACAAGGTAATTTATAAGTCTATTTATTTATTTATAAGCCTTTTTACATTCACTTTTAACATAGATTATAATAAAAATGTACATTGGAAATGTACAGTTTTATTGAGCTTTTTTATTTCTTCATCTCTACTATTGTATTCTTAACAGTTTTTCTTGCTTTATTAACGAGAAAATTTCACTGTAATACTGCATGTTTAATAATATATTACCATTTACCTTTTTTGCTATTGCTAGAACTAATAAATAGATAGAGTACTTAGGGAATTCTTGCCCTTATCTGTTAATTTCGTGATCTACATTAGATGCCAAACCATTAATGGCAGTAACTGATAGAAAGAAAAGTATCTTAACTGAATTATTATGATCATTACAGAATTCTAACACATTTCGGTCGCTATTATTATTAATTAATTACATAAATAGGGGACTATTACATAAGTAGTCATTAGCGACAGTACCTTCAAATGTGGTTTACATAGCCAGTATTTTTGTAACTGTTCTTAAATATCTTGCAAGCACCTACCATCGTCATTATAGTTGTCATGTATTTGTCTTGAATTTATTGTATCAGTAATTACAAATAATACATTATACATTATATAAATAATTTGTCTTGAATGAATAATTAAGGATAATTCAAAATTATACTTTTCAAATAGTTGGACGTTTCATCACATCGTCTCTGCGCCACATCCGGGCATCTACGAACCCTGATAAGAGTCTTGCGCGTCAACACTATGGGCTTATTCGCACCCCTAACAGATTCAATGTCGACGACAGGTTTGTACTTATTTTCACTTTTTTAATAACATTATTTTAAATTGAAAACATAATTGCAAATAAATTTTCCTTCCAATCAAATTAAGAAAATCATACTATTAATTGAAGATTATGAGCAAATTTATCAAAATCTGTTTCAATGGGTCTTTAATTAGTATTAATTTTATGTATAAAAAAAAGTTTTATGATACAATAGAAATTATTAAAAAAAAACTTTGGTGAATGTTGAAATCAGTATTTCATTTAGAACTTTTAGAAATCCAGTAACTAATACTTCATTCAATTTTACAGAAAATATTCCTTCTACCGCGAGCTTTCATATAACATTGACTCAGCGGGCGTAGGTGGCACCGTTGAACAAACCGTGATTTACTCACAAGACTCATTCTTGCCTCGATCTGCTGCCCTCAACCTTACCGCTGAGGTCTTCGGACACAACTTCAACGTTCTTGAGGTAAGTTAATTGAATATTTTAAGACAATTAATAAAAAAACTGCGAATGCTAACCCGCCTACCAAACTTATTAATGGCCTACCTACCTACCAAGGGGGAGACTTATGTTTAGCAATAGACAGTCAAAGGTTTTTTATTTAACTTAACAATCAACTAAAAATATTATGTAAAAAAAAATATAGCCAATATGTCAAATGTGCTTATCAAATTTTAGGTTGGCGGACGTCAAGGAAACCTTGATCGTGTTATAGAACATTTCCTCGGACCAAAGGGTGTTTTACGTACGGAAAACCCACAGGAAATTTATGATAACATCCTAAAACAATACGAAGAATCTAAGAAAAAAGTACAAGATGGACTATCTAGAGGTCGTCGCTCTGTTAAATCTGAAGTGGACAACTTCGACAAGCATGTAAGTAAAATTTCAGATATAATATCGATGCAAAATAAAAAGACACTAGTCATGAACTTTTTTATGATCTCTGAACTAAAAATCATGTTATGTATTCAATCAAGTATCAAAAATAAGAAGAGACAAATTATGATAAATAAAAAAAAATTAAGTACTAAAAATATGATAATGGCTTATTGTTTGTAATAATCATTTATGATGAGATAGTGATAATATTTTTGGAGTATCAATACATTAATGTCAAAAACAAAAATACAGTTGTTCACCATAATACAAGATGATTAGGCATAAATCGTACTAATTATAATGTTATATGTTTTAATAAATTTTATAGTCGCCAACTATAAAACTTACTAATAATATTGTCTTCAACATATATTTTTTTTATCTTTTTAGCTGAAAGCGGAATCTGCACCGTTCAACAATGAACTGGACTTGGATTTGTATGTGAAACTATTTGGCACAGACGCAGTATTCCTTTCACTTGGAGATGACAAAGGTTTTGACTTCAATAGGGTTCTTGATCAGTTCTTGAGAATCGTAAACACTGGTGCCAACCAAGCCAAGAACTTTAAGGTAAAAACAATGAAAAATCCAATTAATAATTTAATTATTAACTAATTTTTTAAAGACCTATCATTTTCGCTAATAGAAGCTGAATGTAGTATTTAATTATTTTCAAAACTTTAAGTATACGGGGTACTAATTTTTTTACTTTAATTTGCAGCAAGAACTTCGCGCAAATCTGTTATTCCTTGACGCTGAATTAGTTTATCCAACTGCAACTGGTCTTCCTCTGAAATTAGACCTCGTAGGAGCTGCCACTGGTCGTGTCGATGTGGTGACCAATATTGATTTCAACAAGCTCTTCTCAGGGTCTGAAGATCGTAAAGTTGAAATTAAACTTGTACCCAGCACCGATATTGAGGTTTCTGGACTTTTCTTGGTAGACGCTAATGCTGTAGCAACTGGACTCAAAGTGATTAACAACCTACACTCATCCACTGGTGGTCATCTAATCGCTAAGTCAATCGAAGGTGGTCGCGGATTTGATATTCAATTTGGATTGCCCATCGACAAGCAAGAAATCTTAACTGCGTCAAATGACATAGTGTTCTTCACTGCTGAAAAAGGAAGGCAGGAAAAACATATTCCAGTGAAGATTGAAACTACTAGGAAAGAATATTCAGGATGTTTTGACCAACTTTCCGGTGTATTGGGGCTTACACTCTGTGGCGAAGTGTCTATACCATTTGCAGTATCAGGTGAGGATAGTTACTTATTCGTATTATATCAAGGAAATATTCTCTAATTTTATAACAAAAATATTCAGTTTAAAGTATGTACATATATAATATATTGCATGTTAACTTATTTATTCCTTAATAAATATTTTTAAATATTCACAGGTGAAGAGGCTCAAGCGTCTATTTCTAAATTCATCTCCCGCTACCCACTGACTGGAGCGTCCTCAGTAAAATTAGTTTTAGAAAAGAACAACTTGAAAGGTTATCATATCAAGGGTGTACTCCGTGGTGATGATCCTGAGAGAAAAGGATTCGAACTTTTGTTTGATGCTCAAGGTAAGAAGTTTGACCATCTCTAGTTTTCCTTGCGAAATCGTCTTTTATAGACGTTGCATTTTTAGTTTTAGATTTATCATTATATGGTAAATAACATACATTAAAAATACATAAACTTGTACAAAAATAATAATTTGTTATCAATACGTATATCTAATATAAGTATATAAAGATATGTAAGAAAAAATATTATATGGAAGCTTTATGAACGCAATAGAACCCAAAACAATTATTTTAACAATTTTTGTCTGTTTGTCTGTACGTTTGTGCACTCTAATCTCAGAAACAACTTAACTAATTTGAATGCGGTTCGCTAATGTATTTCGGTTTGCTCCATTTAATATTGTTTGTTTTATTTCAATCGGTTCATAAATAAAAAAGTTATATCAATCTAAAGAATCACATATGAAATGCTATAAAATAACCCATCAGTTGAATTGGCTGAAACTGTGTTTATTGTATGTATTAATTTTGGAAAATGTTGTCTACTCGTACGAAGCTGGGTCGGATCTAGCGACCCGTTTTGTATTGTTTTCTATAAATTTCAATGAATTACATAATCGGTCATTGCCTGCAGGTTCACAAAACCGCCGCACACAATTGAGTGGAGAGTACGTGAACTGCGCAACCGAAAAATCAATCAAACTGAATTTGGACTCACCAATTAAAGTTGTTCATGGACAAGTAGCACTTTACACTAAACCAAGCGAATACACCGTCGTAGTAAATGGAAAATTAGATGCTGCCGAAGTATATGCGAGAGTTGGATTCAACGTACAAGGGAATGAAAAACGTAGTGTCTTTAGACCCATTATTGAATACAAACTTCCCGATAAAGGCGACAAACAAACTCTCAAGATCAACGGAGAAATTGTTAGGGAAGTTTCTACACCTGTAACAAAATACACAATTCAGGGATTGAAAATCGATATTCCTAACTCTAATGAATGTGTTGATATCAATGGGCACCTTGTTACTCAACCAAGTGGTGTGGAACTAGACCTTAAGGCGCAGAAAGGTGAACATAATGTGTTACTGAGTGGTTCAGTGAAAAACAAAGATGTACAATTAGAATTCCGTAATACTTTGAACCCATACGTGAACTTCAAGCTCAAGGGACACTTTGAAAATGGTGAAACGGTATGTCATATATATTTGAATTTTTATTTTATTTATGCAGTAAATTTCGGTAATGATTGTAATAAATATTTTCTTCTCTATTTTTTATTGTACATAAACTACTCCGTACGGGTAAACGCAGTATAGAGCGACCCTTTACTAGATAGACAACCTCAAATGGATTGTAGGAATCAGTTGATGCAAGTGATAGTTCCCTATGACAATCTATGAGAAAGTGTGTGTGTGATGAGTAATGGACGTTATGATGATGATGATATAAATATAGTGATAAAAACATGTATTTCTTCTTTTACAGATCCACAACGACTTGGATATTGTTGTAGGCGGAGACCTAAACAATAATCAAAACCGCATCTTGTTCAACCAGTTATTTAAAAACTACAAAAAATCAGAAACTGAATTCAGCGTTATCACTAAGAACAAGAGTAAGTAATTGGAATGATATAAAATGTAATAATGTACAATGAATTATCCGAAATTAATTCTCGTCCATTTGCAGTCCCTAATTATATTTATTGTTAATATATTTTTACAGTTGAAATAAATCCTATTGACTTTAAAGTCAGGGCTGATGCTGAAGTTGATCCCAAAAAGGTTGACGTAGAATTTGAAGCACAATACGCTAAAGATAAAGTGGATTTGGAACTTAAAGCACGTTCACATATTAAACAGCCTGATGACTACAGCTTGAAATTAATTGCTAATGTAAACGATAAAGGATTAGAAGTCTTCTCAAAGAGAGACTGCTTGACTGATGAGAAATCTAACTTCGAAAATTATGTTACAATTAAAAACTTTGGCAAATACGAGCTGTCTGGCGTGGTGCTTCATAAAAATAAGCCCAATGACGTCGTTGTTGGAGCTGTTGGTCATTTTAGAGTTTCGGGTGGCAGCAAGACGGAAGATATCAAGTAAGTCTAGACATTATTCTTAATTATTATAAATCTTATATTTATGTTTCTTTTTCTTTACCGCAATCATGTTAGTGTAACGATCTGACACAATACCTGAAGTACTTAATCTGTCGATGACTTCGATTTTATCTATTTATTATAGTTTGAGTATTTTCTATGTATATGTATGTACAAAAAAAAAATGGATTATATAGAAAAATAACTAATTATCTGTAAGTGTGTTAGTACTCATAATGCTGGCTTTGTTCAGTTAGAGATTTTATTTTTACACTAGCTGTTTTCCGTGGCTTTTCCAATGTGAAAGTGTATTCAAAGTATCCTATGTATTAAAATAGTATATAACTTACTTGTGTAAAACAAAGCAAAAGCAAATTTCACTCGAACCTATTCAGCCGTTTAGACGTGATTGAGTAATAAACATACAAACTTTCACATTTATAATATTAAGAGGATTTTATTTACTAGTTTAACTGTGGCTAATATTTTTTTTATTAATTATTTAATTGTTCATTAGGTTCGATATTGGATTCACCCAAAATGAAAACCAATATTCGTCTCACGCCAAAATATCTTCAACCCGTGGCGAGTTTCTCGACTACTTACTGAAAATCTCACACGGAAGTAATCCAAATGGTCAATTGAAACTGATCTTGAGAGATACAATCTCTGCTACCGGCCAATATAAAGTAACTGATGCTGATGGCAAAGGCAATGGTGCTATTATAATTGAATTCAAAAAGGTAAGTCAAAAATAAATTTATTAACTGAATATTGGTTGAATTAATCTAAGATAAATCAACTGTACTAACACAATTAATACAGATAATATTTTTTATTAAAAAAAAGCTACACGTCTCGAGTTTTGCAACTAATTCGTCAAATATTTCTTTTTCGAAAGAAACAGGTATACAAATAACAGTAATAGTTACAATTGCCTCTAATATCACTTGAATTTAACCTGACAAACTTTAATAATACTTCGTTTGTTTAAAGTCTTAGCAGTTTCTTTATTTATTTATCTACCACATTTTATAAATTATTTAGACTTATAATTTCATAATTATGTACATGTAAATTGATTTGATTATTTACAATGTTTTTGTTTAATTTTGCTACAATTAGTATGCGTCTGACTGCCAATATTGGAGAATTAACTGCTACTGTTAGTACCAGAAGTTCTACAACCGTCCATATTAGTCTCTGACCACTATTCAATCCACGTGTTGAAAACATGTGTCACAAAGGTCGTGAACCTCTATATGAGGCGTCTTCAAGTCTAGTGTTGAAATATTTCTAAAACAACTAACCAATGATATGGACTTTCGCAAAATAACATCTTGTTGTATAATAAATTAACATATAAATAATATTTTTAGCTTCAACGAAAGATCAAGGGAGATGTGTCGTTCGTTGCCAAGGAGCCAGTGTTCAGTGCTGAAATCGATGTTTACTTAAACTTCGAAAAGGACAACAATGACAAAGTACACTTCACCACCAACACAAAGAGAACCGCTAAGAGTTTAGATACAAAGTAAGTAATGATCAACAAATACACAAGAAAAATAATACGTTTAAGATTTTACTCTACAATATCATCTAATATTACAAACAAACACACTCCTTTTTATATCCAATGAGAAGTAGGAGACTTTGTATAAAAGTCGATTGCTTGGGTACTACTGTCCCATTCGTGTTTCTACCGTGAAGCAGTTGTGTTTGCATGGCTGTGTTTTGGTTTGAAGGATGGGATATGGCGTGAATTTACTGGGTACAGAGGAATAACACCTGAGTCCTCAGGAATGGCAACGCATGGTGGTATCATGGGCGAAACAGTATACTCTGTTATGTCCATGGTACTGCTCATGTCTATAGGCGACGGTTACCACTTTCCATCAGGTGGGCCGTCAGCTTGTTTGCCATTCTAAGTTATATATAAAAAAATATAAAAGAGAAAGGGGCACATTTAAATAAGCGTTAAATGTAAATATAAAACGCTACTGAAATTAAAGTAAACCCATCAACCCGTGTTGATTTCATTTTAATATTGCGCTTATTGGTAAACAAAATCTATGACATGATCACTCAGTATTTTAAATGTAGGGTACCTACAAAACAAATTATTACGTATATGATTTTTTACAAAACATCTCGTCATTCACAATCGAACTCTCCGTTTTGCTGAATAAACGAGCTTGTTATTTATATATGTAATTATTTCAGGAACAAAGTCGTATACGCTGGTAAGCATTCAGAAGTCAACGTCCGCACTGATGGAGATATTACAGAATTTGGTAAGAGCAGTGCTAACGTCGAAGTAGTGCTGCCTACAGAGAGGTGTCTCAGCTTCAAAGTTAACCGAGACGTCACCGTCAAGGATAACGTAAGTAGCTTCGCCTTTTGACTTTTCGTCATCGTTATTTTTATATACCTTATTATCATATTCATATACAAAACAGATTTCAAAAATTACTGTTTTTGGAATATAGAAATCTTTAGCTTTTGTTTTTATTTATTCTGAAATAAAAATGTTTCAAAACATGTTTATTGGAATACTAGTTGTAATGTAAGTTGGCAATGTTTTTTGAGCTTTTTATTCCAATTGATAATTTTCAACTGTAACTTTACCATATATAATATAAAAATAATTATTGTATTTACCTAGGTTGCTAATGGTCACATCGAAGCGGTACTTTCTGATGCAGCGAAGCGTGGTGGAAAGGCATCTCTCATCAGTTACAAGGCTAAAGTTACCAACACTAATTTAGAGAAGCAGATCATCCATTACGAAGGACAAATAGAGCTTAAATTGAAAGAGGGCAAACAGTTGCAGAATGCCATCGTGTTAACAAACGATCTCGCCGGAGACAAATTCAAATATAACTTTAAGGTAAAATATAAAACTGAATTGATATTGTTGTTCCCTTATACTTTTTCATTTTCATACATCAGAGAGAGAGACTTTTTATAAAAGTCGTTTACTTGGATACTTCTGTCTCATTTGTATTTGAGAATTACTTATTTTTGTATGGCTGTGATTCGGTTTAAAGGGTGGGATATGGCAGTAAATTTACATGATACAGAAGAATAACACCTGAGTCCTCAGGAAGGCAACGCATGGAGGGTATCATGGGCGAAACAGTATACTCTGTTATGTCCATGGTACTGCTCATGTCTATAGGCGACGGTTACCACTTTCCATCAGGTGGGCCGTCAGCTTATTCGCCATTTCTAAGTTGTATAAAAAAAAAAACTATACACATGTTTACAGAAATTCACATAGGCTTTCATTTCAGTATGACATAACCGGTAACTTGCTTCCGAAACGGTTCACTGTATCAGCTCACGGTACATACCTTGACTCGGAAGAGATCGTCGATCTAACATACTTCAGCAAAGGTAGCTATGGTGACAACATTGGCTATGACATCAACGGAGAATACGTAGTCAAACTACTTGACAAAGGAGAGAAGAAGTAAGTTGGACTAACTTAATTTTTTAGATTAAAATTAAATTTCTATTTCTTATGAATAAATCTAGGATGATGATGATAGAACCATGTGATGGAATTGCACTGATAGCATTACGACTTAGATTATGTTCCACAAAAACACAATCGATTTAGATAAAATTTCTATAGGATCTATTTGTAAGTATATCCCTTTAGATAAAAAAGAAATTTTCAAATCGGCTTATAACCAACGAAGTTATGAGATAACAAACTTAAAAAATACAACTAAATTTAGAATCCTCTTTATTTTTGAAGTCGGTTAACAAAAAACAATTTAATCCTAATAGTATCCATAGATATATCTAGATATATCTATATTCTTAATATATATATATATATATATATATATATATATATATATCATATAAATAATATATATATTAAGATGTCTCTACAATTGTCAGTGTAAAGATGTTCGAATGATTATTACTTAATTTTGCTTAAACGCCTTAATGGATTTAAATGTAATTTAGTAACATACAAACGTACATCAGACAACGCCATAAACCAACAATATTATTATTTTTAATTTTTATCTTCAACAGGTACTACGACTACTTTGTGGTTAAATTCATAACTCCATTTGAAAAAGCTCACGATATTAAGTACACCTCCTACTTCCTGTACACTGAACCAGAAAACGGGGAAAAATCCGAGGTATGTTGAAATTATATTGTATATTCAGAAAAATAGTAATAATTATATATTCTCTGATTTTATTTACCAAGATGTGAAATATATTGGATAATATATATGTAGTTTATACTTTATTAGTATAATAATCCGGCTCGAAGGACCATGTGAATATGGCAAAGTCTTACTACTGACCAATAAAGGCTAATTATAATTCGTAGAAAGAGAATGTCATCGCATATACTATGCTTAATGCTTAATCTTTGTTAAATTTACTACATTGTTGTTTTTATTATCAGGTTTTAACCCACAGTTAAAGTCTATATTGAACTAATGATTTGAATGTAAAAAAAATTGTATTTATTTTTCCGGCATACCTGTTTTTCAAAATACCAAATAATAATTACAATTACATTATGAATTTGAATATGTTAATTATCACCTTTACCTAACTTATATTTCTTTTTATTTATTTATTATACTTTCTTTATGAGTAATAATAATATATTATTTATTTTATTTTATTTAATACATTATTGTACACAATAATTTTACATAAAAATATAACAGAGGTTTATGTCCAGCAGTGGACGGATAATGGCTGAAATGATGATGACGATGACAGAGGTAAGCAAATGTACAAAGGCGAGTTTAACTCTAAAAGAGTTCTCTTCCAGCAACATCCAAAGTCGAAAGGGCCAATCAATATACTTTCAATTACTAATATAAATTTATCTTTCTACCAACAGTACGACCTCAAACAAGCAGTGCAAGTGAATGCTAATGAGTACAAGTTCGATTCAAAAGGCTATGTCGCTGAAAACGACGGTGGTGTCAAGCTGCACCTACTGGCGCCTCATGTGGAACCCTTCAACATTGACACCAAATACAAAACTCATTCTGAAGGTATATATAACGAAAAACTATTATTTATTCTGTTATCTAATTTACCTATCATTTGCTGTCCAAGTGACTAATTATATTATTTAAAATTAACTGACATATTTATAAAATAGATAGATAGATAGATGACCTTTATTACCAGTATTAAGAAAGTGAAAAATTTAAACAACAAAAAGAAAAAAAGAACAATTAATGTTGCTGGTAATAGGAGCCGCCTCAGTTGTTGCTATATATATGTACAGCTCTAGCGATATGTACCTATATAGCGCTGATTTTCAGGCGGCCCCTTAACTTCTTTACCTTTAGCATGCGTGTGGGTCGCCAATACCTGATTATAGTTTACATATCTGATTTTCCATCACTGAATCTTCAATATTTATTTCCATAATAATTCTAATATTTTTGAATGTGTGCACTTTATTAAAAATCTTGTTATCATTTCTTATCTACTGAGACAGAATCTAGAGCACAACAATTGTAAAAATAAAAAACTAAAACAGTTTAATGATAATTTTAAAATGTTTGTATCAGGTGAGAAACACGTCGGTAACGTGGAAGTGAAGGCGCAGTATGGTAAAGGAAAATCTGTTAACTTGGTGGTGAACGGTGCAGCAGCGCCTCAGGAGTACGACTTGGATATCAAGGCGAATGCGCCACAAGCCGAGAACCTTAAGAAGCTGGATTTGTCTCTTAAGACCAAGGTAAGGTTATTTTTTTAAAATCTCTTCCAAAATCATTATAACCATTCCAGATTTCATACGTTATCAATCCTAAGGACTATAAGCTTATCCATGTAATTTCACTGCCATGTTCCACAATTCAAATCGAAAAACACTCATGCAAATTTAGCTGCTTCATTGCAGAAAAACAAATGGAATATAAGTAATCAGCAAACAACTCTTGTACAAAGTCTCCCTTAGCATATAAATAATGAAACTATAATAATTTAACAGAACCCCTCACCTGATACTTACGTGGTGCTCGTCGCCATCGACGCTGATGGAAGGGTATACAAGTCGCAGTCGACCGTCGTGTATTCAGAGGCTAACCCATTAATCGACGTTTCCTATACTGCACCAAACACACCAACGAGCAGGTAAACATCTACATCTTAAATTTATAGAAAATTTAAAATAACAAAAATCCTCTATTTATTAGACACAATAAAGCAAAACATAATGCAGTAGAGAAAAATAACTTCAAAAATATAAAACTACAAAAAGTATATGTATCCAATAGTAGAGACAATTTGATAATTTTAAAATATGCTTTTGTATCTTAAAACATGCCTGAGTTAACATTAAAAGACAATTGATTCCGTCTAACCAAAGAAGTATTCTTAGTAAAAATTTATTCAAACGACTGACATCTTCTTCTAATTTACTCCATTAATTTTTTATTAAATAATTATATTATATATACACAGATACATTAACAGTTTAATTCATTTCAGACTTTACGTCAAGGGTGTTAAATTAAGCGAGAACCAAGCTAAAGTAGAAGTGAAAATTGTCAACATCCGCGACCTTTCTCTAGACGCCGTCTCTGAGGCTACCTTGCAGAAAGACAATATTATCTTGAAAGTGGTCGCCAACTCTGAGAAATTGGGATTGAAAAATTATAAAGTGGACGTTGCAACCAAAGATGCTAATAATAACGGCAAACGCTTAGAATTCCAGGCAACGAATGACAACAAGAACGTATTAAGTGGAAGGTATGTTATAATCAATGTACTTTAATTAGTAGCCTTCCCGGCATAGAATAGGCCACCTCTTCCTTTCTCGTGGGTGTCGTAAGAGGCGACTAAGGGAGAGCGAGGGATGGGCAGCAGCGTCCCTCTTATAACTTTATCAAAAGCCAAACTGCGGTTGCCAACCTGCCTACCAAGCGTGGCAACTACTGGCGAAACCTCTCTTATGGGGCAGGCTATGTTCAGCAGTGGACAGTTTACGACTGATAAAACAGCAACTTTAATCAGTAACAACGATTTATTAACGTTTTATTGCTGGGCATCTGTCTCACTCAATAAAAGAACTCTATTTTATATTATTACTATCATATTTATTCTTGTCTGACAGTCTAACATTAGGTTTTCTCCTTAGATTTTCCGTATCATGCTCTTATGTATTATACTTTACTGTTGAAGGTACTTCTTTTAATTCTCTGGGGATAAGATAACTGACCAGATTCTAGTTTTAATTGGATACTAAATTATATATATATATATATATATATATATATATATATATATATATATATATATATATATTATTAAACTTAGATTATAAACGATGCATAAAATCTATTTTACAGTACGACATTCATCAGCAAACAGGAGAATAAGAAAACAATAATCGAAGGCTCTGGAACATTGAAGGTCAAAGAGGAACAGAAGTCCGCCAATTTCAAATACATCAGAACTATTTTGACAGAAGGCAACGAGCAAGGAGTTGAGGTAAATGTATTATTTTTGTAGAACGCAAATGTAGGTAATTAGCTAAAGGTTATTTATTCTATCTGCTATATTCCTTTACATATTTAATTTATATTTACAGACCTTCTTGAACCTGGCTGTTGGTGAGAGCAGCTACGTGGCGGAATCCCGTATCACAAACCTCGAATACAAGAACTCATATGTATACTGCGAAGAGAAGAAACAGTGCGCTCACGTCGAGTTGAACTCGAAGGTCAACATACAAAGTTAGTAATTCATTATTACCTAATATTTAAGAAGAATTTCTATTTATTTATTTATTCTTTATTAACCACATTAGAAGAAAATGTTTCGTTCATCATACAACCTGTTATATTTCTACTACTTATATTATAATCTCTGCTTAGTTTCGGCATAGATGGCGCTGTGTAATATTTTCAATAGTATTTATCTATTGGTAACATGTGTGTGTGTGTTTTTTTTTATTTTTCTCAGAACCAGGCGTCGTGCAGCATACAGTCAACGTTAACTTCGATTTAGTGAAACTTGGCATTTCTCCCGAGTTCGGTCTACAGATCACCAATGAGATTTCTGAAAAGAAACTGCCTCAGTACACACTAGACTTGCACGCCATCAAGAATGACAAGAAATATCACCTGAACATCTACAGCCATCCAGAATTAGGCAGTAAGTTATATTTTAATATATACATAAAAATTCTGGCATACGTCGTCCTGATTTTAATTAAATTTTGTAAACTTGTACTATTTGCTCCAACTTTATAGATAGGATAGATAAATAGATACTCTTTATTGTTTCCTCCAAAGATTACAACAATAAAGTTTTTATAAATACAAATTACAAGAAAATATAATACACTGAGAAAACAATGAGCGTCCTTATCGTTACGAGCGATCTCTTCCAGAGTCCAAGTACCTATCTAGTTATTTCAATAAAAAAGGGCCCGGTAGATGGCTATAGAAGCCAAAACAATATCTGCCTAGTCTTCTAGTAATATTATAAAATATGCAAGTATGTTTGTTAGATTAACGATTCAAAATTTAGCGTGAAGTACCTAATTGAAACAGATAAGAATATACATTGCTTGGTTAATAGACACAGCATCTCTAGTGTTGCAGGCGTCTATAGGCAACAGTAACCGTTTTATCATCAGATAGGCTGTATAGTTGTTTGCCACCTTCGTGGAATGAAAAAAAAATATACCTTTTATGAACGTTCTAGATATTGTAGCTTTTTTCTGGAGCTTTAGCTTCAGTTGTCAAAATATATACTTTTCTTATTTATACACTTTTGTACAATTACTTCAATTATAGATATTAGGTTATAACAAAAATGTACACAGGCGGATTTGTCCTTTAAAGGAATTTCTTCTAGTCAACCTTGAGAACTTGGAAGAAAAAATACCTGTAGTGTTTTGTATCTTCAATATAAAATGATTAGATAGTTTTATGCGCATACTTTTCGATTCTGGTAATCTAAATTTTACTAACATTATTACGTCCATTGATCGTACTTTAAAAACAGAGCAAATTATATCAACCACTTTATAATTTTTTTATCGACGTGCCTTAAACTGCAAATTAGCACCATGAAATAAATATTCAAAAACAAACGATCACTTCGCAGAATTCCCAGCCGGCATCACAGTCACTCTCCCACATCGCGTCTTGGCTCTTGAGACTAGAGTGGAATACCCCACAAATAAAGGATTACCGTTCCCCATCAAAGGAGAAATCACCATCCACCCAGACAAGAGAAAGGCCCAATATAAAACAGCTGCAAGATTCTTGGTCGATGTTACTGGCAGTGACAAACAGCATGCACTTATTGCTGACTTCGGTTTCAGTCATCCTAAATTGGGCAAGGTGATTATTATATTGAACTTAAAATATTTCTAAAGTATTAAATGTAAACGCAGTGTAGGACAACCCCTCACTAGATGGAGTGACGACCTGAAATGCGTTGCAGGGAGTCAGTGGATACAGGTGGCTTAGGACTGTTCTTTATGGTCTATGGTGGAGACTTATGTCCAGCAGTGGACGGATAGTGGCTGAAATGAATGAAACGTAAATGTAATTATAAGTGTAGAGGACTATCTAAAAGCAAATGTATGGAAGATGATATAACTAGAAAAGGAGTGAATGCTGAAGTGACTGCAAATAGAAAAACTGATCACGATGTATTAAAAAAAATTGAGTATGTTTATTTAATTTATTTGTTATAATTACAGGAAGCATTATTCAAGGTTCGTGGTAACCTGAAGAACAGTGATAATATAATTGAAATTGCAACATCAGCCAGCGTCAGCTGTCATCCAATCTTTGGGGCTGTAAGTTACTATTACCAATTAAATATAATAATTATTATAATATAAACTAATGCGCACAAAAGAGATTCATACAAGGAATGTATATATGCAAATATACAAAAGGCAGCCTTATCACTAAAAGCACACTCTTACAGATAACCTATAATTTGTTTTAAAAGAACTTAAAGAAACCTTAACCACTTTTTGTTAAAATTATTACAGAAACACTTTCTGAATTAAACTAGACTAAATCAAAACGTTCAATCAATTAATTGTTTTTTTATATGTACTACTCATAAATAGACTGTTTTATAGTCGGGATCAATTATTCTTTGGTTTAAATTTTCATTAAATTCTATTGAAATTGACTGTATGCCTTAGTAGAAATGATTGCGTTGGTCAGCTATCGTTTTTATTAATTTCCATTATACCTTTCCAGGATCGTGAGTCGAAGTTCGTACTGCAAGTTAGCCCGTCATCATTCAAACTCTTGGTAAGCATCATATCTTTATCGTCATTGGTGTGATTCAGGCATTTTTTAATCTTACAAAAAAAGACCAAACCAACTGCTCTAAAAAAAGCAATCAGATGGATATATACAGCAAACATACAAGCTGGCAATCTGACAGCTTATCAGATGCTAAATGGAAATATTCGCCTATAGATAGCCAGCAGCACACTTGCAATGCCTCTGGTGTTGCGGGTGATCATAGGCGACCGAGTCACTTACCATCAGGTGAGCCGCATGCTCGTTGGCACCCTGTGTTCTAAAAAAAAAGATATAAATATGCAAAATAATCTTTGATAACTATTGTACTCCCATGTATTGCAGAGGGTTCAGGTGTTATTGTACCTTATAATTGTCTTGTATCTTATAATTTCAATGCCAGCTTTAATCCTTTAATTCGCAATACTGCCAAAAAAGTAAAGCTACTTAAGCTGGTAAGACCAGAGTACACAGCATGACGACTTTTGTACAAAGTCCCCCTCTAGTATTAATAATATTAATTTAAGGTCATTATCATCTTCTTTCAGCTGGACACACCAATTGTCAAAGTGATTGAATTAGAAGGCACTGCGGTAGTAAAGGAGAACTTGCAGCAAGGCGATTTGAAATTCTGCCTACTTCAGGGAAAACCAGTGGCCGTCCGTGCCCTCATCAAGGACTACCAATATTATGAATTTACTACAGGTTATAGTGGTGATTATTTTGAACTACATTTGCGAAATATATTTACCATAAATATGTTTCCCAAAGAACTATGAAATTTACAAATTGTAAGATAAAGCCATATTTAATAAAATGTGAAATTAACTCGATAAAGAAACTACCGACATCCCAATATCAAAAACTCATGACATCAAATTCAAATTAGAAATAATTAAAATAATTTATACAAAACTACATATCAAAGAAGACTAGAATGATAATTGATATAATTTCTCTTCTAAACAGACGAGTCTGACCGCAAATTGTCTGTGATTGGCCATTTGGACCCTGAGAAGCGTGTGGACATCAGCGCTGACCTAGTCCTCTCTGGAGAAAAGAAGAACATCGCCCACGGTGCCCTCTTCTTGAAGGACAACCTCGTCAAGAGTGAATATGGAGCCTCTAAGGACAATTTCGATTACTTTGTGGTAAGTAGGAAAATTTCAAATTAAGTACCAAATAATGTGTCATGAAATCTAATGTTTTGTTTAATTTATTCTTTATCTGTAACTACTTGATTTATAATGGTTATTAATTTTCTGGTATACTATATTTTATTAATTTATTATATAGTACTCATTAAGAAATGTTTGGATGTTTCGTAATATTTTTTTTATTCAGTAGTATATCATTTCACATTTTAATTTTAATCTATATTATACAGACCGCACTGAAGAATGACCTAACAAACCTCGAGGCACGAGTTAAACAGCTTGGTGAGGAGATCAACTCAGATTTCAAGGACATCTTGAAGAGAGCACAACCTAAAATCCAAGAACTTGAAAAAGCCTACAAAGAAGACTTGGAGAAGATATATCAAGAAGTCGCCAACGATGAGACTTTGAAAGAAATTTCGCAAGTTATGTTAGTTTCAAAACATGTATACTTTAGTTTGTCTATTAATTTGTTATTAATAACATAACCCCTTGTTCATAAAAATTAAAACCTATAAACCTACTTTAACTATTAGTGTTTTGTCGCCTTTATTCAAATTGTGAATGAAGTACAAAAGAAAGAGACAAAACAGTTTAATAGCTAAAATAGTTTTGAGATGTTTGAAGTTTTTATGATTAAAGAGGATAAACTTTAGTCCATTACAATAAAACTTAATGAAAATGTACAATAACTTTTTAAAAGTTTGACTTAAATTATTACAGAAAAACTTTCTAATTATAATTGGTTTACAAATCAAAACATTAAACCAAATTATTCGAATTTTGATGTGATCGTTTACATTTTCATTCTGTTCGATTGAACTAAAGAATTAAAAGCAATATTTCTTTCTCCAGTAACGAGGTCGCACAGTTCCTGGCGAAGATTATCGACGATATTGTTCATGCCTTCAAACCCCTCGTTGACAAAATTTACAATGTAATCGTTGAGACCACCAAGAAGATCGAGGAAATCTATGAGAAAGAGGTAATTGTTAACATTACAATTTTAATGTCAAAAACAATATGGCAAATGATATCAACGAACGAGGAATAGGTAGCAGTGTCCCTCTTAAAAGATCACCCAAGTCCAGTTGCGGTTGCCTGCCCAGTGTACCAACTACTGTCTAAACCTCTCTTATGGAGTAGGCCCATATTCTGCTGATATGATGATGTTGACAACAAAATGCTCTGATCAAATATGGTAACCAATGAACGTCTTTAAAATTATCTATCTGTAATTAAATTCATATAAAATAAATATCCTTTAGTTATTTACAAATTAATATTTATATACAAGCTTTTGTTTAATTACCAATGTTAGTTTGTTTGTTTAGGTCAAATTTTGCAAACTAAATTAGAGCCACTTCTTGATATTTGATTAACCAGAAATTTAGCATACACTTTTGTATCTAATGACAATATAATATTGTAATGGTTTCAAAATGAGGGTCGACTCAAAATGGCAGATCATGTATTTTTTAGTGCCTTTAATATAATAGAAAAGAATAAAGTTAGTGACGTCACACTAAATTAAATATGGCTGTCATACCAAGATGACGGGTTACATTGTTAGATATTGTTTCTGAGAGTATTATTAACAGACTTGTTTTCATTTCAGATCGCACCCCAAATAAAGAGTTTGTACGAAACCGTTGCATCTATCGTGAAAGAATTCTTCGATGGACTGCTTGACATCGTTGCTCACTACGCCGCCCTTATTACTGACTTTTACGAGAAACACAAGCCCGAGTTAGAGGAGCTTACCAACACTATTACTGAAATCTTTAAAGGTACCAATCACTATTGTTTTACCGTTATTTAGATGATTATAAACTTCTAAATCCGTTATGGTCCATGTGATCCCGGCATAGAATAGGCCACCCCTTCCTTTCCCGTCGGTGTCGTATGGCGACTAAGGGAGGACGAGAGATGGGCAGCAACGTCCCTGTTAAAAGTCATCTAAACCTAACTGTGGTTGCCAACCCGCCAGCCAACCATGACAACTACTGGCAAAAACCCCAAAAGGGAAGGCTAGGCCTAAGCCGTAAACAGTTAAGAGCTAATATGATGACGATGATGAAGCTTCTATACTATCGTCAATGTACAATGAATTGAAAGTCATTTCCCAAAATGTATTGCTACGGGAAGGTATCAACCTTCCCGATAAATACAATAGAATTTAATAAAAAGTGTAAACAAATTATTCGACCATATAAGACAAACTGCTGATGTTCAACAGTAGTACAAACAAAAAGTTGACTAAACAATTAATGCATCGATTTTATTCTTTACCTTTTCATTAAGTTTAATTTTGTTTTATATAACTTAGAATGGCAAACAAGCTGACGGCCCACCTGATGGAAAGTGGTAACCGTCGCCTATAGACATGAACAGTACCATGGGTATAACAGAGTATAATGTTTAGCCCATGATACCCCCCATGCGTTCCCATTCCTGAGGACTCGGGTGTTATTTCTCTGTACCCTGTAAATTCACACCATATAGCACTCTTCAAACTAATACACAGCCATGCAAACGCAACTCCTTCACGGTTAAAACACGAATCGGACAGAGGTACCCAAGCAAACGAATTTTGTACAAAGTCTCCTACTGGTTATTAAAAAACACTATATATACAAAATTTTATAAATATAGCCATTAGATTAATCATAATTTCGATTATTTTTTCCTTACAGACTTGACCAGAATAATCGTTATTCAACTGAAGGAGCTGAAGGCGACTGTTGGCCAGGCCTTGGAAGCGATTATTACAACTATCAAGGAAACACAGAATTCTGTTGTTACTGCCTTACAAGCAAAGGTATTATTAGGCGTTTTAAATACCACATATTTATGCCAACTGTCTGATTTATAATAATCATAATTGATAATCAAAAATCATCATTTATCTGATACATTATACTGAGGGTCACTTGTCAAGATAAAAATGACCCTATTTCGTAACAATATGTTGTAGTAAATATTACACATGAAATTTCATTAAAATCAAGTGAACAGTTTCAAAAATTGAAGTGAAGATGAGATTTTTATATATAAAAATAAATATTACACACCTATAACAGCAAAACTGCCAAAAACCAGATAACTGACATCTATAGGAATAACCAGACTCGAGATAATTCAGAAAAACTAACTTTTCCTAAATCTGACTAGTAATCGAATCGATAGATACATTTTCACAAAGCCACGAAGATTAACATATCAACTTAAAAGTTATAATTTTCGATACAATAATTACTAATTTTTGTATTATTCTTATGGATCCTAACTACTTTTGGTCTTTTTTAGTATGAAGAATTGGGAGTACCAGAAAGTGTTCTGAATGCTATACTGGAGGCTCACAATGCAATTCGAGCATTGTTGCCAACAGAAGAAACCAAGAACTTCGCTGATGCGGTATACACCTACGTTTCTAAGGTATGATACCTCTACATTTCTAACTAAAATCATTATTAATTAACCACAAAAATAAAAAATAAAATATATTACATTTGCACTTACAGTTGAACTAATTAATGTGTTTTACATCTGTATATTGATCATTTTGTGTAATCACCTCTACAAAACTATTGTACGTTTTTTTTTGGCAACCCATTAACGTCCCACTACTGGTTTTTGTCCTCACACTGTATATTCCTAATAAGACGAGGATATATCCTTGTATACTAGGCTGATCGAGCGATTTGATGCAAGGTTTTATCTCGAGTTCTGTTCTACCCCTAATTGGGAGCTCCGAAATGCAGACAACTGCTTACCTACTAAGCTGTCATCACAAAGAACTCTCGGAATGTTACTAATGGATGTGTCCTTTTTCAGAAACTACGCTCAGAGAAATTCGACGAGCAAGCCCAATTGCGTGTTGTCTACGAGAAATTCACTGTGGCTCTGCAATCGCTCATTCAGTTCCTTCGCGGTCAATTCAACCAATTCGGAATACCGTCACTATTCAACATTGAATCCGTGAGTGCATTATCAGCAAATTTTACTATACACGAATGTATTCGGTACTTGTTCCTTCCACTACTATTATATTAATCTAATTTTCTACTTCATATATTATTTCTAAAAAATAACCATCAAACTGTCTGTTATTCATTTGCTTAATAAAGCAGATATTTTATTGTGTATTGCCTTTATTGTAGTGTATTGCCTTAATGTGTTACTATAATTGTCACATATTTTTCACCACATCTGCCCTTCATACGCTTTCTGTTTCTACCCAATGGTTAGCTGGTAGAGAATGCCATATGGCATTAAACTCGCCATTTGTACAAAATTTAACTGTGCAATAAAGAATAAATAAATAAATAAATATTTTTTCAATAGTTTCAAGTACATATTGAATATTAAGTTCGTTCTTTTATTGACACTTCACTCTCCACTTTTTATTTTTTTATTGGTTAGTTATGTCTTTCTTTATTGCAGATACCGTTTATCACTGGCCCCGGACAACTGTCATACACGCCGACAGGCGTAGGCGCATCTCTGAGTTTGGTGAACCAAATCTTGCGCGGAGACATCCCTGATCCTCTCTCGTTGATTCAAGCGTATAGACCTCGCAGTTTGGATCCATTCGATGAAATTCCTGCTAAACGTAAGATTTTTTTTTGTTCATTCAATACAATAATAAGTAAACCGACTGTGTACGAAAGTTTTCTTATCCCATTTCCCTATCCATTAGATATTGATGATTCTGATGATCATGATGATAGAAAAATCATATCTCTTCTACTAATAGTAGTTAGTTCTTAGGATTTCTATTCGTATTAATGGAATTAAACAAAATAATTCTATTCAACTAACCAGTCTTAAACCTCAGCAGGGACCTCATTCCATAACCTAAATATTTACAAGTAGAAACTTCTCAGAAACTGCACTTTATGCGGTCATTTTGGTTTTATGGATTTCTTTGAAATCATCGTGGTTTATTTATTCTTGATGAAATTATCACGATTGGCAACTAACATCACTTTATTCTCAGCTATCATCCCTCAATGGTGCCCTGCCAGCGTATATTGGTAGCGTAAGCGGGGGTACCATTCCATCGTCACCTATTAAAGAATACCATTTAGATTTTAGCCTATGAGGATAAACTGTATGTCTGTAGCAAGCAATGACATTAATTGTACCCTGTCTTCCACAGTTCGAGCGGTGGTCGTCAATGGACAACACATCTTCACGTTCGACGGTCGCCACCTCACGTTCCCCGGCAACTGTCGCTACGTCCTTGCTCACGACTACGTCGACAGAAACTTCACGCTTGTCCTACAACTGCAGAATGGCAAGCCCAAGTCTCTCATACTCGAAGACAAGAGTGGTACCACAGTAGAATTAAAGGACAACGGACAGGTATGTAAATGATTTAATTTTATTTTAAAAGTATATATTTTCTATTAAGCTATTGAAATTATTTAAATGTATAATGTAGTTCTATGATCATCATTGCTTTGCCTTTTCCCCATTTATTTGGACTGCATTGCCCATGAATATTGTGAATTTGAATGTTTGAATTGGCTTAACAAAATTTAATGAAAATTAATGCACAGATGGACCTTATCCTGTATTAACACATAATTTCAGCTCCTCATAGAAGCAAAGAGGAATATAGCTTCTTACAAAACATTAATTTTTTTTTCTTTTGACAATAAGGCGTAATTGTTTATTTATTATAATTTTAGAAAGTGTAAATGGTGAACTAAATACCATATGGCATTATCTACAAGTTGACCGTAGACAGGAATAACATAAAATATAATTGACGGTGCAACGTAATTAACAATATTCACCTTTTAATTATTTTTATTCTCATATTGGGAAAAGTTTTTGACTTAGACATCATCTTCAGTGTTATTTACTTCTGCAGTCAACTTGCCTACATACGAGTAGTTTGTTTTGTTTTAAAAATAAAATATCATGACTTAAAAATCAAAATTAATCTTCTATTACTCGTGTATGACTTATTGTCGTTAGATAAGTAGATTTGTCCTATGTGACGCGGTGTTGTAAGCGTCATTGGGTTCCATATCCTGTTAGTTATAGATAAGTCAAAGGTTTTATACCATCTAAATTGTAAAAACAAATGTTCTCTCCCAGGTTGCAGTCAACGGTGCTTCACACGGGTACCCTGTTGAAGAGAAAGACGTCTACGCATTCAGAAGGCCCGATGGTGTGCTTGGTATTGGATCGCAATACGGTGCATTGGCATACTGTTCTGCTAAACTCGAGGTACGTTCTTGGTTGTTTTGAACTGATAAACAACTTGCTTTATTGGGTCTTCCCAAGATCTGGAGCTAGTTATACAAAAAAAGTGAACTGTGATAGCTCAAGTAATGTGGTTGTTTCCTGCCTTCTTTTTAAATCTAAATTTAAGATCTTAAATATTTTTTTCATTGTAAAAATTTTGGTATATTATGATAATCGTATAAAGTCTATTTCAACTACTTTTAACTCAAGTGTAGTCACTCTTCTTCTACTTCCTATAGTTTGTTCTCAACAAAAGATTTTTTGAATTTTTTAAGATATTTAGAATAACAAACAAGCTGATGGCCTACCTGATGGAAAAATGGTTATTGTCACCTGTAGATGTTAACAGTATCATGAACATCACAGAACAATCTGTAAAATTATAAAAAAATATAATGATTAATGAAAAGAGCTTTTGTATAAACCAACTTTTAAGTTTATTTTGATTTGTTTAACAATATCACTACTATTGCCAAAACTTCTAATATTTATTTATACCCGTTTAATGGTATCATATAGGAAGAGCCACTATATTAGTGTACTATTTGTCATTGTTTGTCAAAACTAAATAATCTCTTTCAATCCAGGTGTGCTACTTCGAAATAAACGGCTTCTACCTCGGTAAACTGCGTGGTCTGCTGGGTGACGGTAACAACGAGGCATATGATGACTTCAGACTGCCCAATGGAAAGGTACGTTGCTCTAATCAATACAATGTCTAACATGACATTAATTTATGTTTTTTGTATGTTTTCTATCTCTATATCTTTGGACTATGAGCTTTTCTTTAAAATACTATTAAATTCTAGCGGCGTATGCTGAAAAAACTAAACATCAAGAACATCCTTGCATACTTGTTTCAGCTACTTTTATAACTTGTCTTTTGCATCAAAATCGATTCTAGAAACTCTTGACTCCTCCCTCCAAAAAAAAAACAGTTTAAAAACTATTATATGACTAAAACTTATTGGACGAGAGGTGGGCAGCAGTATCCCTCTTAAAACAACTCCAACGCCTAACTGCAGTTGCCAATCCGCCTGTCAAGCGTGGATCAACTGGCAAAACCTCTCAACAGAAAGAGGCCTATGTTCAGCAGTGGACATTTAACGGCTGATATAATATCAGCCGTATATATGACTAAAACAATTTCACGAGTACATAACTGAAAATTTGTCTGACTAAAAATTGAACTTAATACATTTTGAATGACAATTTTTCGGAGAAAATTTACTAATTATTCTAATATGATATTTATTACAGATTTCCACATCGGAATCTGAATTTGGCAACTCGTACCGCTTGGCTAGCAGCTGCCCGCAGGCCAAGTGTCCGGAACACTCACATCACCAGCAGCACGCTGCTCTGCCGCCTGCTTGTGAACAGGTCTTCGGAGGCACCTCCACGCTGCGCCCGCTCAGCTTAGTACTCGATGTTGCTCCATTCAGGTGCGCTGGAAACATTCTTAATTCTCTTATAAAACTTAAAGGAGAAACAGATTTAATAGTCGAAAATGGCATAAGATAAAAAACGAACATAAGTTTTAACAATAGAGAGATAGATACTCTTTGTTGTTTCCTCCAAAAGATTACAATAATAAATTTATTATAGACTGATTACAAGAAATATTCACACTGAGAAAACCATAGCTGGCCTTAACGCTAAAAGGGATCTCTTTAAGGCAACTTTTGGATAACTTGGATAACTGCGGTTGCCAGCCCGCCTGCCAAGCGTGGTAACTACTGGCAAACCCCTAAGGGAAAGGCTTATGTTCAGCAGTGGACAGTTAAAGGCTGCTATGATGATGAACAAATTTGGTTCTACTGTTCCAATCTGTACATAAATAATTATATCAGATGACATACAAGATAACATTTCACGGGATAGAGTGTGGTTTCACCATAGAGATGGGCGACACCACAGCATCACAGAGTACAGTCATGCATTTCAAATCCTGAAGACTACTGAAGAGAGGTGTTTAAATTTCTACTCTTAAATATTGAATTAAAAAAAATGCAATCTTAACAACAGACAAGCCTGCATCCATGCTGTTGCTGGCAACGCTGAGAATGCACTCCGCGAGGCCTGCTCCCTCGGCGCTGGGTACGTTGCACTTGGACTCGGAACCCTGCTACCAGCAGTTTTACCACCTGCCTGCGTCCGCTGCACAGACGCCGGTGGCAGCAAGAACATCGGCGACACCTACGAGGTCAAGCTGCCCAACAAACAAGCCGACATCCTTGTCGTCATCGAAACTACGAAGGTTAGTTGCTGAAATCACTGCCATGGGTTGGTTTTCGCACTTTTAACTTATATTGGTAAGGTACCAGTGAAAGATAAGTGAGGATGACGTTAGGTTAGTAAGGTCATCGTGATGATTTCGCCAGAATTTAGCCATGATAATTTTCTGGGGGACTCCATAGAAGACAATATATATGGGAATCTTACTATTTTACTGTTGCTTCCCATTGCTAACAATTCTCTCTCTCACATGTATATTTATTTAAAATTCTTTATTATAGATGGCCACTCTATATATTTTGAGGATGATCTACATGTAGTTTGATACATAAAAGAAATACACAGTATAGTGTTATAGTGTTAGGTTTCGTTTGGAAGGGCAAAATAGAAATTGTAATTTCTGATACGTGAGATCACATAGCTCGAAGAAGCGACAACCGATGGGAAAGAAAGGTGCTTGAGTGGTGATCGCGTTCGGCTAAACATATTGTAGGACAACCCTTCAACTAGGTAGAGTGACGACCTCAAATGCATTGCAGGAAGTCATTGGATACAGGTGGTTCAGAACCTTTCTTTATGGCAGTCTATGGAGGAGATCTATGTTCAGTAATGGACGGATAATGGCTGAAATGATGATGAGATGCCATGACGTTTATTATGTGTTCACTTATAGACAAAATGTCTCACTGGTTTCGTTTACTGGAAATTCATTATTATCTTCCAGATATTTTTACATGATCATTTGAACTTCATTATTACATTGTTATGCTAAAGAACAGTTAAATGAAATAAACTCAAGACTTTTGACTACTAACAAGGCATTTTTATTACTTATCGCAGAGCAACGAGAAGAACTACAAGGATTTGGTAGTACCGTTGGTCTCTCAAGTGGTGGACAACCTGAAGAGCAAGCACATCACCGACATCAAGGTCTATTTGATCGGAGTCACCTCCAGATTCCCGTACCCTATCGTTTACGACACAGACTGTAAGTTTGAATTATATTATCTACCTCCCTATATAGTTTTAGATTATTACAAATCAAAGACTTCGCAAAGTTAGTATCTAAGTACTGAGATACGAACATGGCTTGATTTAATTTCTAGGACTACAAACTGATAGGATTTGTCTGTGACTTTAGTATTATTTTGCAAGACAATTTAATATAAAGTTAATCTGTAAAACTATCCGGTTTTAAACGCTTATAATAGGCTCTAGATTCAATAGTTTGAACAATCATTCCAGCTTATTGTTTTCCTTATAACAACTGTGCACTTTCTAACAAAAGACTGCATACCTAAATTCTCAGGGCTGTTACGACTTCATATTTTGTTCGTGTCTATAAGTGGTAAGGTAAATATTAGTTATATTCCAGTAATATTTAAAAATAAATTTCCTTTCCCGTGGGTATCATAAGAGGCGACTAAGAGGGGGCGAGGGATGGGCAGCAGTGTCCCTCTTAAAACATCTTCAAAGCCTAACTGCGGTTGCCGATTTGCCTGTCAATCACGGCAATTACTGGTAAAACACCCCCTAGTGGGAGGCTTATGTTCAGCAGTGGACAGTTAAAAGATATGATGTTTTAAAAATAAACAAAAACAGTCTGTATTGTTGTTACACCACATCATACTGACTCAAAATTAGAGGGTCCTAATATATGCCAGTGAACTTCTTATCGACAAGTCAAATATTTCTAATACGAACAAAAACACTTTTATATTTATTTGTCACTAATTACCATTATTATTTTAGTGAAACTGAAGAGCGCGAAGGTTGCATTCAATGATGAGCATCGTTACCAATACACACCAACCATAAAGACCAACTGTGAGAAGGCGGATTCCATCCAAAAGACAATTGCCAATGTCATTGATGAAATCAGAATTGTCTTGGGTAAGTTCAAAGCTATATACACGTATAATAATTGTTATTAGCAATTAAAATTTCGTGAAAGACAATAAAGTTTCATAAATCGAAACAGTCCAAATAAACAACATGCTAAATCTAGAAACCTGCCACCTAAAAAAGACTTGAAAACAATTATTAAAGCTTTCGTATATTGTAGTATCTGTTATTTATAATTGATGTGCAGTTCCATAAATAAAAAATATGATGAGTACTCAGTTTCCTTCTCAACTTACTTTAGTAACTTGTCAATATTCTACAGCTGGACACAGGTCCTTCTTCTTGTAGATTGATATAGGCCTTTATTTCGTTATGAAAAACAACTTCTTTGCGAGTTTTTATAGGTTTCAAAGTATAAAAATTCTAGGCTATATTAATTCTCGTCTCTTATAAACCATATATTCCAAGGTATATCATATGTCGTCTACATTACATGTATTATTTCTAATAACGTCGTCATATATTCATATGTTTTATTAATTTCAGGATTATCCAACATCAATGCTGGATATTTGAGTGCATTCGAGACACCGCTGCGACCTGGTGCTCTCAAACACGTTATTACGGTCAACGGTGACGCGTGCAAACTTGAAATTGTAAGTTCGGATATAATCTTCATTATAACCGATAATATTATTATTATTACTAAAATCATTATTGGAGACTACAAAAACCACGTGCACAGAGAGCTCTGTCTCAGCTGTATTCCTGTCGTGAGTCAAGTGTGCTTCCGTGATGTGTTTTAGTTTAGCTTAGCCAGTTAAATTACAAAATATCTAATAGGAAACAATTATTTCCTATAAATGACAATGCAAGAAGCATGGCATGGGCAGTATAGTATTATCCATGGTGCTGTTCATGTCTATAGATGACGGTTATTTTTCATTAGATGGACCATTAGCTTATTTGCCATTTTCAATTGTCACAGAAATATTGATATTTTTTTACTGTCTATATTTTAGAAATACATTATCTTGAGTGTAAATATAACTTTTTTGTTTTTAGGGTACTCCACTACAGGCAATTAGTAACATAATCACATACAACCAATTGGGCATCACCCATAGTTTGGTAGCATCCATCCCCGGTCTCGAAGTTGACGGCAAGAGCGCTCCTAACGTTATTGGTACGTACTATAGCTTAAATAGCAAATACTAGAAAATACATTTTGCTCTATAAATAAAAAAAAAAAACATTACTTCCTAACGAAAATTGAATTATTAAAAAAAAAATATGATCAGTGTTACTCAGGAGGATATAAGGGTTGTAACGATGCCCCATAGATATAACCAAATCTGTTTGGTAATTTAGAAATCATGGTAGAAAAAGTCACATATATAAAACTTCAAAATATTACACTCCTTTTATGGAAACACAGTATAGGCACGCTTAAGAACGACGAGATGTTTCTTAGACACGTTTATAATTGCCTTTTTCCACAAGACAATTTTGCTTCAAAACGAACAGTTTTTGCTCCACAAAAAAGGCAACTACAATCATTACAAAAAAAAACATAGAATCTCCATGGAAATAAACCCTATCGATTAAAAAATTGATAGAAAAATCGTGAAATTTGGTTTGGATAAAATTGGTAACATACTCGCAAAAAAATCACTTTAAAAAATCTGTCTTGTGGTGAAATTGATGCATTATTACGTTTAAAAGGTGAAAAAAATGAAACTTCAATGTTTACAGGTTACACCAACGACTACGCTTTGGAGTTCGATGGAAAGAAACATGCCAAGGAAGTACAGGGCGCGAAGGTCACTCTCACAGAAGACAATTACTGCGCTGAATTGACTGAAGTCGTATGTATACCGCTTATTTTTACATGCGATACAGTTATAAAAAATGCAAGCAATTTTTAAAAAAAAAATATTAAAAATGGGTATATTAAAGTTTCTTCAGGGTCAGCAACGCGCACGTGACACACCTAGAGTTGCTGTAGTCCAGGCTACAGTAATCATTTACCATCAAACGGGATGTACGCTTGTTAGCTTTTGTGGTTTAAAAAAAAGTATTTTGATGTCATTATTTGTTTTTCGGAAAATTAAAAATTCTCATTACCGATTTACCTGCATGCATCTAAATATATATTAATATTTTGTGTTTCAGACTGACGGACTCGTTTTATCTGCTACCAACTACAACGCTTTGGGTGCTGGCGAGCGGAAGCAGTTCCTGCTGGCTGCCGCCAATGCTATCACTCAGAGAATCTTGCAAGAGTCCATCGTGGAGGAATGCGTCTGTAACTACGCAAACCCCTTCGTCGGCCGCTCCGCCTGCGTCGTCAAGTCGAGGAAGGAAGTGGTAAGTATTCCCTTCGTAATCATTATAACTTCTTTATAAGTATTTCTCATATTTGCCATAAAGTTCGATTTTGCTCTACTTGCAGTTTCTCTCCACACTCCTGAAAAACCGTCTAAAAAATCTAACTTAAAATTTGATATACGTTTTAGCTTTACATGTCATCTAGGATGGTCTGTTTCATTGATTTTCCAATTTATGAAATCTGCGTGGATTATAAAGTTACAAGCCGTGTAGTCCTGGGATAGAATAGGCCACCCCATCCTTTTCCATGGGTCTCATAAGAGGCGACTAAAGGCGACTCCCTCTTAAAACATCTCCAAGGCCTAATTGCGTTGCCAATCCGCCTACCAAGCGTGGCAACTAAACTAGCAAAATCTCCCAAGGGGAGGCTTATGTTACAGTTAAAAGCTGATATGATAAAGTAGCATTGTTCTAACCGCCATATGATAAACTGAGCCTATTGTAATTCCTTATAACTGAGTTGTAATTTAATTCTTCTCGTTTACAGGCTCGCAGACGAAAGTAAGCTGTCCCAAATGAAACCAACGAGACTGTGATTTGTGCCATTATGTACCGAATACTCTAGTTTTATATAGCTACCGTCTCGTACCGTGGGAGCGAGATGTATATACATGTGTACGTATATGCATCTCTTTCGCACAACGTTATATCAAACATCCCGTTACCTCTCTTTCTATAGCTGTTCTGTTTTTTTTTTTTTATTTTATTATAAATTATTTAAGTACATAATTGTCTATACAATAAAGAGGCGTTGTCTCATTGAAATAATCTCACCTTGTATTAGAATAAAATATGTTAATAATTATATGCTGTACTTTTATTTTTCAAACAACCCTTCACCACTGTTTAGACTTATCCATTTATTTTTACTAGTGGTCGCCCTGTGGTCGAAATTCAACCATAACATACATTGTAATAAATAAATTTATTGTGGTTATGTTCGACCAAATTTCGGAATAGAATAAATGGAATGTGTGTATGTAAATAATTCTTATAGTGTGTTGCTCGTTGTATTTAGGACATTACCAATGCGTTAGAGAGAGAGATAAAATTACATCTGCCTTTTGACTAATCCGTAGAAGTCAAATTCATCGAGATATGTCACTTGGTTTTATTGGCCGTATAACCCTACCAAATTCAGATACAACCTGCTTGCATACTTTCTACATAAACTGTGTCGAATATATAATTTAGTAACGTAATTTTTTTTAGAATTAAAATTTGAAATTTGTCATTTTAAGTTGCATAAAAAAAGGTGCGATACAAAAATATTTTCCGTAAAACCATTGTTGTTTTTTGTAGCTTGTTTGCCATTATTTGGCATTATATGTTGCATAAAACAAATTATAGTCCTTATCTAAATAATTTCTTAATCACGGTTCGTTTAAAAGTTGCAACGGGTATAAAAATAAAATAAGAAATTTGCATAAATTTTTTTGTTTCTTTTTTAACTTCTTAATGTTAAAAGCACTACAATATTTGTGGTGCTTATTTCACAGCAATGCATGGCAACTACTGGTAAACCCCCCTAGGGGAGGCTTATGTTTAACAGTTAAGGGCTGATACAACAATACAAATAAACTTACCTTATTCGCTCATTTTACTTTAAACTGCAAAAACAAATAATACAAAAATAAAACAAATATAAATACACAAAATAAGTATTTTATTTTGTAAGAGATTATGACATTATAATATAAAATTATATTAAATAAAATAATATAAAATTAATTATTTAATACAAATTAGTAATAATTTTTGCGGACCCAGCGTACCCGGGGCCCGCCTCGCTGAGACATTATCTTCACTGATGCACCAGCAGACACTTTCACTACCTCTTGAATCTGAAATACACCATAATAAATAAAAAATAATAAATAAATACACTTACGGCTATAAACCCAAAATGAAGGGCGAAAGGGATTGTTAGTTATGGAGACTGAGAATCCCATTGCTAGCAATATAACCAACCAGGTCGACCTCCTCGCAATTCCCACTGGAAACTACCATGGTTAATTCCTGATGAATTCATCATGATGCGCTAACTGGCCTGTTTTCATTCTCATCTATCTCCCTTCACTGGTGCTCCGCCAGCGTATCCCGTTAGCTCAGGCGGGGTTACCATACCATTTTCACCCATCAAAAAAAAAACCCAAAATGGATCGCAAGAGAAGCATTCGTCTACCATTTTGCGTTGTGAATGTAATGATATACACTTTTCTCCGAGTATGTTCGAACTAGTGGTGAGGAATATTATTTATTTATTTATAGCAAGGCAACAGATTACAAATTACACCAGAGGGAGACTTTGTATAAAAGTCGATTGCTTTACTTTGATTACTTTGATACCCCCCATGCGTTGCCATTCCTGAGGACTCAGATGTTATTCCTCTGTACCCTGTAAATTCACGCCATATCCCACCCTTCAAACCGAAGCACAGCCATGCAAACACAACTGCTTCACGGTTGAAACACGAATGGGACAGAGGTACCCAAGCAAACGACTTTTGTACAAAGTCTCCCTCTGGTGAATGGGTGATGACCGTTTTTCCGCCATCAATAGATAGATAGATAGATACTCTTTATGTTTTCTTCAAAAAAGATTACAATAGTAAACTTATTATAAATCAATATCCATGGAAAACCAATATATATAGACTTTAGAGATGTTTTAAGCGACGCTGCTGCCCATCCCTCGCCCTCCCTTAGTCACCTCTTACAACACCCACGGGAAAGGAAGGGATGGCCTATTTTGACTACGCAGCCATTTACAAATACGGATGATGAGGGAAAGGGATTGTTAGTAATGAGGTCTAATAGCCCCTTACTAGCACTATACCCTCTTAGGTCGACCTCATCTTGGTTCCCCCTGAAAACCATCACGGTAAATTTTTGTAGAATTCATCATGGTAGGCCAACTGACTTGAATTCATTCTCACCTATCATCTTCCAATGGTGCCCCGCCGGTGTATACCGATAGCGCGGGCGGGGATACCATTCCATTATCACCCATTAAAAAACACGGATTATAAATCCAATGTGGGCCGTATGAACAATTTAAATACGTAACATTAATACATACGCTAAGCATCAGGTTTTCTGCATTATTCACCAACATATTCACGTCTTCTTGGTCTTCTCTAGAGCCTGCAAAATTTATCACACTACATTTATCACCTGTTACATGCGATATCACTCGCTTGGAACTTGTGATTTCCTATTTCTGTATTGCCAAAACTCAAAGATAAAATAGACATATCTTTATAAATTTTATAAAGGCTCTAAAACTAAGACAATAAGTATTGTAGAAGGAAGATACCTATATGTCATGTCAAGAAAAATAAAACAAATATAATATTATTGACAGTTTCTATAATGGGTGCTAATGAAGTAGTTTAGTCAGAAGCATACGTATACTGTTATGGTGAATATACACAATATTCGACATGCCCACATTTCGCCGAGCATATTTGAATCCATACTTATAATTCTAACGTTATTTTTAAAGATTCAAAATATAATTAGAAGGAATAGCTATAAATAACGTCTATTTAAATTACTGTGACAACCGACGTGACGTATCAAGTTTGCATAAGTAGACATGAAAATTACAGCTACAATTATTTTTATTAATACATTATCATTTAGTGAAATTAATATTTTTATTAACTGTGATATCACCATTGATAAATAACATGTGATTTTCACTCCGAATGATTTAATGTCGCCCTCATTACTATTTGCTATTGAAAGTGAAATATAAAGTTTGATTTTTATGTTAAAACCCAGCGAATAGACACTTTAACGCAGTGTGATAAAGTCTCCATTTGCTCGCTCTGTAGTGTGCCAATTAAATAAATATCGAAATAAATAAAAAAGCAAGTTCAGTTACCTTCAGGTCCCAGCATAGATCCTTTGACTGTAGTCAACATCTTCAGCTGGCCGCTTATTGTTGGGATTCTCTGGCACACTTGCAGAAGGTTCTGTTAAAATGCTCCATGAAATAAGTGAAAGAAATAAGAAAGTTTATAAAGAACAGAACGTCACAACATTAAGTGTTATTAAAAAAAAAATATAATAATATATTGTCAGCAGAATTAAAGGTGTATGTAAAGTTTCAGTTTAAACAAGAAAGCAAGCTTGTCAAGAAATGGTTCTATTCAGCTTAAAAGATTTGACCTAAACAAACAAAACATACATTGCAAACTAAATAAAATCTTTTAAATATACCTACCATACTTTGTAATATTTAAAGAAAATTATGAATGTATACATATTATTTAGTATGTGCGTAAAAGATTCTCAATCGCCAAATGTTTTTAAATGATATTCGGTATGAAATATCCCAATAACATGTGGTGGATAATACAACAAAATCATTAGCAAATCGTTAAAAGATCTACGTACATTTTTAATCCTCATATCGGAGCACTCGTGCGCTAACTTCCTAGCTAGTTCGGCCACTTCTGCGGACTCGCTCACTATCTTCTTTGAGGTTGCGATCAGTTCACGCTTTCTATCTGTAGGTACATTTTTGTTAATAACCATGTATCCTACAAAATATTGCATTCCATACTGGCATTATAGCTATGGGCCAAAAATCGGCTTGGATAGGATTGGGCGGATCACATTAGCTGCATGTGATCCGAAAAGTTGGCAAAGATCTCCGCTCTATTAGTTTTACTATAAAACTGATTAGCTATTTTAGTTTCAAAAGTGAAAATATCACATAGTGAAATTATTGATCACAGTGACATCACATGCTATATCTTTATGTTACAAAGATCGGCAAAATGTGACTGATGCTTTTGATATTGTAAACGCATATACTTGATCAATACCATCGTTATTTGACTCATTTTACTATTCAATATGAAATTCTGTACAACTTCATGAAGCAGTTGTGTTTGCATGGCTGTGTTTCGGTTTGAAAGGTGGAATATGGCGTGAATTTACTAAGTACAGAGGAATAACACCTGAGTCCTCAGGAATGGCAACGCATGGGGTATCATGGGCGAAACAGTATACTCTATTATGTCCATGGTACTGCTATGTCTATAGGCGACGGTTACCACTTTTCATCAGGTGGGCCGTCAGCTTGTTTGCCATTCTAAGTTGTATAAAAATTAATCCTATATGTAAGACTCATGACTATACAAAAACTGAGTACAGATCTATCCTAAACAACAATATACCCCAATTCTCAAGCAGCAGCACCAATCATTACAATAGCGATAAAATGCCACTATACGCAAGAATCTTTATTAAAAAGATTGGCTAAATAAGTCACATCCGAGCACACCAACTCCAACAACAGACCCTTATGCAGACAATAATTAATAATAGCGGAATTAAACCAGTCACCGTGACCAAAAACGGTCAGGACTCATCACTCATCATACCCAAATTGTTGTAAGGTAGCGTAAGTTTTGGGTATGTAAAAATGAGAGTGACAAATGTAGGTACGGGCGAAGATCTGAACCAACCTTACTACGATCAGATAGACCGTGTTCAAGCAGTGTGAATGCATGAGACAAGTTATGATGAACGAAGCAAGAGGTGAAATGTTTTCTCTGGTCACCTCCTAATGAACTTGGAGTGAAAATATATAAATAATAATATATAATAGTTACTGTTGTTCATATAGTCTGAGAGGCGCGCCATGAGCACGGCCATCCGCTTGGCGACGGCGACTATCTCGTTGTCCCGCGCCGACCACTCGCGCACCGCTGTGTGCAGCCCCAGCGCGGCCGTCTATCACCACCACCATCACATCATCATCATCATCATACAAGGTGAAATTGAAAACACTGGCATCTTTTAAGAATGTATTCTGCTTGGAATTAAATATTTTCACTCAAGAAACATGGATAAAAAAATGTTAAAAAATTTTGAGTCTCCCAACTCGAAACGGAGCGTCAAGTAAGAAAGTTAGTATTTGAAGCTCTGAATATTTTATCAATTGCCAAACTAGTTTGAAGCCTTCTTCGTCTTCCAACCTTTAGGAAAATTTTCAGTTCCACAGGTACGATTCTACCACTTTTTATTGTATTAGCCGTTGACTGTCCATTGCTGAACATAGCCTCCCCCATAAGGGGGGTTTTACCAGTAGTTGCAACGACTGGCAGGCGGGTTGGCTTTTAGTGGTGTTTTAACACTGCTGTCCATCCCTCCCCTCATTAGCTCCCTTAGTCACCTCTTTTGACACCCACGGGAAAGGAAGGGATGGCCTATTCTGTGCCAAGATCTACACGGCTATCTGAACATTTCTTAATTGTAAAAAATTGTGAAAAAATACATACGAAAATCGGTTGATTAGATTCCGGTTGCTTCTGGAATATCATCTCGCCACCCAGCACTGATTCCACTTCGCCTGTTGTACGTAAAATCTGCAAAGAAATGAAATAAATAAACGCCATTGGATACAGCCTCTTCTAGTTCTAAACTGAACAGAGCTTATACTATGGGGATTAAATTTAAATATCTTTTTCTTAGAGTTTTCTACGCATGTATTGATACAAATAAATTTATGTGTCTTATAGTAAAAGTTGCGCTTAATTTGGGGCTAGATGGCGTTATTTAATATTTTTTAATGATTGATAATGCAATGGTTTTCCCGCCTGCGCTAACGGTATACACTGGCGAGACACTAGCGAGGGATGATAATAATAAATTTATTTGGAATTAAGTACAAGATGATACAGAGAGGAGACAGCGAGGAGTTCGAGCTGGCAGGATACATTGCTAGCAATAATGCTGCTAAACTTGCAGTAAGTAACTAGCAGATGGTGAGACGAACCTCGGCGGTGGTGAGGCGCCAGTCGGGCGCGAGGCTGCGGCGCGCGGGCACGCTGGCCGCCACGCGGCGCCGCACGGCCGCCAGCGCGCGCTGCAGCTCGGGGTCGTGTCTGGCGTCGCAAGACTTCATGCCCACGTTGATCACGCGGTTCGCCAGCCTGATCAACGTCAGCAGTCATTTATTTAACTATGTATTAAATATATATAAATATATATGTAGAAATAACATCTGAGTCCTCAGGAATGGTAACGCATGGGGGATATCATGGCCGAAACATTATACTCTGTTATGTCCATGATACTGCTCATGTCTATAGGCGACGGTTATCACTTTCCATTAGATAGGTCAGCTTGTTTGCCATTCTAAGTTGTATAAAAAAAAGTATTAGTAACTTAAAATATACATTTATATATGTATTTATTCTGTAACGCGTCGGGGATATTTGCAAAGCATCGTGTAGATTGTTTTTATGCCACGATGTGTATGTGTATGTGTGTGTGTGTGAGTGTGTGTGTGTGAGTGTGTGTGTATGTGTGTGTGTGTGTGTATATGTGTGTAAATTTACTAACATTAGTTTTAAAAATATCGTTACTAACAAATATTTAACAGACCGACTTATGGCTTATATTATATTATGCAACAAAAAATAAAACGTAAACTTACTTGGTAATCGACAATGCATACTGGTAATTGTCTTTTTCTAGCGACGAATCTTCTCTCATACGTTGCATCGTTTCTCCTGCAATAGAGAACTCATTGACATTTCTATGGTGTTGTTCATGTCTATAGAGGGTGGTTAGTACTCTCCTTTGAATGAGTTGTTATAAAATTAATGTAACTATATTAAAGTGGTACAAATATGTCTAAATTATTAATTAGTAATTGAAAAAAAAACAAAGCAAACAAAATTACGACCGAGTGAGACATGGAAGATCAGAATAATGTTATATTTTATAATAATTTACAAGTATACTATAATTAATTGTATTTGTTATTATTTTATTTTTAAATTCATTATATTAAAAAGGTAAATATAATCAAAATTTATTTATAACTAACTTATTTCTAGGCTATTTTAAACCCTTAGACTAGATAGATAGTTAGATACTTAGATAGAACATCGAGCCTCAAAAACGGGTCAACTTTTTGTCAGCTAATTGTCAAATAAGCTGACTTGTTTTTTTGTCAGTGTTCTACATACTTACGCGTACAATGTATCTTGGCATATTATTTAATAAATAAAACAAGTGTTTACGCATTGAAACGATACAGAAATTATAAGACAAAATGAATATGGAAGTTATAAAGGAATCACTTGTATTTATTTATAACATACAATTGTATGAAAAAGATGACCCGGTTTTCTCGAAGCATTTGTATGGAGACACTCTATCTATATAATCTAAGTTTAAAGTCTACATCGTTTATGTACATGAAAATGCTTGGCCATCCTTCTTGCTCTAAAATACAGAATACTATGTTTTTTTTCTTTTTTACACCAAACGGCTGCTGCTCGCCATTGATTTGGTAAAAAAGCCCAATTGCCATAAACAATTACCCAGGATATAACAGCTGGTGAAGAAGATGAAGATTGAAACTCACCAGCGGTCTGCACGAAGTCCATGGGGTCCACAGACTGGTCGCACAGCTCCCGCACTCTTGACACGGTCTCCGCGAACTTAGCTAATATCGCTTTGTAATTGTCTACTACCGCCTGCCAACACAGAATATGTACGTAGTAAACATTATTACGTGTTATTATGTACACATGTTATTACAATTTAATTAGATACCTTTGTTTTTTAATTTAATTCATTTAATTAATAATAAATTAGTTATATATTAAATTCTAAGCATATGACTCTAAAATAATACGGTATTTTGTTAAATACTCCTTTTCATTATTTTCAATCGACTTTAACTAGAAGAGGATTCTCAATTCAGTCAATTTTTATGTTTGTAACAAGGATTTTTTTTATACAACTTAGAATGGCAAACAAGCTGACGGCCCACCTGATGGAAAGTGGTAACCGTCGCCTATAGACATGAGCAGTACCATGGACATAACAGAGTATACTGTTTCACCCATGACACCCCCATGCGTTGCCATTCCTGAGGACTCAGGTGTTATTCCTCTGTACCCTGTAAATTCACGCCATATCCCACCTTTAAACCGAAACACAGCCATGCAAACACAACTGCTTCACGGTTGAAACACGAATGGGACAGAGGTACCCAAGCAATCGACTTTTGTACAAAGTCTCCATCTGGTATGTATATTTATATAATTATATAAATTGCAGAAACTGTAAGGTATCTTATAGTTCCTTTTATTTTAACGAGACAAATGGCATGAGATTTGTAAGAGAGAGACTCTTACAAATTGTGTCCCCTGATGGCCGACATCATATCTACAAAAGAAATGTCATACACATCCTCATACAAATTAGTGTGTGCTTCTAATACTCTCATTCTTTCTGTTGTTAACTCATTCATTATTTTGTTTTTATTATAATTAACTGTTCATTTAATCACCGTTGTATTTTTATGAAATACTCAATATTTTTCCTTTTTTCTTTCATTTCTTTTTTTGATGATAATGGTGATGAGATTAAAAAAGAACGACGTCTTTTTAAAGTCGTAAACGCCATCACCCTATCTGGGTCTAAGACGTATTTTAAATCAATTTAACTTACCTCGTCATTGGGTGAACCAACTCGTTCCTGTGCGGCTTTCACCAGCATTGGAGCGAGGAGATCGGCCTGAAAAACCAATTATATAGAAATAAAATTGATAGTGGTTGAAACGCCCATAGATGATGCTGGTCAAAGTATCGAGAAATGTTAATTATGAACCTGTATCGCCACTCTTCTCTAAGCTGACGGCCCACCTGATGGAAAGTGGTAACCGTCGCCAATAGACATGAGCAGTACCATGGACATAACAGAGTATACTGTTTCGTCCATGATACCCCCCATGCATTGCCATCCCTGAGGACTCGGGTGTTATCCCTCTGTACCCTGTAAATTTACTGCCACTTCTACTACTACTCACTGTCCTTCAAAACAGGGGGAAGGGATGGTTAGTAATGCTGACTACCAGTCCCATTGCTAGCAATATGCCCTGTCAGGTCGACCTCCACGTGGTCCCCCATGGAAACCATCATGCTGAATTCCTAATGTATTCATCACGATGGGCTAACTGATCTGCTTCATCCTCACCTATCATCCCTCACTGGTACCCCGCCAGTGTATACCGATAGCGTAAGCGGGGTTACCATTCTATTATCACCCATTTACCTATAGAATACCCTTCGAATGCATGGGCAAACACAATTGCTTCACGGTAGAAACACAAATGGGACGGTTATTGCTGTCACGAACTGACCTGGTTAGTGCACGTCTCTATCTCAACAGAGATGTGCTGCCCGCCGGAGCCAGCGTCCGCGACCAGTCGAGCTGTCTTCTTCACTCGCCCCAGCTGTGCTAGTAGCTCAGCTATCTTACGCTCCAGCAAGAATTTTCGTTTCGCTTCATCTGTATAACGACGAATCTTTCTTAACACTTCAATGTCGGGGGGAAAGACATTATTAGTAATGAGGTCTAATTGACCCATTGCTAGCAATACAGGCAATAGCAATCAGGTTGACCTCCACGCGGTTCCCCTTGGAAACCATCGTAGTTAAGTGAAATTCGTCAAGATGGGCTAACTGACTTGCTTTTTCATCCTCATCTATCATCCCTCATTGGTGTCCCATCAGCGTATCCCGATAGCGCAGGCGGGGTTACCATTCCATTATCACTTATTAAAAAAACACTTCATTGTCTGTTTAGATTCATAATTACATTTATATTATCTAGTAAACAAAAACCACTAAAAGAAACAAAAATATGCAAAGAGAGAGAAGCAAAAAAGACCAACATACTCCATACCCTCCATATCCTTTTATCTCTTTTTCTTGCTTCACTATATTTTAACAAGCAAGTGGATGGCAAATGTTATGCAGATATCGACTAATGAGCACCAAACACTTCTACACAGTAAGTAATCGTGTTTTATTTTATTTCATTTTTATTAAGTATATATTTAAGTGCTAATATTATTTGATACATTGTGTTCAATTAATAAAAATATGTCATTCAGTCAATAAATGTATAATTACCAGTTTCTATGTCGATGATATACTCGAGGTCGGCGAGCGGCTCCTCTCCCTCCATGAAGTCCTCCACCACCATGGTGACGATGCCACGCTCGATGCACTTCCTCAGGCCCTTCAGTCGCTCCAGCAGGAGGCTTCGAAACGAAACGTTGAATCATTTCAGGATATTATTACAATAACCGTAATTTAAGATATAAAAAAGGACTTTCATTTTGAAGAAATTAAGTTACAAATAACTATTATGAAAGTAAACATAGTGAATTAAATAAATAATTAATGTTTGTAGAAAAACATCTTGCATAAAATACTTTGAAAGAAAGAAAGATTTTTATTCAAGTAACTCAGATTTGCGCATTTTTTAAATAGTCACTACTCCATTACTGTCCATTCGGAACGTAATTTTAGCCAAGAAGAATGATACACAAAGAAAATTTGTTACAGTACACTTTTATATTTTTTAAATAATACAAACAAATATATATTTTTTTTTTGATGGGTTAAAATGGTATGGTAACCCCGCCTGCGTTAACGGGATACGCTGGCGGTGCACCAGTGAAGGATGATAGATCAGAATGAAAACAGGCCAGTTAGCCCATCATGATAAATTCATCAGGAACTAGCCATGATAGTTTCCAGGGAGAACCGCGTGGAGGTCGACCTGGTTGGGTATATTGCTAGCAATGGGATTCTCAGTCTCCATTACTAACAATCCCTTTCCCTCCTGTACCTATATACTGTCCACCATAACATGGCACGTGTCTCCAAAATCTAAAAAAAAATGGAATTTACTGAGTAAAAATATTTATATGTACAATTTTCGATTAAGAAATATAATAGTCCTCTGACCGGATCGCTACTGAAGACGTCTCTTCACACACACACACACACACACACACACACAAACAGAGCATTACGTCTGTATATAGTCACAAACATTGAAGTACAAAAATTGGAAGGGAGTGCCATGTTAACGTATATATACACGCAGAAAAGAGTAGAAAATTTATGGTAGAGGATTTTAAACTTTTGTTTTACAAAAGATAGTCATTCTCTACAAAATAAGTACATCTAGTAATGTTATTTCAAAATGAAGGTAGTCACCCGGCCTTGTCCATGGTGTGTTTACCAGCGCAGGCAGTTAACAATTGCTTGGATTCTTCTGTGAGGTGACAGATTTCTTCTTTTTCTGGACCCTTCAATTCTTCTGCCATCTAAAAGTTTTGTAAATATAGAGAGCATACCTACGATCTATCTGGACGTGTTACGACAAATACATGAAGTTCATTTAATTCTCGATGTTCAGTATCAAACAATAAAAATGTTTTAAAACATTTTTAAACTAAAATTATGGACAAAAAATCACTGGCTACCACCCTTTCCTTTCCCATGGATGTCGTAAGATGTAACTAAGAATGTAATAGTCGAAAGGTGGACAACGGCGTGCCTCTTAAAACGGCACCAAAGCCTAACTGCGGTTGCCAATCCGTCTGCCAAGTGTGGCAACTGCTGGTAGAACCCACTCAATAGGTAAAGGTCTATGTTCAGCAGTGGACAGTTAATGATATGATAAAAATGATGATATGATGATGATAAAAGGCTACATCATCAGCGAATAACTTAGGCAATTTACAAGAAATTAGAGACCACTCTCAGAATTACAATAATGTAACTCGTGATATCAAAAATTTGCCTGTTAAAACTAATTCCATCCTCCGATGGGGTAAAGGCAATCCTAATTGCTTTTTGAGTTTATTCATTATAAACAAACATACAAAATATTTTAGTAAATTCTCTACCTACTAACTTGCAAAGCAATATCACTGTTAAAAACATAAAGTTTAAACTGAAAGCTTACTTACTGTAAAACCTTGCTGAAACAGCAGAATATTAATGTAAATATTGACATTTGAGAACGACATGTAAAGTATGTATCACCACAAGCCCAAGAGGTTTAAGTGGTACTACAAAACCCATAGTTTTTTAATGTATTTTCATGCTAATTAAATTAAAAAAAAATCCAATCTTTCCTCTTATAATATTAATACAGATAAAATTTATTGTACCTTTTCTGCAATATCCAAGATTTTTTGTGCAGCGGCCTCACCAGTTCTCTTCGTGTCAGGCTTACACGTCGGTGCCTGAAGCCATTTGCTTGCTAATTCCAACCTAGAATCATGTTTAAATGTAAATTAAAAAATATTAAAAATATTATCCTACGTATTATTGTACCTACAAGTACTAGTTATTTATATTCGCTGTGTATCCCGGCATAGAATGGACCACCCCTTCCTTTCCCGTGGATGTCATAAGAGGCGATTTTAGGAGCTTATGGCGAAGGGAAGGACAGCAGCGCCGCTCTTAAAACATCTGTAAAAGCCTAACTGCGGTTGCTAACCCGCCTGCCAAGCGTGGCAAAACACCCCTTATGAGGAGGCTTATGTTCAGCAGTGGACAGTCAACAGTTATTATAAAAAACACATTTTTGTACCCACAAATATACTATGTTTTAGACACGCGGCAGCGTATCCAGCCAAGTTCAAAGAACAAGGAACTGACGACGCAGCAATCGAGTGTAATATTACATGAGACATTTCGAGCTACATTTGACCACCTCACAATTCGAAACCTATTTAACTTACATATAAGGAATTTTGCACAGTTATTAAAGGACTTTAGCTCGTCTACAATAATATATAAAATAACTGGCGAAGCCAAAGTTTGAATTACATACCGAGTGAAATAAATGCATTGTGTAAATAATTGTCTGTTAAATTTTAAGAATTTATAATATCTATTAAGTAGAAAACATGGTTGTAGTAACAAAAAACAAGAAATTGTTGTATAAATTCATTTTATATAACCATTTCTGCTCTCTAGTATAATGTTGCATGTTTCTGTAACTTGTAAATTTTAAGATTTTCTACACAGAATTTGGCACCCATCTTGGATCTTAATTCATTTTTCGACAGAATGGTAACGACGCTCGATCGTCATATTGAACTTGGCTCTCATTTTACATTTATGTTTTTGATGGGATAATGTATTACCGACGGTATCTAGAAATCAGATTCAGATTGTTTTTGTTTTGTTTATTTTTTATTTCAATTAACAACGAAATACACTGCACTAATATAATAAAATTGTATCTTGACGATGTCTGTACAAAGATGTTTAAGAAAAATTAACACGAATTCTTTTAATAAGACCAATATTGCCTAAATGTGACAGACAGTGACCTCTGACTACCCTTCATCTAATGGTATTTGTTATTTATTTAGAATATAATATCAAATGTAATGGACACACACAATGTATTTTATTCATATTTCTTTTTATTATTATTTTTATTATGTAATTTCGCGGCTGACTTGGCCACAGCAGAATATCAGTGTTTTGCTCTTTTGAGGGCAAAACAATAAACTGAGATGTGACCATTTTATGTTACTATTGCACACGCATGAAAGAAGGAAATAGTTGTTTTATATATTTTGCTTTTTGTATTTTTTTTTTGTTTTTCATTTTTTTATCTCTTTTCCTGTGTATAAACATACATGTATTATGTGTATGTTTGTATTGTTATTTTTATGCTGTAAGTAATGCAAATAAATTATCTATCTATCAATAGAGCGCAAAACAATATTTTTTTAGAAATTCTGTCTGTCTGTCTATCTGTATTTTTATTTCAGTGTTACGCAAAAACTATTACACCAAATTGGATGCGATTTTCGTAGTTGTATGTCTGAAAGTCTAACTTCAAATCTAGTATAAGTTTTATCTTTATACGTCATTCTAAAAGTCGTTTACTTTTTTGCTTTGTTTACTTCAAAAACACACATACCAAGTGGCAGGCAAAAAAGCTACCATACTATTTTACCAGAGGGAGACTTTGAAATCGATTCAATTTTCTGTATTCGTGTTTCAACCGTGAAGCAGTTGTGTTTGCATAGCTGTGTTTCGGTTTGAAGGGTGGGATATGGCGTAAATTTACTGGGTACAGAGGAATAACACCTGAGTCCTCAGGAATGGCAACGCATGGCGGGTATCATGGGCGAAACAGTATACTCTGTTATGTCCATGGTACTGCTCATGTCTATAGGCGACGGTTACCACTTTCCATCGGGTGGGCCGTCAGCTTGTTTGCCATTCTAAGTTGTATAAAAAAAAAGCTAGTTAGCAAGAGTATACGAAGAAATATTATCTATATGTTAGTACTGTAATAAATTAATATATAAGTAATAAAACCACTTACTGTATCTGTACATAACTCTTCTTTGTGTTCTCCTAGAAAAATAAAAAAAAAAAACATTTTTACTTAGTGATAAATATGAAATCATTCAATTTTCAATGTAATCGGATTTATTCCTACCGAGATCCGTATGTTATATTTCGATAAAGATTTCTAACCAAGACTATCGAGAAACTATTATTTTATTTATTTATTTATTTATTATATACTTTATTGTACACAAAAATTACATTGTTATAATGTATATTAAATTAATATGTACAACAGGCGAGCTTAACTCTGTAAGAGTTCTTTTCTAGCAAACCTTGACTGGAAAGAAGCATTTTTTTTTATGAGTGATAATGGAATGGTAACCCCACCCGCGCTATCGGTATCCACCGGCGGGGCACCAGTGAAGGATGATAGGTGAGGATGAAGCAGGCCAGTTAGCCCATCGTGACGAATTCAACAAGAATTGTTCATGATGGTTTCCAGGTGGAACCACGTGGAGGTCGACCTGATAGGGCATATTGCTAGCAATGGGGCTGTCAAACTCCATTGCTAACAACCCCTTTCCCCGCTGGAAAGAAGCATTAACTACCAGCATTCATTATAATATTAATTAATTTTTTTGTCTATTGTGCTTATTAGCTAGGTTTAGAATTAATAATTTGTTAACAAAACCACACATAAGTTAATCAGATTATATCATAAAATGTATGATAATATGTATTAAGAAATTTCTATAACTATAAATAACAAAATCATATCATGTTTTACTGAAAAAATAATGTTTTAACTAGGGTTGGGTGGGGGAAGGGATTGCTAGTAATGGGGAGGTTAGTCCCCATTGCTATCAATATACCCTATCAATTCGACCTCCACGCAGTTCCCCCTGGAAACTATCGTGACTAATTTATCGTTGAAATTTCTATAACTATAAATAACAAAATCATATCATGTTTTCACGATGGGGAGGTTAGTCCCCATTGCTATCAATATACCCTATCAATTCGACCTCCACGCAGTTCCCCCTGGAAACTATCGTGACTAATTTATCGTTAAATTCGTCACGACGGGCTAACTGATCTGCCCTTACATTCTCATCTATCATCTTTCAATGGTGGCCCTCCAATGTATACCGATAGCGCAAACGGGGCTACCAAGCCATTTTCACCCATTAAAAAAATAGGGATGGATAGTCACATCTCTGATATCTATATATTGGGTTCCTTTGGACTGATGACGGAAAAAAGTCACCAGTCATTTAGATATCGCCCAAACCAATGAGACATTTATATTAATCTATCAGGTCAGTTATTTCGATATTACATATTGATTAACTAATATTTAATATATATATACATTATTGGATTAATATATCCCTTTCAGACCTAAGATTTTTTTTCTTTCAGAATAAATACATTTTCGTGTTTTGGAGGCAAGCCATCTTGCCGGCACGCACGAGACTACTGCACCACCTAACCGCTAAAATGATTTCTTATTGGCTGGTTTAGAATCTCACTATCATGTTATTTCAGCTTCGTGCGTAAAAATGAATTGCGCGCGGTTTTAGAATTTTTTACAGTTACAACTCACGCCCGTATCGTTCAGGTCTGAAAGGGATATACATAAATATTGCTGTATAATACCCACTCCTACATTTAACCCTTCTTTGCATGTTTTTTTTTATTGGTGAAATAAATAAAAGTGATATAATTCATGTTCAAAATTAAAGGAAAAATGATAAAAAAAAAATTGACAGCTATGTTTTTTTCTGTAAAGGTATCCAGACACAATGCACTTAAAGTGAACTTGTTCTTTTATGTAAATTTTGGGCATTCAATGTTATAATGGAAATTTCCACCATTATGCAAAGAAGGGTTAACATTTAAAAAGCTATAGATACAATAATTTAATACACAGGTACATACCTCTAGTTCAGATGCCTCTAATATTCCAGCACGTTTCCCATTGTCTCTGCAATTGAATTAAATTCATAAAAATAATGGCCATAGGGTTCCGGCGTAGAATAGGCCACCCCTTCCTTTCCCGTGGATGTCGTAAGAGGTGGGACTAAGGGAGGACGAAGGATGGGCAGCAGCGTCCCTCTTAAAACATCTCCAAAGCCTAACTGCAGTTGCCAATTCGCCTGCCAAACGTGGCAATTACTGGCAAAACCCTCCTAGAGGGAGGCTTATGTTCAGCAGTGGAATTAAAAAAAAACGTTAATTTTACTAATATTAAAGTATAACTAGTTAAACAGCAAGTAAATAGTTGCAAGCATAACTTAAAAGTTAAAATATAAATCATCTCAAAGCAAGATACGTCGAAGAAAGGCGAAAAATTTAAAACCTTACAGTGCGACGTTTGATATCTTTTGTTATTTTTCGCCTCCTGTTCCATCAGCAAAAATGATCAATTACAGGTTAGAAATGTCCATTAAATGTGTGCTAAATAAGTGTTAATAAAAAATATATATATGTCGTTTGTTAGGGTACCTCTACCCCTTCATATTTCTAGCGTGAAGCAGTTGTGTTTGCATGGCTGTGTTTCAGTTTGAAAGGTGCGATATGGCAGCAAATTTACAGGGTAGAGAGGAACAACACCTGAGTCCTCAGGAATGGCAACGCATGGGGAGTATCATGGGCGAAACAGTATACTCTGTTATGTCCATGGTACTGCTCATGTCTATAGGCGACGGTTACCACTTTCCATCAGGTGGGCCGTCAGCTTGTTTGTCATTCAAAGTTGTATAACAAAAGAGTTATTATTCTTACATAAGTAATACTAAAAGCTAATGTGATCATTAACAATACGATTATTATTGGTAGCCCCGCTTACATACTTGATATATCTAAATTACTCTCTAATCTGTCAAGAAGGATTCCACTCTATCGAATATTTAGCAGGAAGATGTTCGCTGCTTCTGCGTCGCTTCGAAGACTTAGAAACTTTCTCCCTACAGCCACTAAAATTTCCCTAGCTCAATCCCTCCTACTCCCTATCCTTGACTATGCAGACGTCGCTTATCCAGATCTAAATATTGATATGCTAAATGACGACTTCACCTCTGCATACGATTTGTTTTTGGTCTGCGCAAATTTGATCATGTATCGCACTATCGCTCTCAGCTTAAGTGGCTTCCCATACGCCGGCGAAGAGATTTACATACCCTCTCTTTGTTACATAATATTCTTTTTAACCCTGGTGCACCTGCCTATCTTAAAGAACGTTTTAAATTCATCCTCTCTTACTTTAACATTACGTTCTTCCGAAAACCTTTCCCTTATGACACCTTCTCATTCCACTAAATTTTATCACAATTCCTTCACTGTTTCTAGCATTTGTTGTTATTAGAAGTACAAAATCCATTGATTCTTTCAAACGACAAGTGAAAGATTATCTTTTCTCTATCTGATTTTTCTTCATTTAAAAAAAATATATAATTGCCTATAATTATTAATATGTATCTTATTGCATTTGGTACATATTTGACATATATGCATGGGATTATATAATTTTGTTTGATTGATAGGTATATGTATGTGTGTATGTATATATGTATGTGTATGTATATATGTATGCGTGTGTATGTATGTATATAATTTTTATATATTTTTAATTTGCCAAAGATGCTTTTTTTTAATTATAAAGCATTATTATTACAACAATTAACCTTAAGGTTGTCTTGAAAAAATTGCTCTCAGCAATAAGACAGCCTCACTGTACTTATACAATCGTATCGTTATGTTTGTAAATTGTCTTGTTTATTTCCTATATTGTATAATGCAAATAAAGTATACTCATTCATTCATTCATTCATTCATTCAATAAAAAGCTAATGTGATCATTAACAATAGCTCTACTTACTTGACACTCTCTAATAAGGTCTCGAATATTTGGAGCAATTCCTTTCTAGTGTTGAACATGACCCACGTCATCGTCTCCCGGTCCTCGGCAGCCCCCACCTCTCTTATTAACGACAGTGTCTTTGTTGTTAAACTCCTAAAATATATAATTGATTATTATCGATCAAATTTGTATTAAAAACAGGTTACAATAATGACAAAATACAAAAATACTAGAACATGTACCGTATTCTACAAGAGAGCTAAATTTTTAATTTTGAAATCTGAAAATACATACATACATATCTGTCGCGCCTGTCTCTCATTAGGGTAAGCAGAAACAATGAAACGCCAAATGCTTCGATTCAAACAAACCTCCTTCGCTTCTTCCACATTCATCAATCTTTTCATACACGCTCGCCGATTACGGGTACTTTTAATTTGGCCCTTCTTCAGCACATCGCCTATTTGGTCGGCATACGTCTATCTAGGGCAGCCCCTAACGACATCTCCATTCATTCTTGCTATTAATAAAACCGGGACCACAGGGCAATTTTTATTATTATTGAATATTAATTACTAATTGGCCTAACTATGGCCGTGTGGTCCCGGCATAGAATAGGCCACCCCTTCCTTTCCCGTGGATGTCGTAAGAATCGACCAAGTGAGGGCGAGGTATAGACAGCAGCGTCCCTCTTAAAACATCTTCAAAGCCTAACTGCGGTTGCCAACCCGCCTGCCAAGCGTGGCAACTACTGGCAAAACTCCCCTAGGTGGAGACTTATGTTCAGCAGTGGACAGTTAAAGGCTGGTATAATAATGATGAATTACTAATCATATTAGGTAATTTCTTTATTAAATTAAATTTACCTGGAATTTTTCATAACATCGTCGCGTCTCTGCTGAGCTTCAGTAGACACGTCGTTCTCTTTGGGAATCAAAGATGGGTGTTCAGATATTGAATTTACTAATTTCAGTGTATCCAGAACCTTCATAGTCGCTGATGTTATTTTAGCCTGAGGACATTTTTGCAAAATTAAACCTTATTCATATTATAAATTTATTTATTAAATCTTTAATGCACAGTGTAATTCTATATACATTTGGCGGACTTAAACCGGACGGTGTTCTCTGCCAGTCAACCGTTTGGCAAACTGAGAAATAAGCGCTGCATTATTGAATAGAAGGGGTATAAAAATTAATACTTAATATATTCATATATTATAATCATATAATTAGACTGATATAAACATACCTATAATATATTAAATAAATAAATGTATAAATACATAAATATTGCTATAACAAACAATAAACTATATTACAAAAACAAATGAAACAATCAATGTAAAATAAATTCATTTGACACTTTAACGGCGCAACCAGTTGTAAAATTTGACATTCATGTAGTATATGGGATGCAGAAAGATTCAAGCTATTTCATTTTGGTCAATCAGTATGCAAATGTTTGTATATGCTTTAATTACCTACATTATATAAATATATAATATAAGACGAAAAATCATTCAATTCTAGGAAATATTTTAATGGCATTTGAAATCCAAATCCTACACATCGGCATCTAGTCCCAAACTACACTATAAATAACATTAAAAAAGTATAGTACTACTCCCTCCCGCCCACTGCGATCTGACCTCACCCCCTCTCAGACACGCGTCAGTTACTATAATGAATATCTCTAATCTACGCTTTAGTATATGCTCATGTCAGAAAAGGATATAATGTTTACGGTATTCATATCCTACAGAGCATAATATCACAGCTCGGTTCACATTAAACAATACGTCGAATCGCGCGCTATTCCCGCGCTATCCCTAACACACGCACACATTGTCACATTGTACAGACGTTACTTGTTCCTGTAATTGTAACAAGCACGAATCGTGGCGTTTTGTATGAAGTATCCGGGATGTGCCCAAATTAAACAGAGATGGTACTGTGGTTACTAGACAACAGACAAAAATCTTTAAATACTTTTATTGTAAATCGATACTAACAAACTTCAGCGTCAACAGAATTTTACTGGGACATTAACAGGTTTAGTTTCTTCTCATTCAAAAAGATTAGTGAAATTTTTATTAGATCTCAGATTTATTAGATCTTTTATATCTATACCATTTAATAGAATAAAAATCAAATTTAAATGATCACAAATATAATACTAACGATGATGAATACTCACTCTATTGGAATTCGGTTCATGTATGACATTATGCAAATCTGCAACAGCTTTATCCACTTTGTTTGCAACTTGTACCAATTCTTCTTTCATATGCACCGACTTATCTGAACCCTCGATTAGAGTTTGTTTCAAATTCTGCACTTGCTTGTTCAAATTTGGCTCTTCTGATTTAGCCTGCGTTATAGATTTAGATAGATTTTTATAGAAATATTTTGGATTCAAATCCAAACAAAGTGCTGTTTCTTTAATAACAATTCCTTTTTAAATATAAATCATTGAAAGCTCTTCCTTTTAAAAAAGATGTGAGTTACATAAGAGATATAGATGATGATGATATAAATATAGATAGCAAGAAGAGAAATTAAAAAAAAAAACAATGAAGAAGCAATAATAAAATTTCTCTAAATAGTCATTTTACAAGCAAACTTAATAATATGACAACTTGAAACAATAATATTATCTAGTTCTATCCATACCAATTCTAATTTGCACATGCTATGATATCAGATCAATAAAATGTTAGTAAAAACCTGATCTGGCTCGAACTGCAGAATCCTGTAGCAGATCTCGTGTAAAGTTTCCACGGTGGACATCAACTGGTTCACGTCTACTAAGCCTGTCTTAGCCACCTCGATATCTCGATCCGACAGTGATAACTAAAAGAACAGAAATAAATTAGAATGATACCAAACTCACAACTCAATTATAAAAGGTAGAAAACAATAATAATTGAAACTCATTCACAAGATTTAATTAAACATCTGTAGGTTACTAGATGATTGGTTTCAAATGTGTTGCTGAAAGTCAATGAATACAGATGCTCAGGATTGCTTCTCATGATATGATACGAGATCTATGTTCAACAGCGGAAAATGATGAGGCTACTGATCTGGGACAAGTCTTTGCAGGAAACAGTTTTTTGGAATAAGTAAGTACTTAAATTAAAATACAGAAGAGCACTATAAGAATTCGGAATAAATGACGGTCACAACTGATCCACGTACTATGTTGCCAATGAAACTGAATACTCACATAGTATGCACACTGCACAGCGAATTCTGTAGTATTGTGTACAGCTGAACTAACGTAGCCGAGGGTTTTACTTAATTCTTCACGGGACATCGGATCTTCATTCTTCAATTTATCTATAGGAAATAATATTACATATATATTATTTATTGGGCCATCTATTAAGCCATCCTTTCCATGAAAGCATGTGGTTAGCGGACAACTGCTGGGTTAACTGTTTTGATTGGCAGTTATTTCTTTCTTTTGGAATATATTAATAAAAACCTTTTAACAATGTGTATATATAAATTACAAAAGTGCAAGTTACAAATGGTTATATTTGTCCCAACTCGTTAATAATACCTATAATCTCACTTATTGGCTCTGCAAGGCAATCTATATCAATCAGAAGTAACGACATGCTACATGTCGGTTTTGTTTTATAAGATGCCAGACCAGAAATAATTCTCAAATTATTAATTTTTTATTGCACTTATAAAATGAGTCCTTGCTGAAAGAGCTTTTAACCAACTCTATACTGTAGGCTCCTGCTGAACTCTTTTGGAATATATTAATAAAAACCATATTAAATTACAAAAGTTTTTGCACCTATAATCTCCGTCGCCTCTTGTCACCATTAGATGTTACGCGACCCTATGATACGTTTATTCTTCTTAATAATATTATCTAGAATATTAAGTCGCTTTAAAAATACCAAGCATAGTTTTGATTGTCTAGTGATTTAATATTAATCTTAATGGAAAACGCACACATAACACTCATGGTGTTACAGGCATCCATAAGCTAGTGACCGTTTACCATCAGACAGGCTGCATGGTCGTTAGTCACCTTTGTGGTATATTTTTATTTGGTACAAATTTAATGAAATTTGTAAACTAATAACTGAAACTGCTATTAATGTTCGTTTAATTGTTAATAAAAATGGTAATACATTAATTATTTGTCCTCTACATGAACCCTGTTATGGTTTTGAAAATTACATATATATATATCATGGATATAGTAAATTACGTGATAAAACATTTAGTGATGATAAAATTAGACTGTAAAAGATAAATTAAAATTTCATATAAAAAGCTACATAAAACTAGAAATTATATAATATAAAGTACAATTTTGGTTCCACCTTTCGATTTGTTTTTATAACCGAAAACCTCTTGCAATGTGTAAAATTAGTTTTAATTTAGGAATAATAATAAAGTAATTCTAAAAAATAGCTGAATAAAAATGATTTTGTCCAAAACAAACATGCAGATGAATTTCTACATTACAATCATGTTATTGAACTAATTACAAGGACATCATTAGACAATACACAAGCAAATAAAAGTAAACAGGTATGTTAGTAGTTGTAATTGTCTACACTTGACGAACTTTGTTCTACTGTTATCATTAAAAATACATTTGTATTCTTCCACAATTCTTATTAACTTCCAAACCAGTTTTCAATAGATTGCACGGAGAAAACAAAAATAATTAAACCTTTAAAAATGCGTTAAATGACGAAACATTTTTCTAATAATATCAAAGGTACACCTGTTATTAATAGGTAACTACTTATAAAAGAAGATGAAAAAGATATAGTAAAAGATTTGAAAAATGCCAAGCGAAACGTAGAACAAATAATTGATAAAGCAAACGTAAACAATGTATGTTTCTCATAAATTATATTTCCCACAGATGTAACAAAACATACAAACAGTAATAAGGTAGATAAGAAAATACAGTGAAAATTAGATAGGATCTAAAGATATAAAACCATCACCATAACTACCATATCCTACTCACAACTACTGTATAAGAACTTGTAAAATAGTGTTGTACCTTCAATGAAGTAGTAACCATATATAGGTTTTAAAAAATCGAATCCGATACTTTTCCTATAAACAGAGTGATTATTCTTTTATTAAATAAATTAGCATAGGAATACTTTGTATAAACGTCGTTTGCTTGGATACCTCTGTCCCATTTATGTTTTTGCCGTGAAGCAGTTATGTTTGCATGGCCAAGTTCTGGTTTGAAGAGTAGATTTTAAGAAATATGGCTGTGAAAAATTATAGTCGTGACGTTATAATACTCAGGAATGGCACCAATATCCTCTATCTATGGTACTATTCATATTTACAGGCGATGGTTACCACTTTCCATCAGGTGGGCCGTCAGCTTGTTTGCCATTCTATAAAAATATTATTCAATTTGTATACTAAAAGTTTTGTATTTACAGAATCATTTTAAAGTCAACAGCCTCAAAGAGTGATTGCTTAAAATTAAGTAGTAATATAATAAAATTAACATTATGTACAAAACTGTGAGCAAATTAATCTTGTTTATTAATGTATTAAACAAGGTAAATAATACTTACAAGTTTGTTGATAGCGTCGTTCAGAAGACGGCATGCGTCAAGCAATCTCTTGCGATACACTCGATTGTTAGGATCCTGAATGAAATAATGTGTAGTTAGAACATTTAAAACATAAAGTTTACGAAATCTAAATATAAATACATAATTAAGTAAAATACAATGTATCATCACTTGTTTTCTTACCCGGCAAGTCATATGAAGGTCTACGTGACATAAATGAATGAAATAATGAAGAATTCACCAGTGCAAGCACAAGAAAACTCGAAATTAAACCTCATAACGAAACACCTGGTCAATATGGTAATAATAGACTAATTTATAGTGTTATTAGAGAGATTTGTGTCCAATAGTGGGATATTAATGACTATGATGATAAAGGTCAAGGGATGGGTAGGGGTTTTAGGGGTACACTGACCCCTTAAAACGTCACCAAAAATCTAACTGCGTTTGCCATTCCGTCTACTAAGCGTGGCAACTACTGTGCGAAATGCCTCTTATGAGGAAAGCCTTTGTTCAGCTGTAGACAGTTAACGGCTGATATAATGTATGGATGTATTTGCCTCCAACTTGCTGGAGTTTCGTCGAGTGACCACAGAGTATTTGTGTTCAGATGTTTTTTGTTTCAGTTAAATCTTTTTATATTATTTTTTGTTTAATATTTTTGTGTAATATTCCTTTATATGTTATTGTACTCTTGCTTTCCTGGGTGAGCGTATTGGAAGCCTGTAAGGCTCACCCAGTGGATGTAATAAATAAATAAATAATAGAAATAAAAAATATTGATAACTATGACTTAAACAAATAAATAGATTCAAATCTAAATCAAAGATAAAGATTACAAAAAAACACACTTTTGTGCAGTTGACGAAATCAATTTAGAAACCTAAAGGGTGCCATCATTTGAAGCTTAAAACTTGTTGTAAATAAATACATATTTAATGATTTATGAGTAAATATGATAACTACAAAATACATTAACTTACTTGGCTAACAAGATCTAACAATTTCACAACATTATAGGTCTGGAAATTCATCTCTCGGACCGCCTCCTCTATCTTTGAATTTTGAACCGGATCCTGATGAGTCAAACAAAATAATATTTTCATTATGAAATACTATGAGTATGTTATCAATATAAAGTAAATCATTGTTTATACTTTCAATTTGGTACGTTACTACTTACATTTGTTTTGAGTGCTCTTGCCAAAGCAGCCAGCTCTGTAGCGGCCTCAACAGTGGCCTTGAGGCTTCTAGTAAGACTCTGAGAATTATGTGTGCTCATCACTACTGTACCAAGCATGGAGTTGAGCTTCGTAGACGTCTGTTGTAGTTTATCTTCGATTTTTCTGTAAAATTTTCAAGTATTTATAGTAATTATTTGTATTTAATCAGTAACATTGTCTATTTCTTTTGCAAAGCAGAGACAATCAAGTATCAGAAGCTTCTGTCATTCATTTGCTTTCATAAGTCATCAAATTAGACAGAACTCAACATTCTATACTGAAATTCATGCTCAAAAAGCCTGTTAGTCATTCTATTTCTTAATATAATGACTTAAATTCTTAAAATTATAAATACCGATCATTATTTAATCTAAATGTCAATTAAAAATAATCCCGAGATCTTAAACAAGTGTTTTCACACTCTACAAAAACTAGTTATGTAAGATGCTTCGCTCTTTGTATAATCCCATTTATATATTATACAATACAGTTTTTAATTATATACAATATAAAATTAATAGGTAAGCAGTTATCAGTACTACTAGAAAGTCTATGTTAATTTCTGTAAGCATGTAAATGGCGATTAAAAACAATTGCATTGTTTTATCGTTCAGACAATAAAAAGCAAATCATGAAATAACAAGTCTAAGTCTGCTTCGACACAAGTACTATATTCGACATTCGTTACATATTCTGGAACCAACGAAACAAGTCCGTTCATATTTTACATTAAACCTTCTATCAAATCTTACTCTCGCATTTATATAAGCACTTGATCTTTAACTATACTTATATTTACATACTTTCTGTCTCCTTCAATCTTCTTTTCCGTAAACAGCAACAGTTTGTTGGCATCGATGTTACTCATAACTGATTGCTGAGTCTTCCCAGGTGCACCCTCCGATGCAGCGTCAATTTCCTGGTAATTTCATTTAGCAATAAGCTGTCTATAAAATACTGGAATATTCATATTTGACGTTTTTAATAATAATAATGGCATGGCATAGAATCGTTGTGTCTGTAACGAACGCAAAGATAATATGGTTCATGCATGGTTGGTCGCACTGCTAATATACCGACATTCTAAGTATTTTTATGTTACAATAGAAGAACTAGAGGTTATAAAATTAAGACCACACATCATGGAAAAGGCCATTCCTCAAAGTTACGTTAAAGATGATTTTACCTTAAGAAGTTGTTCTGTGACAGACGCCACTTCTGGACCGCTGATATCCTGCCAAGTGGCAACACGTCTGCTTGTCGTCACCGTCAGTGTTTTAAGAAGTTGAATCATCTTCTGCAAATGTTCTTTCAAGCTAAAACAAAGGTCGTACACATTAATTTTAATACACCATAATGTAACAACGACCTTTTTCTTTATCTGTATCTATACCTGAGCTAATTATTTCACCTCAACCTTTAAACTTCACAAATCTCTACCACGATCTTTCTCGTAATAACTCGAATTACCTTTAAAAGATTGAGAGACGATATCATAATAATACACAGATGTTAATAGCAACTAAGAAAGGTAACTGTAGTTAACGGTAACTGGTAAAGGTAACTGTCGAAATATTGTACATTTATTCATCTGTAGATGAATAAATGTACAATCTTTCGATTCCCAATCAAACCCAATAACGAATGAATAGAAAAATTGCATGAAGTAACTCACCGCTTATTCTCCCCCGGGTCCGACAGTTTTGTTTGCGTTCGCATGTCATCCGCGTATGCAAGGAACGCTGGAGCAAGCTTATGTAGATTTGCACCACTTGCCGCCGCCACCACTTGACTCTTGCCCCAGTCAAACCCACTCCCCGGTCCACTACGCTGTAAATTTAACATAGTTTTTAAATGCTGGAGGTTTCAAATTAGATTACATTAAAGGGAGAAGGGGTCGGTCTCTACGTGATCCATCCGTGAAACTGTCGTGGTTAATTTCTCTTAAATTCGCCACGATGATTCAACTGATTGAACTAATTTCATCTTGGCCATTTTATCTTCCACTAGAACTCTGCCATTATATACTACAGACAAAAGCAAAAGCATTTCATCATCATCCATGATAATAAACTATTTTCTGTGCATATGTTATACCTATATATTTGCTAATTCTGAATTAATTTTGACAATTCCTTTTCTCTAAACCCTCATTTACGACATCATGAGGAGAATAAACCATGGTAATAGATTGTATTGTTACTCCGTCATCACACAGGTACATGATTAGTTCTTGATATTTATAACCTGGTATTTCTGGATAATCAAATTGATGTTTTTTACCTTAGTATTAAGACCGGTTAGTTTATCAGCAGGGAGTAGCATCTGCTGTATCCTGTTTTCCAACTCGGTCAAATCGCAGAGAGTTTCGTCAAGTGACGCACTCGCTGTCGTTGCAACTGCGCTTTGTGCTGCGAACCTAGAGTTAAATGTTTTAATGATTTCTGTACTATTTATTGGAATAGAATAAATCTTTATTTAAAAAACTTGAACTTATAATGATTTTTAGGATTTTTCTGCAGATTCCGAACCAAAATATTGTTATTTACTGAGAATAAACCGCATCGATCTAAACACATAAACATTAACAATTATGAACATTTTCACATAATATATGTGAAAAGGTTGTAACTTAAAGACTTTTTAGTTTATAAAAAACCTGAAATTTATTACCGATGTAACCTGGTCGAAACGTCAAGATAAATCTCAGGTGAATTATAATATTTTCCAAAATAACCATGTTAATTCCCATCTCTACTAAACCACTGACTGTTATGATTATCTTAGGTAGTTATAGTGACTAATGCATTTTACTTCTCAAATTTAAATTTTGTTTATCCACAACAATAAAACCAATAAAAAAAAATAATTATCGCTTACAAACCCTAATAAACCATTTTCAGTCCGCAGTAATTATTTGCTTGATACCACAAAGACACACCACTATAAAATTTGACAACCAGTTTAATTGTTAATAGATATAAAGTTTATATTTCAACAATTTAATATTGGCGCCCAACGTGGGACAACCGTAAATAAAATTGTATGGCCAGAAAGTACATACCTCAACAAATTCAACGTGTCCTCTAAACTCAAAATTTTGTCTTCAAGCATTGTTTTTTCTTTTATATCTGCTACTTTACTAATTTCAGATTTGATCTCTTGAATATATTTGGTGCAATCCTGGACATAAAATTAATAGATATTATAGTATAATTACTTCTCTCTTTCTTAATTTTGCTTGGAAGAAATACAATCTCCAAGATCATCATTTCTTTCATGCTCATTGTTGTCTCTTTACCTTGCTTCTTATGGTGCTGTTTTTTATCTTCATATTTTATGTAATTGTATCATTCTTTGAGGGAAACATTAATTTTTACACATTCATGATAAGCTATAATAGATATTGAACAGAATCTGTGATAAACCTATATTATGAATTAGAAGACAGTTTAATTGAAAGACTCCAAAATGCAGAAAAAAATTCTAGATAAACGCTAACTATGAACTATGTAATTTAGGGTAGCTGTTAAGAATTTTAATCACAGCAAACTAAGCGTAACAATGATATAGAACAAGCATTAAACTCTAAAAAAATATGAACTACAAACATAAAATAGAAAAGGTGAAATAATTCCTTTAGAAAACAATCAAAGAGGTACAAATACAACAAAAACCTCACCCGTCCAAATCGATTGATTTCCTGTATATCATCGACGGTAGTGTCAGTGCCTCTGTTGTGATCGTTCGATGGGTTCGTTATGTTGTACGCGTCCGTTTTTATCTGGTAATTGATGTCCTTTATTATCTAGAATATAATTTGTGTTCCTTAAATATTATCCTTTACCCGAATGCATATTATTGTATGCATATAAATGTACTTATAGAATTTGTGGGAGTATTGCAAAAGATTATTAATAACTCCTGTGCAAAATGTTAATTTTTTAAGAGTGTGAATTCTGTAATAGATATCAAGTAAACTAAAAAGAAACCTTATGTATAAACAAAGTTAGATATATTTCGTTATAAGCTCCTTCTATAGATTTAGTGAAAAAAAAGATGTAAAATGCGAAAACTTACTTTCTGAATTTAAAATATGCAAGCATACTTCGATACTTACTTGTACATTACTGGAGCACTTGTTTGCTGCAGCTATCATTTCATCAGCTTCATTCGACAGTTCCTTTACGAAGTCCTAAATGTTTAAAAGAATAATCCGTTTATTGCAAGAAAACACGCCATTCACAATATACAAATAGAAAAAGTAATCACAAAAAATTAAGTCATGCTCTATGTTGCATTATATTATTACCGACATGTTCGAATTCGATCTCTATTGGGCGTTTTTAAACTTTTCCCTAGAACTTCACGTGTCACGGCAAAGTATAAAAGGTTTCATTTGCACGGTATATCGTGGAACTGCACGATAATAACGCGAAAGTTCACGATAAATCGTGCACGGTAAATACTAAAAGTGCCCATTATGTTCAACTTTCTATCACTTCTTATAGGGCGAAATTTTTAAAACTTTTAGGAGAATTTTATTGCTTATTAAAGTTGTAATGGTTAATTTTGTTCAAGTTCGCAAGAGATAGTTATGGCAGAACATGTTAAATATTGTCATCTTAATTTTATAGTTATTTTGATACGGCAACTATAATTATTGTTATTAGTGAATGTAAGATAAAATTCAAATACACTACCGTTAAGTCAACTATATTGTTCTGAGGCTTTCCAGCCTGCGATGGTCTCCCTTGCAAGACAGAAACTTGGAGATTCTGAACTGCGTTCTCTAGTTGTATGCATTTATTTGTATCCTAAAAAATAAAAATTTTCATCAATTTTATTGGTTTTTTTTTATACCACTGAGGTGGCAAACAAGCATACGGCCCACCTGATGGTAAGCGGTTACCGTAGCCTATGAACGCCTGCAATACTAGAGGTATTACGCGCGCGTTGCCGACCCTGAAGAAACCTCTTTACCCCCCTTTTGAAGAACCCCATGCTGTAGTCTCTTGGGAAAGATGGATTACTCATTCCATAAAAGACGTGAGAAATTATGTTCTCTGAAATAACCAATATAGTTTTTGATGTCGATGGCAATGTAAATTTGCAATGTGGCGTAGGCATCATATTGAATAATTCATCATGACTACAATCCGTTGTATATAACAAAGTGAGGCAAAATCTCTCTTAAGACTTGTTCGATACCGCTTATATAGGGATCATCGACATTTTAAAAAAATATGCTCTTTTTTGATCTGCACTTTTTGGATAGGTGGCCTTTTCTAGCTTAAGTGATAGGGACTGATTGCAGAAGGCACTTTGCAAAAGTACGAAATGTCGATAATATATTGAAAATAAAATTATTGTACGTTTTCTAATAAAATATAGTTTTTGATGTGGAGTAATGTAAATTTGTAATATGGGGAATGGAATTTTCAACGTTCAGAAATAAAACATTGCACACTGAGAGAAAAAATCATAGTTTATAATCAACGATATGCTCCAAAATTCTCTGTGAGATATTTATCACTAATTAAAACAACATAAAAAAATGTACAAAATAATTTCTTTATAACTTGCTAGCCTTTCAATCGTTCAGCGACTAAGGAATTATAATGAAATAACTTACATGTAATGATCTCCTGCACTCCCAGTTGGCAGAATCCAATTGTGCAACTGCATCTCTTAAAGTGTTTGCGTACTCCTCATACTCGCGTTTCTGTTTAACGTCTATATTTGCCGACTTGCTTCTTTTCTAGAAACCAATAATATTCGTGTACAAATTTTCTATTTCTTATAATCATTGGGCAGATGAAGTTCTTTGTTTATAAGTATAGTCGTATTTAAACCCTCCATTTCATTAGTTATAGGGATATATTGGGCATTATCTACAATAGTTTTAATTGTCCAATCTACTGGATGAGTAACAACAAAATGTCCTCCAAAACTTTTAAGTAATCTATCTATATATTATAACTAATTATTATCTATCTCTCTTTTTAGGGCAAGTTTCTTACAGGATAGGTAAAGAATACCGAATACTAAACATCTCTATCCTTACATACTCGTACATTTCCTGCTTCCTGCATTTTTAAGACTCCTAATTATTAGCTTTTAATAAATAAAGCTTTACATATAGAAAATTTTATTCAAGCAGCAATTATACTCATAATATGCATATTTTAATAATATTTGTCATTTTCTTAAACGTATTTTTTATTTATGTATTCTAAATAAATATTTATTTGATCTCTTCATTTAGCTACACTTTTAGCCGCCTGACCTGACATAACATATTTAGGTAAAAATATTTAAAAAAACAAACACTTACTTCAGCATTCTGTAATAACGACATCGCCAGTTGCCTCAGTGGTGTATCTTCCACCACTATCTTTTCTTTTATCTTCACCAACTTGCCCGACTCCAAATCCTGTTTTAGGTCTTGAAGGAGCTTCTCCAAGTTATTCTGTTCAATGCCCATCTCCTGAACAATTTCTGTATATTGAGGGTCTTCAGCTAAAGGTTTCCAGGTTGCCGAAAATGTTTTTAGATTAGAGCCGAGCTCGTCTATGGCGCCCATGAGACTCCTTTGGCATTCGGGTATTTGAATCGATGCCGCTACAAGCTGAAAGGATTAGAACACAACGTATAAGGCCATATGTTATTTGACATCATGTTAGTTCTTCTAAAAATATATTACATTACCAAAGAAATTGTTTTGTTTCCAAAGGTTGTCTGGAAAAGATCGCTTTTAGCTATTAGTCCATTGTAATTTCACTGTGATGATTTCTTGTAATTGTTTGTATCTATAATAAGTTCACTACTATAATCTTTTGAAGGAAACACCATTTTAGTACTTTTTCTTTTTCATTTATTTTTATTTATTGCTAAATGTTTTTTGTTATTGCGTGTAAAGTTAATCACAAAATAAATATTTCATTCTTTCTTTCTATAGAAATTGATTTCCATCAATCTCTTTGCAATCTATATGACTGACTTCTGTATGTCTGTCCGTGGATCTTTTTCATTTTGCGACGGTTCAAAATATTGTTTTTTCTTTGTGAAACAAAAATTGCGTACTACAATTGCGAAGCAAAATCTACAACTAATCATACGACTCCAAATAGACAATTGTGATTTAAAGTTATTCTACCGGCGGGGCATGAAGCAGGTCAGTTAGCTCATCGTGACGAATTCAACAAGAATTGTTCACGATTGTTTCTAGAGGGAACCATGTGGAAGTCGATCTTATAGGATGTATTGCTAGCAATGGGGCACTTAGACCTCATTACTAAAAATCCCATTCCCCTTTTCTGCACAACTAGCTTCGATTGTATCAATCGATTAAGTGGCGATGGTTGTCTGTGCGTTGTTTACCTTAGCAGTGTAGGCGAGCGCGCCGGCGGCGTCGGCGGCGCGGCCGGCGGCGGCGCACACGGCGGCGGCGCGGGCCGGCGCGGCCGCCACGCGTGCCCCCACTCGCACCGCGCGCGACATACTGTCGCCGATCGCACGCGCGCGGGTTATCACCTACACACAGTCGGACGCTTTCATACTATCTACAATGTTACTAAATGTACAACTAGAAACCACTAGAAGCGATCACGCCTAAGTGTTTTACGTTAAATCTTGACAAACCTACAATATAATGCAATGAAACTACAAGGTAAGTCAGCAGGAAACCGTAGTCTTCAGGAATGGAATGTATTAGGTTATTTTGGAATTATAGCATATCTATGATGTTATTCGATAGACGAGGATTAAGGGTAGGATATGGCGTGAATTTACAGGGTACAGAAGAATAACACCTGAGCCCTCAGGAATGGCAACGCATGGGGGGTATCATGGGCGAAACAATACTCTGTTATGTCCATGATACTGCTCATGTCTATAGGCGACGATTACCACTTTCCATCAGGTGGGCCGTCAGCTTGTTTGCCATTCTAAGTTGTATAAAAAAAAAATGTCTTTTTATAACAAATAAGAACCTTGATCGTGCATAAAAATCATCATTAATATATCACAGAAATTTCAAATGTATTTAAGCATTAATAATGACTACCAGTAAACCATTCAAAAGCCTACCTCCTTCTCTTGTTCCGGATCCACGTCTGTGCCCACAGAGTACAACAACTTCGCAGATGTATTGCCATACTCCACGCCTACCTCGTTCAGTTTCTATAAAATGTTATTTACTTTGTTTTATTTGTGATTTTACTTTAGTTTTAAAAAAAATATCTATTGAGAAACTTCAAGAAACTCAACAATTTATTACCTTTTCAAATCTCTGTTAATATTATAAGTATTTATTTAAATAACATGACTGTAAAAAAAAAAATCAGCTAATATCAAGCAAATTTGTTTTACAAATAATCGTTCATAAAATGATAGGCTTTACTTAATGATTTAAATCACTAAATATACAATGATAAGTTACTTTAAAATTATTTTTAATAAGTGCCATATAAAAACTGCTAGTTACCTTTCTATCAGCAGTTACTGTATTACAAAGCTTGTTACTGCATTCAAAGTACGCCAAAAGATTGTCCAAGAAAGCTTTTCTGTCTTTCTCAGCGACTGAGCTGTGTAGAGTTTTAGCATCTATAAACAGAAAGCAAGGTCGGTTGACTGGAAGAGAATGCTTTTAGCATATATGTACTAATGAATAAATAAATAAAGTAGATATGAGTGTTAATATACATACATATCTGTCACGCCTGTCTCCCATTAGGGTAGGCAGAAACAATGGAACGCCAAATGATTCGATTCAAACAAACCTCTTCCTCTAAACTAATTAAAATTTTAGGGACAATATCTAGAAATGATTAACGAATCAAAATACAATAAAATTAAATAATATATTTTACATATATATATATATATATATATATATATATATATATATATATATATATATATATATATATATATATATATATATATATATATATATATGTATATATATATATACTTAGATATTTAATATTATGCCTTAAACATAAAATCTTAATTACTCAGCCGGCTCCTAAATGAACAATACAGACAATGAGTATAATGTGAAAGTTTTTCTTTGATAAAGGAATTATTAATAATAAATTATAAGGTATTGCTGTGTGGTCCCGATGTAGAATAGACCATCCCTTCCTTTCCCGTGAGTGTCGTAAGAGCCGACTAAGGGAGGACGAGGGATGGGCAGCAGCGTCCCTCTTAAAACATCTCCGAAGCTTGACCAGCGTGGCAACTATTGGCAAAACCCCTCCAAAGGGGAGGCTTATGTCCAGCAGTGGACAGTTAAAGGCTGATATGATGATAATGATTATATCAGTCATACCTTTTGCGATAGCCGGCATTAAAGATGATAAAGTCTTCATTGATTTGGTTGCAGCTACGCAGTCTAAAGCACCTGGTTCTGTAAATTTACGTTTACGTACATAATTGGCGTGAATTTACAGGGTACAAAGGAATAACACCTGAGTCCTCAGGAATGGCAACGCATGGGAAGTATTATGGACGAAACAGTATACTCTGTTATGTCCATGGTACTGCTCATGTCTATAGGCGACGGTTACCACTTTTCATCAGGTGGGCCGTCAGCTTGTTTGCCATTCTAAGTTGTAAAAAAAAATCAAGCGACTAACTTGTGTGTCATTCCCTGTTGCATAAAAAATTGCAGTTAAAATAATATTTAAATTAACTTTTGAGATTACAAAACGTAAATTAAAATGATACTTACTGTTACTTGCAAGCAGCGCAGCGACTGTAGCCGCTGAATGGCCTAATTTTTGTTCTATCGATTTTTGGAGAGCAGCTGCTTGATCCTTGTCTAGTGTGGGGTTACTCGCCTTTAAGGTATATAACTAAATATAGAAAAATAAATTAATAATATTTTTCCAAAACATTAACTATGGCAATTATAGTTATTTCCTATTTGTAGAGCAAAATATTTGTAATTTAGAAAAACGACTTTTAACCTTGGTATAAAACAACGTATATGTTCAGGGGATGGACAGCAGCGTCCGTCTTAAAACATCAATGCAGTTGTCAATTCGCCTGCTAAGCGTGGTAAGTACTGGCAAAATCCCTCTTTTGAAAGAGGCCCATACTTAGCGTTGTTGTTGAAGTTTGAAATTTCAAACCACATTTTGGATCATGGCTCAACTCTACTTTTTGAAAGTTCTAGAAAGAAAACTACTTATGCATTTTTATAAACAATACAAAATCTGAGAAGAATGGAATTGTAGACAGTGAAATTACAGGGTAGGGAGCATAACACCATAGCACTTAGGATTGGCAAAGAACCAAGTATGTTAATATTAAACACATCAAAGTAGATTCTGTGATGGTACTGTTCATGTCTATAGATGACAGATTTTTTTTTATACAACATAGAATGGCAAACAAGCTGAGGGCCTACCTGAGGGAAAGTGGTAACCGTCGCCTATAAACATGAGCAGTACCATGGACATAACAGAGTATATTGTTTCGCACAGGATACCCCCTATACATTGCCATTCCTGAGGACTCAGGAGTTATTCCTCTGTACCCTGTAAATTCACGCCATATCCCACCCCTCAAAACCAAACAACTGCTTCACGGTTGAAACACGAATGGGACAGAGGTAACCAAGCAATCGACTTTTGTACAAAGTCTCTCTCTCTGGTAAACCACCATCACCACTTTCCATCAGGTGGGTCAACTACTTGTTTGTAATTCTATATTACAAATAAAAAAGTAAAAATTAGCCAGATGTAACTGTTTAAAATTAACGATTAAAAAATTCAAGAGCATAGTTCTATCGAACCTTTTTGATATCTTCCTCGACGATGCGTAGATTCCGGAGCGCGTCTTCAACACTCGACACAAACTGTTTGTGTACCTTTTTCTCTTCATCAATCTTTATTATCGCTTCTCCGTTTTTGTCTTTAGGTGATTTGACAGTACTCTGTGTGTTTTCATCTAAAAAAATTAACAATAAAAGAATACAAAAAGGTATCTTATTATATTTACACTGTATCTTTTGAAGCAAGGATGGCCAACTGGTCAACTGTGACTATTAGTCCGATCGATCGTGGCAAGGCAAAATATATATATATATATATATATATATATATATATATATATATATATATATATATTATATATATATATATATATTTATACAACTTAGAATGACAAACAAGCTGACGGCCCACCTGATGGAAAGTGGTAACCGTCGCCTATAGACATGAGCAGTACCATGGACATAACAGAGTATACTGTTTCGCCCATGATACCCCCATGCGTTGCCATTCCTGAGGACTCAGGTGCTAATCTAGTGGAAGATGCTCAGATATACTAAGAATAATTTTCGGTTTTATGTTTTCCCTTTCAATAAAATAAAAAAATATGTACTGAACTATGTTTCCATTTGAGATTTCAAGAGATATGTAATTGGTAGATCGCACAAGAATCGTCAGTAAACAATAGATCTTGGGTCTAGTCAAGACGGCCACCCCTGCTTTAAGGTATAAAAAATCTCAACACACTGATTTCCGAAAGTTTTTTATCAGGAAGTAAATACACGATCTATTTACGATAGTGTAATTATGGTTTGTTTCCTCTTGACAATTTAGCATTGCATCATAGCATTATGGCAGTGAATTTACTGGGTACAGAGGAATAACACCTGAGTCCTCAGAAATGGCAACGCATGGGAGGTATCATGAGCGACACTGTATACTCTGTTATGTACATGGTGCTGATAATAAGAAATATCTAAAGAGCATATATCAAAACAGTAATAATGTTAACTATTTATACACTTTACCATTTAGGCCCTTGTATTAAAATGGTTTTTACAACTTAAATTTTTCGTCATAATCCTGGTAGAATATTATTGTAATCCTTACACAGAACTGTTCTTTTCAGTTCGAGCAAATAAGTATATCAACTCACCAGTCTCTTCGCAGCGAATTTGATCCAGAAATTCTTGATTAATGTCCCTGCTCGATTCCCTTACAGGATGAGCTACAATGTTCTGTTTGTGTTTGGACATAGAGGGTTTGGGCGGTGGTGGTGGTTGCTTCTTTTTTGAGCTTTGATTAACTACTAAAAGGAAATATAAAGGTCAACAAACTCAATAAAATTTAAGAAAAATGTAAATTGTAATAAAGAAATAATTAGGTACGACGTCAGTTTCTTAGGCATTTTAAGTTGCATAAATTTAAAAGTATTGATTTTTTGGTGATCAAAAATTTTGTGAAAAATCTATAATGGTAACAATTGTGAATCCTTGTCCAAAGTTCTAAAATTTCAATGGCTAATTATACGTATGGATAATGTCGTACAGTGAAACTATCGTAACATAGAGAAGCTTAAAACTATCTTTTTTAGATACATACTTGTACTGGGATTCTGGCAAGCCTTCTTTAGCGACTCTAGATCGCGTTCAAATTGTGGATATTGCTCTTCTAGTGTTTTTCTAGTAGCTGCATGACGAGGGTTCTTCACCACTGGTTGCCACGTATCAGCAAGTTGTTGGGAGGACATAGATAATCCGTTGACGGCAGAAATCAGCGCCAATTGGCAAGGAGACTCGTGAATATATGGAGCAGTGAGCTGTAAGTTTGTTTGTTTATAACACTTTATCTTACAGTAAAGTATTAAATCATACGAGACAGAATTTTTAAGAAAAAAACAGGTACAACGATGGACTTATCCCACAAAAGGGATTTCTTCCAATTAACCTTTGAGTGTCTGACAGAAATTGTGAAATGGTGGAGACAAAAAAGAATAGCTAATTTAAAAAATCAAAATGTACTGGACAACACAAGACTTTTAAATAATACCTAATGCATCTAATGATGGAGTGACGACCTCAAATGCATTGCAGGGAGTCAGTGTACCTTACGACCGTCTATAGAGGAGGCCTATGTCCAGCAGTGGACGGATAATGCTGAAATGATGATGATAATGATATTATTCAAGTCCAAGAATACACTCTTGTTTAAAAACTAAAACTATAATTTCATAACAGGCGACATCCCGTTCACACTAAATTTAAACGCTTACAGGATATCGAATGAGCCAGCTAAATAACAATTTACCTGTGAAGCAGTAAGCAGTGTCTTCGCAGCATCAGCGGTACGCGCGCCGGCTTGATCTAGCTGCGAACCAACATGCCCAGACTCGTTCTCAGCCAGCTGGTACACTGTTGCCAATATCTGGGAGACTCCACTGCATGCTTTTGTTGATAAATTTATTATCTAAAAGTAAATTATAAAATAGTAATTATTATAAAAATATTAAATCGGAATCATTTGGAATTTCTATTCCCATGTATATTAGTATTTTTATTTTTAATATGGTTTTAAATATGCCATGTGGTTCGGGCATTGAATGGATCACCCGTTCCTTTCCCGTGGGTATCGTAAGAGAATATAATGACTGAGAGATAGACTACAACATCCTTCTTAAAACATCACCAAAGTTTAACTGCGGTTGCCAATCTGCCTGCCAAGTATGGTAACTTCTGACAATATTTTTTTTTATGCAACTTAGAATGGCAAACAAGCTGACGGACCACCTGATAGAAATTGGTATCCGTCGCCTATAGACATGAGCAGTACCATGGACATAACAGAGTATACTGTTTCGCCCATGATACCCCCCATGCGTTGCCATTCCTGCCATATACCACCCTTCGAACCGAAACACAACGGCACTTCACGGTAGAAACACGAATTTATCCCCAATTGAAGGCCTATGTTCAGCAGTGAACAATTCGTTAACTAATTAACTATGATGATGACGATGATGATAAATTTAAATAGTTGATGTAAATAATATAAAAAAAAACTTGCCACTTGTTCCTTATCAGGTTTGATGTGGGGGTTGACTACCGAATACAGTTTGCCCATCGTGTTCGCACACTTCGCCGCACGGTCATTAATAGCCTGCAGAGATAGATAGATAGATAGATACTCTTTATTGTTTCCTACAAAAGATTACAATAGTAAACTTATTATAAATATAAACAATTACAAGAAACAATCACAATGAGAAAACAATGGGCGACCTTATCGCTAAAAGAGATAAAACAATAACAATTATTAACTCAATATAATGATTATCTTCAACAATTACAATCGTATCATAAACTGTAAAATTTATAGTTTCATTTAAAAATGCACTTAAAAAGAAGCTTTTATCTATCATCAAATCAGATATATTCAGATCTAATCAAAACAAATCTATTAAATATGCTCTAAGTAACTTGTTTACTTATGTTTTGAAGGCAAAAGAATAAGGGAACTAAGACGAGAAAAGGTAACAGGTTGAATTGAGTAAACTCTGGTATTACGTGCTTAATGAACTAAGGTGGCCGCTTGAATTTAGGCGGATATACATATTTGATTGTCACTACGTAATCGTAGTTAGGGAATAAAGGACAGAGGAGAGCATAGAGGTCGTGTCCTAACTTAATACACATAATAAAAGATAGGGTATCTTATAAATGCTCTAACCTTGCCCTAAAATACGCAATGTCTTAAAATTAGAGGACCCCTAAAAATTTATGCGAGAATTTTTTTTTGTTTTATATCAGTTTCGTTGTCAAAAAGATTATGGTATTTTATTATTGTTGAAAGACGGGCTTTTTCAGATTGAAAACTATGAGACTACGATCTTTCTATAGCCTTATGTGCTCGCCGTTTTTTAAAGTTCGCTGCTAATTCCTATCAAAGATAGAAATTAATAGATATTTAAGTGGCGATGTTTATTATCTCCTCAGAATATAGAGTGTGTTTTCCAAAGGAGATATATCCTTAATGTATGAGTGGGCTACAGCCACACATTCAGTGCTGCGGCGTTTCTTCCTCATTGTGACAAAATCTGCAAACACTTCTTGGGTATAAGCCTAATTGGGCCATGTGCTTGTTTAGTTTGCAAAAGTTAAGATATCTCACCCCAATGTTTTGTTGTCCGGCAGCATCGCACAGATCTTGTGTAGAACTGCACAACCCTCGCATCTCCCCAATTAATATTGCTTGCGACGCGTCATCTAATCTTGCACTCAACACTTTCGATTCTGAAAGCAACGACAGATTTTTTTATCTATTTACAACTTACATTAATGATCAAATCCTCACCTTCTTCATTTTGGCTTCCCCATGGTCAAAACATTGAGATCAGTATCCTATAATCTACCTCAAGAAATGACAAAAGACTTGTTGTCTAACAAATGCAAAAAGCATTTTTCAAATCCTTCTGGTATTTCCAGATATTACTACATTCAAACAAACAAAATTTCTGATTTATTATATTAGTTTACGCGACAGTGTAAAATGAATGTAAACAACATTATTTGAATTACAAAAAAATTAGGGGTATCATAGGCAAGTGTAGTGACACTCCATGATACTGTTCATGTCTATAGGCGACGATTACCATTTCTCATCAAATGGGCCGTCAGCTTGTTCATCATTCTGAATTGTATAAAAAAAAAATATCTAACGTATCAATTATTGTATTTGTATATGTATTATAATAAGATACTTGATCAAAATTTATCTCACGATTTAAAAACAAAATATATTTTCAAAATTCCAAAAAAATATAAACAATGTACCTTTTACAATACGTGGCAAGAGTTCATTAATATGTGAGACAGCTCTCTCAGCTGTGACGTAATCGATTTTATCACGACCTAAAAACATAAATTATGATAATACAAAGATGATGAATAATATATTAATTAATTTAATTAAAGTCGAATAAAATGAAACCTTACCAGATGTGGCCGTGACAAGAGCGGCGATAGCGGCATTTAACTGCGCCATTCTCTGTGACAGCTTCAGTTGCTGCGCTGTTGCTGCTTCGCCCTTTAACGGAGGTCCAACTACGGGCTGCAGAAAATTAAAGTAATTACATATTGTAGATAACCTCTTTCCTTCCAATTTATGAGCTTGGTCTAGATATCATCGTCTCGTCGTCAATCATATCAGCCCTTAACCGTCCACTGCTGAACATAAGCCTTCCCCTTGGAAGGTTTTGCCAGTAGTTGCCACGCCTGGCAGACGAATTGACAACCGCAGTCAGGCTTTATAGAAGTTTTATCAAGTATATTGCCGCCCATCCCTTACCGTCCCTTAGTTGTCTTTTACAACAACCACGGGAAAGTCAGATCACGTTCACGATATCAAAATAATTGTCAAGATCGTATCAAATTATTTTTGTCTGTCTTCTCAAGAGATTATAGTATAGGCAGCAAACATCACGAATACCTTACACTGCCTGCTATAAATACCGTTACCATCCACAATTACCTCAAAATAAAGATGATATTAAGCGACTATTTTAAAAATTACAATTTGCATTGTTCTTTCGATCCGACTATTTATAACTACTCTTCTCGATCCAAATAATGCCTGAAAGAGATCGCTTTTAACAATAAGACCGCCTATTGTTTTCTCACTGCGATTATTTATTGTAATTATTTGTATTTACAATAAGTTTGCTATTGCAATCTTTTGGATGAAACAATAAAAACTATTTATCTATCTAGAGACTAGCGGACTTTACATATACGAATTCTCAAATACCTATATTTACTGTAGTATTCAAAATTCAAAACTTGAAACAAATCATTATCTAAGATTCAGTTTAAATGAAAGTTTTCGAGGTAAATCTCCAACGTTATGGATTGATTTCTTTAAAATGGTCAAGCACAGCTATATGCAATATTTTCGTACCATCAAGAATCGAAATAGATGAAAGCACATTACAAGGATCTCAACTACCTAAGAGGATTTCATTTATAACGATAAAAATTATGACTTCCTGACCGACTTCGGCTTTGACGACTGTATTCTTAGGGAGCAAATGTAACCTTTTGATAAAATTTGTAATGATTGTTGGATCCCAATTTCTTAGTAGGTATAATATACCTACATGTATATATAATAGTAACATTCATACACTATTGTCACAATGTAACTACGAACAATCTGATAAAATTTCACGATAGATAAGTGTCGACAATACTGACCTTATTCAGTTCTTGGAGAGCTGCATCCACGACGTTCTTACTATTAGATACAACTTTAACGAACTGCGGACGTTGCTCCTGCCTATTAGCATCTTCAGTTGTAGCATCGTCTCTACCAGGGCCTGTATCACATATATTATTGTTTTAGTTTTCGTTACAATGAAAAAGAATCGAAATCAATGTTTCAAATTTAAATTTTCTTTATAATTTATAAAAGCAAAACTTTTATTACACTTTTTCATGTTCCGAGCTAACACAGTTTAGAACTTTACAATAGTATCTCAGTATCACAAAGAATTATAGTTAATATACATAAGTTATAGATTTAATATCAAATTAATTTTAGCTTATCATCGTAATTACTTTCGTTTTCAATAGAAGACTAAATACAACATGCAATAAACCACTACTAAACATGATCCCTACGACCATCACAAGGAACGATCATCATCCACCTACATCTAATGACTTCCTGTAATATATTTAAAGTCACTTAGAATTTCCTTATATAAACCATGTATCCAATCTATAAATCATCAATTCACCACTGGCAACAAATTTTAATTAAATTTTCTATTTCCGACTGATTTTGTCTTTAAACTTTAAAGTCTTTTTGATTCAATAGCGTAAAATATAAATCAAGTTCGATTCGTCAACTAGAATCTAGATCTAAGTTAGGCTTACCCAAATATATAAGTAGGTACCTGAATAAAAATATAGATATATCTAAACGTATTTTGACTGAATGAATGTAAATACAAACCCCTTGTAATATTCTGACAAACGCCTTTCAGTTCCTGCAAATCTTTCTGCAGATCCTGACTTTGACTTTCCAGCTTTGAACCAAAAGCAGAATACTGTGACTGCTGCTTCAATGGGTCACACTGGGCAGTGAGTTCTTGAACAGCAGCTGATAAGCTATCAATAGCCGAGACTAATGTTGACTGACAGTGCGGCTCTTTAATACATGGTGCTGTCAACTAAAACCAATAACAAATTATTTCGCAAAGAAGATCAGAAATTAATTTTCAATTTTTAAGGCACAGGAAGCAAACATCCACACTAATAAAAAGCAAACAGATCTAATTATAAATACTAGATGTCTTTGTTGGCCCACGAATAAGAAAGTACAACGCTGGATGTTTCTGTCACGTTCTATACCATGCACGCGAAACTGATATCTGTACATAGATTTCTTTGCCAGTTATTTAGAATGGTTGATAATAAAAGTCTACCGCTATCAAAGATAGAGTCTGTAGCTGCATCATCGGTGACATTGTTAATGAATAAATCAATAAACAAGACAATTAATGAATGTAACGATACAATCGTATAAGTACAGTAAGATATTAACTGAAGGGAGACTTAATAGAAGAATTGTCTGCTTGAGAGCATATCAGAGGTAAAGAGAGACAATTGTGCTTTTATGATTATCGAATTGAAAAGTGAGATATTGTAATACAATTACTTGTAATTTCGCAACAATATCAGATGTTTAAAATCCTGGTTTAAATTCCTCTGTAACCACTAGACCTTGGGCTTCATATTGAATTCTATCATGTCCATGGCGCTTTTCATACATACAGTTGACGATTACTACTTTCCTTAAAGAGGCTATCTAATTGTCTACTATTTCAAATTGCATTAAAAACATTGTAATATTGAAAATACGTAAATTTCCATGATTGATTGTCGACTATAATACGTACCTTTGCAGAAGTAAGCAGAACTCTTGCTACGTCAGCAGTTTTGTCACTATAATTTTTCATCCGTGTGCCTACTTCTCCGCCCACTGTCCTTGCCGTTTGCTGGACATCTGTCACCATCTGAGCAGCCTTATTATACGCAGACTTAGATAGATTTATTATCTGTTAAAATAGAAATGCTATGAAAATATATATTTTGACTTCACATTTGTAACTCGTTTCTGCTACGATATGAATCTTCGTTATTATATTAACTTTTTTAAAAGAAAAGTGAATGATATAATATATTCAGAGAATCATGTTGCCCATATAGAAAGCAAAAACAAAAAAATATCCTACCTATTTTTTATTTTCTATACAACATACAAAAAAAAATAGATATTGGAAGAACAGATTGAAGAGAATCCTAATAAAATGTAAAAGATAGTTAATTGGTATCTCTAGATACCTTATCGTTATGAAATTTGGCATACCTATATGGTATTCAGGATTATAGGTTACTTCGACTAGGAAACATACACTTATAGCTATAATAATACCTTATTCGCCGTCTCCAGTTTTGTTCGCGGATTGACCACATAGAGAAGTCTACTGGAAGAGTTTGCAAATTTCGATGCGTGCTCGTTGAGTTTCTAAATCGTGAAAATTTAAACACAATTTACTAAACATAAACATGGCTATAATATAAAAAATATAATCTTGAAGCTAAAAAAAGTATTCCAATATAATTCCTATAGCATCTTAAAGACATCATCGTCCGTGTTATTTTTAAGAAAATATATTTTCAAGTAATATTAGGATCTCGTCACATAACTTGATCGAGTTATGAATGTAAGCGAAGTAACAGATCTGTATTGAGACCTTCGACATTCAATTATTGTTTGATTTCTTAATATATTCTCACTTTCTTATTATTATCTTATTTCAGTATCTATATAAAGGAAAATATTTAAAAACACCTAAAGAATTCAAAATTCTCACCTGCGCATCCCATTCTCCTGCAGCGTTGCAAAGTTCTCGCGCTATCTCGCAAAGCGAACGGAGTTCCGCTTGTGTGTTGGCTTGAGACTGCTCGTCGCTCGCTGTGTTCAGAGCTCGCGTTTCTGTACATAAATATTTTACATGGTATTTTATTCTTCTTATTCCTGCTCTTTTCCCGTATCTATTTGGGGTCGCCGTAATATGTTTTCTTCTTCCATTCATTTCTATTTGTAGACATCTGACTAGTCACTTCCTTTCTGACAAATTGTTTGTGTACATGTCTTTTAGGTCGTCCTCTGTACATAATCATCTACATTCATACGTAATACCTCTCTTATCGTATTTTACTGTGATTAAATATTTTGCCACAATATCTACCGAATTAACAAAAATCAACTTGATATATCGATACTCACCTTTGACCACGTGCGGTAATAATTCGTTTATAGTACTGATAGCTTGTTCCGCAGCAATGTAGTCTGGACGATTTCGATCTGTAATAAATGAAATATTTTTATGATCATAATTCAAATATCATCGTTCAAACAAAATGAGTTCATTGAGATTGAACGATGACTACTTTAAAAAATATCTTTAAGAGATCCCGAAAAGGAAAAAGTTCTAAATTTGTCTGTACTCTTCAGTAAGTTACACGATATGTTTGCTTATTTATAACCGATTTTTATTTTTGTAACTATAGAACTTACATTTCTGTTGATCTTATATTAATTATGTTTTCGCTGAAGTAGCTGTTATTTCTTTTGTAAAACAAAATCTTGAACTGTTTCTATAAGTATTTTAAATTAATAATTTGTTTCAACACAGCAAAGTTAATATATATTTTTTAATACACATTTACCAGAAGTGGCTGCAAGGAGAGCAGCAATGGCCGCGTTAAGTTTCGCCAAATTCTGAGTTAATTGTAACTGACGAATGGCTGCTATTTCACTCTTTACTGGAGCTCCGATAGGCTGCAAATGATTATTATATTTTATTGTGTTTATATCAATTTCTATATAGTAATAATGTCATAATAATAAAAAATGTAATATATTTTAATATTGAAGTTGAAAGTAAACAGAATACCTTATTCAATTCTTGCTGAGCAGCGTCTATAGCATTCTTACTGGCGGATACAGTTTTAACAAACTCTAAATGTTGTTTTTCTGTTTTCGGTGATTCTAATACTGTTATTTTATCTGTAAATAGAATACAAAATCTCAGAATAGAACAGTCGTCCATATTTAATAAAATATCAACTTGTACAATTAAAATAAGTACCAATGATATACTTAAAACAAATAAATAAATCAGTTACATGAGTGTTCAAATAATATAAAATGTTATAAATATACAAATTTGCAAAATTACTAATGTTATGTCAAAAATCTACTTTAGTAACGATATTAGAAAATATTTGATTAATGCATTCACGTCAACCATCATGTTTTTAAGCTTAAACTCTTAAGCTTTCTTATATACATATAACTACTAACCGGTTTCAATATTCCGACAAGCGCTTTGGAATTCCTTTAAATCTTTCTGCAACTCTTTACTTTGTACATCCAACTTAACTCCAAAATCAGCGAACTGTCGAGTTTGCTTCAACGGATTACTATGTCTGGTCAATTCCTGAACTGCCACTGACAAACCGTCAGCAGCAGAAATTAACGTCGATTGACACTCCGGTTCAGTAATACACGGCGCTGTAAGCTACATAATATAATAAAGAAAATAAATTGAATTTTAAATCTTATAACTATAGATAAATATATATTTAATTCTGATTTGCTGCTGGACCGTTACGTACTTATTATTTCTTACGTTTATATAGTTGATGGATTTCTTACCTGCGTTGTGGTAAGCAATACTGTTGCTGCATTAGTAGTCTTTTCACCGCTCCTACTAAGTTTGGTGCCCACTTCACCACCCGTTGTCTTTGCCACGTTGTGTACATCTGTCACCATCTTACCAGTCTTGTCGTGTATAGATTGAGACAGATTCATTATCTGTAAAGGATTCAATACTTTGACGTTCTGTTCTTAAATCACAGGAGCACCACGATAATTGCCTCTCAGGTTTTCTTAATAACCTTAAATATTAACTATCAGATTATCAATTTGTGTACTTCAGTGCAACCGGATTTCAAAAATGCGTTTATTAAAATGGATAAATTAAAAATTACGTAATAAGAATAACCACTACTAGTCAACTAGTTTAAGGAACTGGAGTGAAAGTGAATTTTTACTTACCTGAATTACTTTCTGCGATTTCGGACGAGGATTCAGTTTGTTGGATGCGCTCGCGAATTTGGACGCATTTGCGTTGAGTTTCTATCAAATGGCAACGTTTATATTAATAAGTAAAATTATTAAAAGCTAATTAAATCTGTATGTTATGTGATTTCAATATGAAATAAATTTAGTAGTGATGATCACCTGCAAGTCCTGTTCCCCCGCAGCGCGGCAGAGGTCTCGCGTAGCGTCGCTGAGCGCGCGGAGCTGGGCCCGCGTGCTGGCCTGCGAGCGCTCGTCGGCTGCAGCGCTCAGCGCCCGAGACTCTATACACGCGTACACATTGCTTGCAATAATGTAACATCATCATCTTCCTACTCTTATCCCAATTTATTTGGGGTCGGCGTAATATGTTTTTTATCCATATTACAAAAAGATTTGGCTTATAGTTCTCACTTAAGTATTTTTTGTGTCCATAAATTTACAAAATGGATAAGAAAACAATTGATCAAGTCACAAAAGTTCTTCAAGGATTTATTCTCCCTTTGGGACTTAAAATTGAAGTCTTTGGACGAATTATTAAGGATATTAGAAGCAAAAATAGATGGATTGCCGAAACACCAACTTTTATAAGCTAAAGGTAAGCATAAAGTTAATGAATCAGCTGACACGACGCGATGGTCCATGACGTCGGATACAGCGTTTCGAAGAGCGGTAACAAATTACGCAGAAATACATTTTTAATATTTCTTTTTTATATAGCATAATTAGATTTTTTGTTATTACTTTTAAATTTTTACAAAAATTCACATCTCCCCTCTTAAGGAGAGGAGGTGTCAAACTGACCTCTGGTAGAAGCATAGTGAGCCGGGGTTAAGACCCCGGTATAAAAAATAGGGTATAAAAAAATCGCAAGTTAATCGAGGTGTTCTTACATAAAAAAATATTACTGCTATTAATTGTTTACCAACCTTTTACAACGCGTGGCAATAATTGGTTGATAGTGTGAACGGCCTGATCAGCAGTGACGTAGTTCGGCTGGTCAGGATCTGAAAATAAAATCCGATAAATAAGAGATATTTAGTTAATGTTGCTCCATAAAAAACAGTGATTATTTGATTTGAGAACGTGGAACCATGTCATTTTGCCCCACAATTAAAATACATATATATATATATATATATATATATATACATATGTAAATATAAATTCATATACACATACATACACACATGCATATAAACACCTACACAAATAAATATATGTTATAATACAATATGCTGTTGGTGTTTCTATAAATAAATAAATTTTACATAGTATGAGACATGGCTAATGCATAAAAATAATGTGTCTACCAGAAATAGCTGCTAGCAGTGCTGCGGTAGCGGCATTCAGCAACGCCGTCTGCTGCGACAGCTGCTGTTGGCGCGCCAAGGCCTCGTCTTTGTTCACTGGACCTTCGACAGGCTGTGCAGGAAAATAAACAATTTACAGAGAGAAATCGAATCTAAAAATATATCCATGCTATAAAGTATTGTATTGTAAAATCCTTAATGTACATAAATTACATTGAACAAATCAAAATATTTAATACAGAATAGCAGAATTATCCCATAGACGAATCTCTTACAGTCAACCTTTAAGAAGCTGAAAGTATAAGTGTAAATATTTCGTGAATCAAAAATTAAATAAAGAGAATAAATTTTGGGTCGTCCATACTAACTTCACAGCTGGACACGCTGTGTTAGTATGGTAGGCTCAATAATTGTTGGTTTACGACCCGTTTGTTTGGTAAAAAATTACTGGTAGCACACTCATTTAAAAGGATGTTGATAATTTTGATTAATTACATCATATATAAATCTATTCTACTGCTAACCTAAATTACTCCGCAGTTTTTTTTTTATACCACTGAGGTGGCCAACAAGCACACGGCTCACCTGATGGTAAGTGGTTACCGTAGCCTATGAACACCTGCAATACCAAAGGTATTACGCGTGCGTTGCCGACCCTGAAGAAACCTCTTTACCCCCCTTTTGAAGAGCCCCATGCTGCTGGCTTTTGGGAAAACCTCGGCAGGGAGCTCATTCTTCATCCTGAGTGTTCGTGGGAGGAAACATCTCTGAAACCGCGCAGTACGCGACCATTGAGGCTGTAGGCTATGAGGATGAACTCCCTGTCGATGGCGAGCCGTACGATGATAGAAAGTGTCTGTAGGCATCTTATTGAACAATTCCTTTGAGCACAATCCTTTGTACAAGCGATAGAACACGCAGAGTGAGGCAAAATCTCTCCTAAGTTAAGAGGGTTCACATCAACGCGTAATGAAATATGATGGGATGATGATATCAGCCATTAGCTGTCCACTGTTGAACATAGGCCTCCCCCTTGGGGGGCTTTGCCAGCAGTTGCCATACTTGGCAGGCGGGTTAGCAATTGCAGTTAGGCTTTAGTGATATTTGAATACAAACGCTGCTGTCTATTCCTCGACCACGAAATTCTCTTAGTCAGCTCTTACGACACACATGGGAAAGGAAGGGATGGCCTATTCTATGCCGATATGTAAACTCTCTCAAAAAGCTTACCTTATCAATTTCCTGGTGCGCAGTTTTCACTGCATCCTTAATTGCAGCCGAAGTAGTAATAAACTGCAATCGGTGTTTTTCCTTCCCAGTTGCCAACGATTTTGGTAATGCTTTGTGACCTTTCCATGGATAAAATATTTAATTATTAAATGTCAACATACTGACAAGTAAAATTACTATATCACTCACCAAATCATCAGTTTTTCATTTTAAGAATAAAACAAATCAACTCGTTTGTGGACTATTGATTTTATTACATAATTATGTAATAAAGGCATATATGTTTTTTTTTCCTGCAACTTTAAATGGCAAACAAATTGACGGCTCTCATTAGCACAATGTATATAATAGAAAGTATTGTGAAAAATTTAACAAAAATTAACTTAAAAATTATGTAGATTCTTGTCTCTATAATCTAAAACCTTATCTCAATATTTATAAAAATATATTCTAAAACGTGAATATAACTTACCGCTTTTTCCATCTAGACACGTGTGTTTCAACACATCTAAGTCAGACTGCAGTCGCTGATGTTGCTGTTCTAATCCGGTGCCGTGACCAGGCTTCTGCGCTAACGGAGTACACTCCGTCAATAAATTACGTGCCTCGTTTGAGAGGCTTTCCACTACGGATACTAGCGCTGATTTGCTGCATGGCTCGCTCATACACGACGCCGTTAACTGCATTTAATTTAAGTTAATGAACTTAAATTTATTACTAAATAAGAAACGAGATACAAATAAGATAGAAAACTTGTAATGACAAGTTGGTACTGTTATGATTCCCATAGGAGTATTTGAGGAAATTATTTAAGATATTGAAAGAAATAATCTGAAAGTCCACCTGATGATAAGTTCAATATATACAGTGCCATTAGATATAATCAGAATTATTGCATTTTTTTCCCAGAGGACACCAACGATTTAGGAATTTAATTTTAACAATGATTCCATTTTATATTACACATAACAACGCCAATTTTTAACAAGATAGTTATTGGCGACCGGCCGATGCAAACTCTTTAGACGTTATTGTACTTTTTTATATACATTTACTTTTAGAATATTCTTATTATTTGTAATTTTATATTTTTTTGACATATTGATTCATTGTTCCTTGCTCGCTGTTCAATACATATATTTCGCTACTAAATTTCGTGTCTACATCATTTCATCACCTCATCACAGTCCACCGCTCCGTAATACTTGGTCCATTCGTAGCCATAAGTAAAAAGCACCGATATTTTGCTTTTTCATTCTAATTTTTTTTCCAAAATTTTCATTTTCATCTCACACGACTTCATCGTATATTTTTTTCCTAAATCGTGTCATTCTTCATTATAATGGTGCAGACACGCAGTAAGAGCAAATCATTTGTGAATTTAGCAGCCACTGAAGTCGAGCGGTCGGGTCGCGAAAGCCCGGAGTCATCATCGCTACCGCCCGCCCGCCCGGCTTCAGCAACAGCGATCAAGGATGTTCCGTCATCATCGGCTAGATCGGTTACACAACTCGTGGGCACCCCACGTTCGGTAAAAGCATTATCTCGCTGTACCAAGTGCCCTGGTGACCTCTCTAGCCAACTTCAAAAAATCGATGCCCGGGCATCTTCCCAAAACGTGCAAAGTCGTTGCGGCCAACAATCTACTAGTGAACATTCACGATCGTCACGTTCGTCCGCCACCGTCCGTGCACAGAAGTTGGCCGTCGAAGCAGAAGTCTTACGGTGCCGAGTTGCCCGTGAGCGTGAACTCGCGCGTCTTCAGGCGAAACGCGAGCAGGAGCTCGCTCGCTTGGAATCTGAGGCGGAGGAGAGAGAGCTGCAAGCCAAACTCGCTGCACTGGATGCTAAAGATAAGTCTCGTAGCTCATGTTTTTCTAATCGCGATACTGAAATACGTACTGCGACATGGGTTTCAGAACAAAATGCAAACATGACCATGGCAACACATGTCGACATACCTGGTAAGCCACCGACTGTCACCTTGGAAAATACCCAGGGACTCAGTCTACAGTCGGCTGTCTTTACCAACGCGGTACCGTCTCATGAACCATATGTCAACCATGCAAACCATTCGAAATCCACACATGTCATTAGCAACGAAGACTGTGCAACAGTGGCACTGCAACGCTTACAACCTGATCGTCCATCGGCAGATCCTATAGTACAGCTCACTCAAGCTATTACTAGTTTATCTAACTGCCCAAAGAAACCAGAACTCGTCATTTTCTCGGGCGAAATTAGTCAATGGATGGCCTTTAAAAGTAGTTATGAAAGAACTAAATCTAGTTTTTCCGCAGCAGAAAACCTCACACGGCTGAATAATGCGGTTCGCGGACCGGCATACCAGGCCGTGGCGTCACTCCTGTGGACTTCTTGTGACCCACAAGACGTCATGAACGCATTGGAGCAAACGTACGCCCGACCAGAACTCCTCGTTGCTCGCGAGGTCGCCGAGCTACGCAATAGCCCTAAGTTAAGTTCCCCTGAACAATTAAATACATTAGCAAATAAATTACGTAACTTTGTAGTTACTTTAAAATTATTAAAACAAAATGATTATCTATATTCACCAGAGCTATTTCGCACTATTCTACTCAAATTAAGCGAATACACGAGAGCTCGTTTTACAGACTTTGCCTCAACCTATATATGTGAGCAACAAAACGTGGCAAAATTAGACTTGCTATCGCAGTTTTTGCTAGTGGAAGCCGATAAACAACTACGGTACAATTTCGTACAGGACAGTACCATTAAGCCACAAAATTCAACGTACCCTTCTAAGTACAATAATAACATAAAAAAGGAGACAATACACGTAATGACCCCTAGCAATAAAGTATCAGAGTGTACATACTGCAAACAAGGTAGTCACAGTATAAAATCCTGTAAAATATTTTTATCTCTCACAGTAAATGATAGATGGCGTTGGGTTCGAGACGCGAAGGTATGCTACCGCTGTCTTAAATCAAATCCACATAAATGGACTAATTGTCGTAGTAAACGTTGTGGTGTTGACGGATGTACAAGACGCCATAATTCGCTTCTTCACGGTACCACGCCTAATGAGTCTGGAACTAACTTAGCGACCAACACCCAACGCACCCAAATACTGACTGATAATTCAGATGGCCCAAGCAACATAGCTGATAAGACATATAAAAATGAACCGATTAAAATCACAAATACGTCTGACATTTTAATCAATGCAGCAGGTTCTTCTTCACGTCCACGCGGCCTCCTGAAAGTACTACCGGTTATCCTCGAGGGCCCCGACGGCGAATATGAAACCACGGCGCTACTCGATGAAGGTAGTACGGCGACACTAATTGACGACAAGGTAGCGATGCGTATCGGCGCCAAGCCCACCCGTCAAGAGCGTCTTCGTATTGAAGGTGTTAGCGGCATGTCAAAAGATGTAGATGTTGGTTACGTGAACTTCTACATACGTGGGCGTAACTTACCTGACCGCTACTTAGTGGAGCATGCACGCGCAATTAGCCCATTAAGTCTGCGCGTCCGGAAAGAAAACATCGTCAACTTTATGAAGTACCAGCACTTATCAGACCTATCTAATGAACTTTCCTACACTGATACCAACCCAACTGTTCTTATTGGAGCGCCCGACTGGTACCTATCTGTAAGCCGCGAGCTAAGATGTGGAAAGAAGAATGAACCTGTAGCCTCTAAAACACTATTGGGCTGGGTGCTCCACGGCGCACTGTCGGTTTCATCTCAGCCGATAGAATTTGTCAACCATATCTGTGACCACCTAGACTCTCTTATAAGAAAGCAGTACGAAATTGATTCCTTAGGTATAATGAAAAGCGTCTCACGTTTCAACAGTGATGATAAACGAGCGATAGATATCATCGAAACGTCGGCTCGTCAACTTGACGACAACCATTACGAAGTCGGTTTACCTTGGAAAAAAGACTTACCAACTATCATACCTGATAGCTACCCACAGGCATTATCTCGCTTCAGAGCTCTGGAACGACAAATGTCTAAAGACCAATCATTTGCCGCAGCTTACCATGACTTCATAAATGGCATTGTTACTAAAGGGTACGTCGAAGAATGCGACCCAAATACGTATTATAAACGAATGCCATCGAACGTTTCATGTGTTAACCCGGACGATACTATTCGTTGGTACCTACCCACCTTCGGAGTATTTCACCCCCAAAAAAAGAAGCTACGAGTGGTGCATGATGCGGCAGCAAAGACAAAAGGTGTAAGCCTCAACAGCCTACTCCTACAGGGACCCGATTTATTAGGTTCTCTATTAGACATTTTATTTCGTTTCAGAGAAGGCGCTGTGGCCCTAAATGCCGACATTAAAGAAATGTTCCCTCAAATAAAAATCGCTAAAAAAGACAGAGACGCCCAACGCTTCTTGTGGCGTAACAAAAACGGTATTCTCGTTGAGTACCGCATGAAAGCTATGATATTCGGCGCAGTGTGTAGCCCATTCATTGCACTTTACATTAAGAATAAAAATGCAAAGATAGCGGAAGCTAGATATCCTGCAGCATGCAAAGCTATAGTTGAAGATCACTATATGGACGATTACCTGGGTAGCCACCCTAGTGTCACTGATGCCGCGCAGGTGGCATCTGACATAATTATGGTGCATAAAGCATGCGGTTTCGAAATGCGAGCATGGACTTCGAATAATTCACAAGCTCTCTCTCTTGTCCCCAAAGAACTCAGAAGTGAAGCAACTTCAGACGTATACTTACCACCAAACAATGATGTTGGTATTCTAGGCGTTAAATGGAATCCATTCCACGACTCGTTCAGCTTTCGTACAGGACTTCATATGCCTGATATTTTAACTAAACGTAGCCTACTATCCAGCGTTATGAAAGTTTATGACCCACTTGGCCTACTAACGCCTATTATAATTTCGGGCCGTATTTTGTTCCAGAAGTTATGGCGAGAAGGCATCGACTGGGATACCCCAGTACCTAATAAATATGTTTCTGAATGTACAGAATGGTTCACTCAATTACAGAGTGCCGCTAGCATCAAAATTCCGCGTTGGTATATGTTTAAATCAGATCCAATGGATATTCAACTACACATAGTGGCTGATGGTGGTGAACAAGCATACGCCTGCGTAGCTTACTGGCGTTTCAATTACAATGATGGCTTCGTCTCTACGGCTCTTATAGGTAGCAAAGCTCGAGTTGCACCATTGAAACCGCTCTCTATTCCCCGCCTCGAGCTACAAGCGGCGCTTATTGCTTCTCGATTCGCACAAACTATTTTACGCGCTCACCGTCTTAAACCCTCCGCAACTATTTATTGGACAGACTCTACCACCGTTCTTAAATGGATCCGAAGCGACGCTCGCACATTTAAACCTTTCGTTGCTCACAGGTTGGGAGAGATACTGGAAACCACCAATCCGTCCAATTGGAGATGGATTCCTACCTCTCTCAACGTAGCCGATGATGCTACTAAACCAAAGAAAATATTTTTGTCTCCTTCTCATAGGTGGTTTACTGGCCCACCATTTCTTTTAGAATCACCATTCTCTTGGCCGTGTGAAATTACCAGAGACGAGGATGAGACCTTACCAGATTCCGAATTAAAATCAGAACTTGTGGGGCTGCTCTCCTATGTCCCACTACCTGACCTTCCCGTACCTAACGCTACGCGATTCAGCTCGTGGCTACGTTTACTACGCACCACTGCCCGTGTTCTCCAAGGCGCACGACTTTTTCGGCTTAAAGTGTCTCGACCAATAATTTTAAATTCTAAATTATTTTTAGATGGCAGCATCACATCGCCCTCCCAGCTACATGCAAGAGACATCATACAAGCCGAAAAGATGTTATTTCAAGGAGCTCAAAAGGATAGCTTCCCTGAGGAGCTGAGAGCCATACAAACTATGCAGCCCGTGCCCAGTAATAGCCGTATTGCGACACTCGCACCAGTACTCGACGGAGATGGCTTACTTCGCGTGGATACCCGTACCAAGTCTGCTCCAGGAGTAAGCGAGAACGCAAGATCACCAATCATCCTGGACGGTCGCAATTACAGCGTACGACTCTTAATATTACATCAGCATATTCAATCAGCACACTCATTCAATGAGCTCATCCTAAATGAATTAAGGCAGAAGTTTTGGATTCTAAGGGCAAGAAGCACTATCCGAAGCGTAGTAAATACTTGTCTGCAGTGCCGACGATGGAAAGGCAAAACAATCAACCCAAAAACCGGCGACTTACCATCACACCGGTTAGATCACCATAAAAGGCCCTTTACACATGTCGGCCTCGATTACTTCGGCCCGATAATCATAACTATACATCGACGCCACGAGAAACGGTACGTTGCTCTTTACACGTGCCTAGTGACGAGAGCAGTACATCTAGAAATGGTCACCTCGCTTTCATCTGATGCGGCCATTATGAGCCTGAGACGTTTCATAGCTCGCCGAGGATCTCCATCTACCATACATTCGGACAATGGTACCAACTTTGTCGGCGCCTCCCGTGAGCTACGAGCATTATACAACGACTCAGTAGAAGAATTTGCGACAACTCACAAAATCGAGTGGCACTTCATCCCACCAGCATCTCCGTTTATGGGCGGGGCCTGGGAGAGGCTGATACGTACTGTCAAAACCGCCCTGAGAGCCTGTCTAAACGGTAAAATATTAAAGGAAGAAACCTTAACAACACTCTTACTCGAAGCAGAAGCCATCGTTAATGCGAGACCGCTCACGTACGTCCCATCATCACCACACGCACCAGAAGCACTAACGCCATTCCATTTCATACTGGGTACTTCATCAACAGAACCATGGACATGCTCGTTAACAGATGCCGACTTGGTACGAAGATGTGACTGGAAAAGAGTGCTGCGTCTTGCCGACCATTTCTGGGCACGATGGCTGCGTGAATATTTACCCACGCTCCAACCAAGAGGATCGAACAAAGAGGCGTTAAAAGTATGTGAGGGTGATGTGGTGCTTATCGCGGACTCTACTCTCCCTCGTGGCCTCTGGCCCCTAGGGAGAATAGTAAAAGTTTACCCAGGCCAGGACGGAGTGGTCCGCGTAGCGGACGTCTTCACCAAAGGCGGTACGTTGCGCAGACCAGTCCGCAAACTAATTTTATTAGAGACTGAGCCTCGACCGGCCGCCACCAGTTGTTAGTGTTCCACTGGGGATCCGGTATATTGGCGACCGGCCGATGCAAACTCTTTAGACGTTATTGTACTTTTTTATATACATTTACTTTTAGAATATTCTTATTATTTGTAATTTTATATTTTTTTGACATATTGATTCATTGTTCCTTGCTCGCTGTTCAATACATATATTTCGCTACTAAATTTCGTGTCTACATCATTTCATCACCTCATCACAGTCCACCGCTCCGTAATAATAGTAGAGTAGCCAAAATGGTCGATATATCAAAAAAAAAATCTTTTTAAAATCTATGGCTAGTATTACCTTGGCACAAGTGAGCAAAGCATTGGCAGCATTTGCCGTTCTCTCACAGCAGTCTTCCAAATGAACTTGACCGCCGACTGTCTTAGAAAGTTTCCGTGCTTCTGCCACTAACTGAGACGCCTGCTCACACGCCGATGATGACAATTCGACAATCTGGCGACATATCAAATATGACAAACTCTCCAATAGGATTATCTCTAATCAAATATTTATTAAAGAAATTATAATACAATTTTAAATCTTTAATAAAATTATAACTTGTTAAAATTACTTATTTAAAAGGAACTGTTTATTAATTTTTTAATAATAATAAATAAATTGTAATTGTTTTATGATTTTACCTCCCAGTTCAGAACGCCATTTCAGCTGAGAAAAACGAGCAAGAAACAAGCTGTTGTTTTTTCTTTCAAATAAAAGTTAAGTTTATGACAAAAAAATATGAATAGATAAAATGATTATCACAAATTTTGCATTGATAATAAGATAGAAAATAAAAAACTACAAAGCTACAATCAAAAACATAATTCTTGAACAGGATTATATTACATTACCTGGTTTGACGTCTCTAGATTTGTTCGTGGGTTTACAACAAATATTAGTTTGTTTGAAGAGTTTGAGAATTTCGATGCATACTGGTTTATACCCTAAAAATAAGGTTATAATTAAACAAAATCCTCGCATAGAAATAAATGAATAATCCATATAAAGAACCGTCATCTTCTTACCTTCAAATCTTGTTGCTCGACAGCATCAGAAATTCCTCGCACAGCGTCACATAGTGCTAACAACTCCGCCTGCGCAGCTTGAGATTTCTCGTCACTGCCTGCATTTAGAGCCCTCGTCTCTGCAAACATATTTAACAGGTATAAAGTCCATAGACCCTTTTTTTCATGCTGAACATAAGCCTTCCCCATAAGGGAAGTTTTACCAGTTGCCATGCTTGGCAGACAGGTTGGCAACCGCAGTTGGCTTTTAGAGATGTTTTAAAAAGGACGCTGCTACTCATCTCTCACCAGAGACTATAATTATGCAGTTCTTAAAAAGGACGTATAGAGGTTTGTTCAGGGTCGGTAACATGCACTCGCACACAAAACATTCCTGTCGTTGCATGTACAGGCAGTCCTCGTCTTACGTCGTTTCAAGTTACGTCGACCAATGTTTTGACACTATTCCTCAAGCATACATCAATTGTTTCAATTTCCGGCATTTCCGGAATTCACTTGAGTTCATATATATTTATTTGAAGAACTTACTTTTGATTATAAAGTATGTATATCCTTTGTTATAAATGCAGTTTTTTTTTTTTTTTTATTTAGAGTCCATGTAGATCCTACCCTTGAGTTTTCCATGTAAACATATGAAAAAATATGTCTCGACTTACGTCGTTTCGATTTACGTCGCGTATTTCGAGAACTTAACATACCGTAAGTACAAGGACTGCCTGTACCTATCTATCACAAATAAATGATTTATTGACAAAGGTTACGGTAATCGATTATCAACAAACAAGAATACTTGTTTGTCATTTTTTTTAACAGTTTGCTCCAGAGAAAGAAACTAGGCCTTAGCTTTCAGAACTCTTAATTAACTAAGATGTCTCTATCTACAAACATTAACTATTACATTGCAAGTCATTTATGATGGCAAATATTATAGTAATAGAACAATAGGCACTAACCCTTGACCACCTGTGGCAATAATTCGTTGATGGTACTGATAGCTTGCTCCGCTGCAGTGTAGTCCACATTCTTCGCATCTAGAATAAATTTATCAGCAATATAGATTTATAAGTATTTGATGAAAGGCCCCTTAACGTTATCTCCTATAGCTTTGTTATTGACAATGTTGCTGTAGTTTTCAATAGTATTGTTTAATTTTGTGTTTCCATCACTTGTATTATACATTTGTGCAAACTTTAGTGGCTATTAAATTATTATTCAAATGAACAATTACGTATTATTTTAGCTGTCTGTTTGTTTTAAATAAATAAAGTTTTGAGAATGTTATTCAAAGAGCAAACGAATTCAAACCAACACTCTAAAAGCAGATCAATGTCGTGTTATAAAAAAAGTCGTCTAATCTTTATCAAGCAATTAATTTATCTACAAAACGATTTTGGAATTACCAGAGAAGGCAGTGACGAGAGCGGTGATGGCTGAGTTCAGCTGCGCCATCCGCTGGGTTAGTTGCAGCTGACGGATGACTGCTGCTTCACCTTTTACTGGCAACACGACTGGCTATAGGTAACAGCAGTAAAAATATATGTTTATATATGTAAGATCATAGTTTCCAAACGGGTATACCGATTTAAATATCACAATAACAGATATGGCACTCTCCCCGTTAGAGTAGGATTCCTACTATTACCAGGCTAATCAGATAGCTTGATAATTTTGAATGTTTATTTCAAGTTTGCTTTTTTCTCTCAGACATCTCTTATAATTTGGATAGAAAAAGAAGTGGCGATAAGCTGAATCTTTGCTCCATTATCATCACAAGAATAAACACTCCTCGTAGAGGGGGGAGGGGGAAGGGATTGTTAGTAATGTGGTCAAATAGCCCCATTACTAGCAATATACCCTGTCAAGTAGACCTCCATGTGGAAACCAGCTTGTCTAATTCTAGTTGAATTCATCAGGATGGGCTAAACTGACCTGCTTTCATCCTCATCAGTCACTGGTACCTCGCTAGTGTATACTGATAGCGTAGACGGGATTATCTTACCATTATCACCCATTAAAAAAAAATACTCCTCGTGGGTGAAAAAAAAAATCTCCAGAAACCCGCATTGTATTGTACAGGTGTATTACAAAGTATTTAAAAATTTTAATCAAATTAATAATTTACTTAAGAAAAAGTTAATGTTCGGAACAGTAAAAATTGTACAATAGTTTTATTTATCCAATAAAATATACAGTATATACCTTTTCTAATTCCTGTTGGGCAGCTTGCAGAGCATTCTTCATCTCTCGGGCAGTTCTCACATACTGTAATCTTTGCCCTTTATTTACTGCCGGTTGACAAGATCGCTTCAGTTTTTCCAGCGCATCTTGCAGCAGCTGGTGTTGATTCTTTATCTTAGATCCAATCGCTGCATACCGTTGATCTTGGGACAGTTGTTCAGTACCAGCTTCTAAATCGCGAGCTACGTCAGACAGCTTGTCTGCAGCAGACACTAATGCTGGCTGGCAACGCGACTCGTTAACACACGATGCTGTTAACTGTAGTAATAATAATATTTTTATTACAGATAATTACGATTTATTTATTTATTATTTATTTATTTATTTACAGGATTACCAACATAAGATACAGCTACAATAAAGCTAAGTTTTAATACAATACACTGGCAGCTCAGATCTCACCGTTCTTACATTTATAGGCAACCACAGCATGCCTTGTGTTTGACAAACATTAAAATATAATTAAATTATTAAATGAGTAAAGATATTAACAATATGAATAATAATATAATATAAATAATGGAAATTGTATTCAAATTATTATAAAATATAAATAAATATACTCGTAATGTAATGGGGAGGTATATCAACACTTTAATTTAGTCATGAATACAGAGTGACTATCGCAGTGAATATCAAGTTCAGGCTTGGTTTTTACAATATCGTTATACAGACGCGTTATGCGGACGATAGGTGATTCGCGACCCAAGTTTGTTCGGCAAGCTGCATTTTTAAATAGATTACAAGGATGCCGCGGCATCCTTACTTATTTATTACGATTATTAGTAACACTTGACTTAAACCATGTTAGTAAAAACGAAACAAATCATTTTATGGTCCCTATAATACACTTTCCTTCCCTTTGGCCCACAATGAGAGGATCGATAATAATGTAACGTTGCGTTGGATTTTTGATTTGTGTAGAACTATTTAAATTCAAGATTGGAACTCAATTTTAAATATGCTTAAAAATGCGAAATTTTAAAATCAACTATTGTGTACAGGGGGGAAAGGGATTGTTAGTAATGTAGACTGAGAATCTAACTGCTAGCAATATACCCAACCAGGTCGACCTCCTCGCGGTTCCCCCTGGAAACTATCATCGTTAATTCCTGATGAATTCATCATGATGGGCTAACTGGCCTGTTTTCATTCTCATCTATTACCCTTCACTGGTGCTCCGCCAGCGTATCCCATTAGCGTAGGCGGGATTACCATACCATTTTCACTCATAAAAAAAAAACTATTGTGTACAACTAGATTTATATAAAAGAAAATAAAGGATAAAATCCTTAAAGAACAAATACGACTTTTTCTTGAAAGGATCTTTACCAAACAATCTCTAAGTAATATTAATATCATTTAATCGAAGCTTCAAAAAACTACCAATAAGATATGTTAAAAAAAAATTTGTGACGGCTAATAAATAAACAGGTATTTTAAAAACCAACATAATAATTTCTAGAATGTTTGTCTATTTGTAGGTTTGTTCTGGCACAATGTTTTGGCTTCTAATTGCTGTGCCCGACAGGGTCTACAATGTACTTTATCCATTATTAACATCTTTCATAATAATATTGTAGAATGCAATAAATTGAATTGAAAAACTGTAGCATCAAATTAAATGCGGTTTCCACAGTTATGTTCTTCAAGGTTGAATTAAAAATTAAAAGTATACTTTACACCTTATCTGTAACCGATCTATTTTAATGATTTTTCTTGTGTTATTTTGATTTTTGTCAAAAGGACCTACTTCCAAAATCCACGAAACGAGGGAGGAAGCGACGGTCAAAAGCTAGATTTCAATAAAGATATTCATGTTACCTGAGCAATTGTTAGTAAGGCCTTCGCCGCATCCGCGGTGGCTGCTCCCTTGCTATCCAACATAGATCCTGGCTCGCCGCCTATCTCTTCAGCCAGTTGGTATACGTTTGCTAACATTTCCGATGTTAGTGTACACGCTGCTGCAGCATCGTCCGTGATCTATAAGGTATTAATAATATATAAATACATATTATTTAATATTAATAAACAAACATTCAGTTTGTTACTTTTTCACGCAAAAGCTAATGAACAGATTTAAATTAAATTTGATACACGATTAGGTTATATTCTAATTTAGCACATAGGATTTATGTATTAATTCATGCGGGTAAGCCGTAAGATAAATAGTAACTTATATGTAAGCAGTTACAAGAAAAAGAGATGCTCCTGACTTAATAACTTATTTACTTTAAGTGATTTTAAAATAACAGGTTCAGAATTTGCCTATATTCTTTGTGTATGTAAGTTACGTTATATCTTTACTAATATCAATCATTATTTTTGCAAGAGATTAAATTTCTTCTCATGTTTGTTCCGTATTATCTTTATTACGATTGAAGATTCTATTTTTCTTTTTATTAAATCATTTAAGAATTCATTAAATCCTTCTACTTACCTGATCCTCTATCACAGGAGAAACTTGTGGATTGAACACATTGTACAGATCATTTGATGCTTCTGCGAATTTCGCTCCAGCTCCGTTAAGATCCTGCAATACACTTGCATTTGCTTGATTAACAGTAATTTATTTATCAAAATCATTGTTTAGTTACTGAACAGTCTTCTGTAAGTACTACCCTTCTAATACTATGAATATATATACTAATACTCTTAAAGCTTAAAAAACTGATCAGTGTTAAGTTAAATTTTCAACTAAAGTCGCAGGAAACGGTTATTTATCTTTATTAGTTATTTATCTTTCGTATAGCATATTGGACATTTATCAGCATATAGATACCCATAATTTATTAAATTTGATGTCAGAAAATTTATATTTTTGGAGTTTCACAAAGCTTCGATACCAAAATTTATTATGATTTACATGCAAAAATATTCAATTGAGTATACTGACTTCGTTGTCAGAAGATGCACTAGCGCAGATTTCACGAGCAGCGTCCAAGAGATTCTTGAGGTCCGTCATAATTTTGTCACGTGTTTCTGCATCTTTATTTGCTGTTAATGCTTTAACATCTAAAAGTATTGTATTAATTTTACTAAATTGCAGATATTTAGGCAAAATTACAAATTATTACTAATATTCTTGCATAATATACTTTGCAAGTCTTCGTTTTGAGAAAAAAAAATTACACAATGATTTGCTGATATTGAGACAACAAAATTTGTAGATACGCATAAAATAAATACAATATGAAGTTAAGACGATCAAGATTACAGTTATGATAACCACAAACCTCTGATGACACTAGGTAGAAGCGTGTACATAGTTCCAACTGCCAGCTCGGCGGATGCATAATCTGGCTTATCGCGATCTATAATGGAAAGTGTTTAAAATATACTTAATGTTTATCGAATAATAAGTTTCTGAAATGATAATATAGTCTAGGTAAATTTTCATAATAAAAGTTCTGTAGACATAATTATAGTCAAATACTTGAAGTCAAAGGTACGTAATATTAACAAACATTTAAAAAGAATGACTGTTCAGTTTTATATAGTTCTTTTAAGAGATATGACTTTCTGATACTATGTACAATAGAATCAGATAATAAAACATGATGATATAAATAAATACTTAAACTACATAATATACGTAAACTACATAAAAATTTTATTTATTTGTCATAATTCATTTGATTAGCAAAATATTTTAGTAATATTATTAAAAGGATCATGTAGTCCGCCAGGAGTAAGAAAATATGTAGATTGCATGACGGAAAAAAGGAGAAAGGACAGGGAACGAACCAGATGGATTGACTCTATTAATTGCATTTGCAATTAATTACTATAATAATTACCGGTCGTAGCAAGTACTACAGCAGCTATAATGGCCTTCAGTTTTGCTATGCGTTTAGCAACGTCGTCTTCCGTTGCCAAGCTGATACCCTTATGATCAGTCACTAATGGCTGTGAACAAATGTTAAATTCTTCAGCAAGTATTTTAAGATAAGAAGTAATTTAAAATACAATATGATTCCAAAAAACAATATATTCTTGACAGATAGAAAAAACCCCGTTTTATTCAAAAAGTTAATCATTGAAATAAGTTCAGAATTTGTGAAGATATTCAAGTAACTTAGAAAAATACTATCGATTCAGAAAACTTCTCCTTTTTAAATTAAAATATTAAATTAGTATGTATTCAAGAAGAAGATCTATGTGCAGCAGCGAACAACTAACAGCAAAAATAATAATTATGACAGCTCATGTATATGGCGGTTATACTAAGAAACCATTAGAAATCATTATAAAAAGGTAAAAAAAAACTTATAATAGGTACCTAAATAGTAATGGCCTTACCTTACTCAGCTCTTTGTCAGCATTTCCCAAATATTTATTGGCGTTGCCTGTTGTGGTCATGAATTTCAATCGTTGTTGCTGTCTTAGAATCTTATCGCTTTCAGATCCATTCTCACTAGCTACAAGTATAGAATATTTAGGTAATAAGTAGTGTTTTTCCAATAATACATCTAGACCCTCGAAAAAGTAATAATAGTTTATCTAGCAAACATTTTTACACTTACAAAGAAGGTTCATACAGAATATAACATATATAGGAGATTAATGCGATGTTTTCCGATAGCCGAGGAGCTACAGCGTTAATTTTCAGCGGGATCCCTTCGGGTAGGACTTAATTATATTTAAATTAATATTATTCTTCACTTCAATATTTAAAACTATTTTAAAATAGATAATAAAGATATTTAAAATAATGATACTAAGTTCCGAATCTTTTATAACATTAAATATTGAGATAGAGAGATGAAAACTGAATTCAAACTGGCATTAAACAGAACAACTAATTCACCCATTTTCTCAAATAAATTTGGAAACACCAATCAAGAATATTACGCAAGCATTTATAAGTTAATACAAAGGTTAGAATTTGCTTCCAGAATGAATTCAGAGCGATGATGAATAGAAAGGTCACGATACTCAGCAAAGAAGAATTAGGAAAAAAGAAGACCTATCGCTTTGTCGGAACAATTTCAAAATTTTACACTTAAATTTATACCATGTATAAATAAAAGAAAAAGAAAGCAAAATTTCTCTTACCGTAAGCTTGCTTAAGTCTGTCCAATGCTTTATTTAAATCCGTGTTGCCTGCATGGAGCTCGTCAGTAAGATGTTGGTAGGTCGGCTGCTCTAGCAGCGGTTTGGAGTTAGTCATCAGGTGCTGAGCTGATGATGAGAGGGTCTCAGCTGCAGCAGTCAATGCACTCTGGCAGTGTGGCTCGTGAATGGTCGGTGATGTCAACTAAATAAAATGTTTAATTGATGATACATAACAGCCTCATAGTCATAAATAAAGTCTTGCAAACGTTTTTTCTTTTTATAAATTATGTAACGAAAATAAAGTAACAATCAAAAATCCAGTGATGATAGTTTTTATACCATAAGGTGGCAAACAAGCATACAGCTTATCTAATGGTAAACCATCACTGTAGCCTATGGATGCCTGGAATACTAGGAATGTCACGTGGTATCCAGTTCAGCAAACAATAGTTCTTCAATCGAGAAAAACAAGCAAGAATTTTGACTGATACAATTTAAAGAAAAAATCATACAATTTTTCTTCTTTTTCGAACCGTACATACTCGTATATAAAGTTTATAATCATACCATAGCACAGAGAAGCAGATCCCTAGCAGCATCCGCACATCGCACTCCCGCTTCATCCACAGCGAACGCCTGCTCCGACTTGGACTCGGCCAATTTATTCACTTGCATCAGAAGTAAAGACGTTTTATCGCCGACGTCTTTAGCAAGATCAGTGATCTAAAAATGTCAAATTAAATATTTTTTATGATACTTAAAATGGCAAACAAGTTAACGGTCCACCCGATGATATATAGACATAAATAGAACCATAAGCATTATAGAATACCCAAAAACGCCCATGGTGTACTTCATTCGTTGTCATTTTCGAGGAATATGATATTGTGTCTCCATACTCAGTAATTTCACTGCCAATCCGCCTGCCAAACGTAGCAACTACTGGCAAAACCTCCCAAAGGGGAAGCTTATGTTCAGCAGTGGACAGTTAAAGGCTGATATAATAATAATAATCGCTCCTTTTGAACTGAACATAGTCATGTGAGGACAGCAGTTGCACCGCAGAAACAAGAGTGGAACGGAGGTAGCCGTGAAGCAGTTGTGTTTGCATGGCCGTGTTTCGGTTTGAAGGATGGGATATGGCGTGAATTTACTGGGTACAGAGGAATAACACCTGAGTCCTCAGGAATGGCAACGCGTGGGGGTACAATGGGTGAAACAGTATACTCTGTTATGTTCATGGTACTGCTCATGTCTATAGGCGACGGTTACCACTTTCCATCAGGTGGGCCGTCAGCTTGTTTGTCATTCTACATTGTATAAAAAAAAGGTACTAAAGAAGGCGACTTTTGCATCATCATCATCATCATATTATATCATGTCGTCTACTGACCATAGGCCTCCCTGATAAGGGAAGTTTTATCACTAGTTACCATGCTTAGTAGGCGGGTTGATAACAGCGATTAAGTCTTGACATTTTAAGAAGGACACTGCTGGCCATCCCACGACCACTTGATGTGCAAATGCGACTCGTTGGCAAGCATGCATATGAGTTTACTGGGAACGGCTTATCCAAAGCCAGGGGACTACAGATATTTTAAACCGCGGGATGTCGTTAAGATAACACATAGGATCTACGAAATGATGGTATAAGGCAGGGAGAAGAAGAAAAGATCCCGATGGGTCGACGTTCAACGACTTAGCTGACCCCATATGCAAAAATAAGATAAGATCCCTCGACCATTAAATTCCCTTAGTCGCATCTTCATCGGGAAAGGAAGAGGTGAACCATTTTAGTCCAGGACCAGACTATTATATAATATCTGGTATTTAGTAGAAGATTTGTATAATTAATTCATATGGAAAGAGAAGTTACTTTTGCAAAACAATCACCAACCTTGTTGTCTTGATCATCGTTCGTGCCACGTGTAAATGTGAACACTAGTTTCCTAGATCTGTCTGAGTATACGTTCGAAATTTCTTGAACTTTCTGCAACATTTTAAACGAAAATTCGTTTATTAGATAAAGACGACCTCTGTAGCACAATAGCATGCATATTGCTTAGCGTGAATACATCCAAGATTTCATATTCGGTCCGACTAATTTGGGGGAATGAATTTTCTAAATTTAAAAATCTAAAATAAAATAATTTAAATTAGTGTCTAGGCTTGGAATTTTATCACATGTTACAAATGAAATTTCATATGCTACGCCAAATCATATATCAAATATAATGTTGCATTACAAAGAGTGCTACAAATCACTCTTTGTAATGCAACATTATATTTGATATATGATATATATATATATATATAAAGTAAAATAACTAACCTCGTGGTCAGCGATGCTTGTTAGAGAGCACACTTGGCTCGTGGCATCAAACAGTTTGGCTATATCATCCAAAAATGCTTTCTTCTGATCACCTTCCATACAGCTCGCTAACGCCTGGGCATCTGTATTTAATATTTAAGTGAAATTAAGTATTTGTTAAAAGTCTAAATTGTTACAGAAAAAAATATTGAGCTGTTTTTTAAAAAAAATCTCGTCACCAAATAGTGATAAAAATGTTTAACTTATCGTTTAGTAAATTGAGACTAGGTTTTATGAAATAAGTACAGAAATAAAAAGAAATGTATTACTGGATACAGTGTCTAGAGATAATTATATTAGTACTATCTCATACCTTTAGCTAATTCCGGAACAAGCTCGTTGATGGTGTTCATAGAGACCACAGCAGACGAATAGTCCACATTCTTAGGATCTGCAACAAAATGAAGGCCCACAGGTGAGAACAGTATTCCATGTGTGGCATCACATGAGCTTTATACAGTTTCAGGCGGTGTTTCGGTGTGAAATACCGTCTCACCCCATTGAGCATCCCCAACTTAGGTTTTTCCTCCAGATGACCGCAAAACTGGATTTACATGCCGTTGTTTTGGCAAAACATGCCTGTTATTACTAGCATCTGTATACCGTGTTTTTAGCAAATTATTATTCTTAACGAAGTCGATATTTTAAGTGGAATTACATTAATTTACAACATTTAATTATTTTGTATTCTACAAGGCAAATAAAGTATATTTATACATACCTGCTTGTGCCATTAAGACAAATGCGACGGCTGCATTCAATTTGCCCATCTTCTGAGCGGCAGCCTTCTCAAACTCATACAGCTCAGAGCCGTACTTATCAATCTTGGGACCTTGGTACTCCTATAAAACCACAAAGCAATGTACTCGTATACTACTACAGAGGGAGACTTTGTACAAAAGTCGATTGCTTAAGTACCTCTGTCCCATTCGTGTTTCAACCGTGAAGCAGTTGTGTTTGCATGGCTGTGTTTCGGTTTGAAGGGTGGGATATGGCGTGAATTTACTGGGTACAGAGGAATAACACCTGAGTCCTCAGGAATGGCAACGCATGGGGGTATCATGGGCGAAACAGTATACTCTGTTATGTCCATGGTACTGCTCATGTCTATAGGCGACGGTTACCACTTTCCATCAGGTGGGCCGTCAGCTTGTTTGCCATTTTAAGTTGTATAAAAAAAAAACTACTATTGTCGTGTGGTCCCAACATAAAATGGTTTATCCCTTCGATTCCCGTGGGTGTCCAAAAATGGGCAGCATCGTCCCGTAAAACATCACCAAACCCTAATAGTGAATGCCAACCCGCCTGCCAAGCGTATCAACTACTGGCAAAATTCCCTTATGGGAAAAGCCTACTCAGCAGTGGACAGTTAACGGAAAATTAGTATACTAAAGCCAGTTTGATCAGGCGGATTGGTATAGAGTATTATTTCGAATTCTTCTATTACAATAATAACATGAGAGGTAACTAAATAAACAAGGCACAATAGCGGGCTGCGAATCCGAATGATTTTGTTGTTCGAATAAATAGTAATTAGTAATTTTTTATTATTTAATTAATTGACTACTAAATTAGTAATATACTAATTTTCGTATTCGAATGATTTTACTAATTAGTAACTAATTAAACGAACGAAGTTTTTTCCCTGTATCTACTACCATCTAGTACGTTGTTAAGGTAGTAGTGAATATAGGATATCCACTTTCCTACTTATTAAAATTATCAATAATCTACTATATAAAAATCGGCAACAATCTTCATTAAAAAAAGAAATTTAGATAAGATAGATAGATAAACACTTTATTTGAGCCATTTATGACACACGTAAATTAACAAATGAGTTTATACAATCAGATTATTTACATTTTTCAAATATAAAACAAAAGATGAAGTATGGAGATATGTTTTCATCAGGTCTACTCGCCCATGTTCATACCGACTCAATGTACATCAACAACTACTAATTAATGAATTTAGTAATCAAATAATATTAATAGTCGGACTACATTAGTAATCGGATGACATTAGAAGTCGAATAATTCGAATGATTTGAAAATCACGTGTCACGTATCTTATGTGGTTACTTATTATAATACCTAATTTGTACCACGAGGGGGAAAGGGATTGTTAATAATGGAGACAGTGAATCCCATTGCTAGCAATATACCAAACCAGGTCGACCTCCTCGCGGTTCCCCCTGGAAACTATCATGGTTAATTCCTGATGAATTCATCATGATGGGCTAACTGGCCTGTTTTCATTCTCATCTATCACCCTTCACTGTTGCTCCGCCAGCGTATCCCGTTAGCGCAGGCGGGGTTACCATACCATTTTTACCCATCAAAAAAAAATTTGTACCACGTGGCATGCGAATAAATGTAAATAAATAATCCAAATGAGTTGCTTAGCCGAATAATTAATAGTCGCATTAGTGAAGTCGCTCGCTATGGCACAACAGTTTCCTTAGTCACGTCTCATGATATCCTAAGATGAAAAAGAAACGATATGTTTCTACTCCATCGATCTACCGATGGAAACTAAAGAAACGAAGAAGTTTTAAGAAATGTCAAGTCCAATTACCGTGTTAATTATGTCCTTCGCCTGGTCGACCGCTTGGCTGGCTTTGGAGGCGGTGGCCAGGAACGACGCTCGATGTAGATACGCAGTGGTCCTCTCATCCGCTATGAAACTTGAGCGCGATTTCTGTACAATATTATTTTTTATTGCAACATAGAACTACGTAAAATACCTTATTCCATATTTTCAGACATTTAAAGAATTAAATATCGATAAAATCGCTCCAATAGATTCTACAATCAATAAAATAAACAGAAGAGGCTTCTGCAGAAAAACATAAACTTGTTTAATGCCATTTACATTTTACAACTATAGTACATTATACTCGTAGGGTTCTTCGTTATACGGTTTTTTTTATGGTAAAAATGGAATAGCAACCCTACCTGCGCTAATGGAATACGCTAGCGGGGCACTAGTGAGGGATGGTAGATGAAAATGAAAACAGGGCAGTTAGCCCATCATAACGATTTGTACTGGAATTAACCACGATGGATTCCAGGGGGGCTGTGTGGAGGTCGATCTGGTTGAGTATATAATCACCCCCCCCCCCCCCCCCCTTTCATTACAGAGTTAGTGGGACATAACACAATTACATTAAATAACATTTTGAGACATTACGTTAAATTTTTTTTTATACAACTTAGAATGGCAAACAAGCTGACGGCCCACCTGATGGAAAGTGGTAACCGTCGCCTATAGACATGAGCAGTACCATGGACATAACAGAGTATACTGTTTCGCCTATGATACCCCCATGCGTTGCCATTCCTGAGGACTCAGGTGATATTCCTCTGTACCCAGTAAATTCACGCCATATCCCACCCTTCAAACCGAAACACAGCCATGCAAACACAGCTGCTTCACGGTTGAAACACAAATGGGACAGAGGTACCCAAGCATTCGACTTAGATACAAACTAAGCTTTTGCTGGACTGATGTATTTGGACATGTATATATAATATGGTATGTAGTTACACCAATCTAGCGACGATGGAAATACTTATATTAATCGCCGAGGGAATCTACAATGACAATCCACTACCTTCATCATGAAAATCACGATCACTGAGACGAGAGCAAACGTCTGATAGAGAAAAATATTTAATATCTCTCAATGCTTCATCTAGGTTGTACTACTGTGAACACGAGCTCACTGGGTTTTTTATGGGATTAAAACAGAATGATAGAATGTTAACCTCACCCGCATGATCGGTAAATGCTGGTAGGGTTTCAGTAAGAGATGATAAGATAGGTAAGGTAAAATCATGGCGAGTTCCCTAGAATTTTTCGAAAATGGTTTCCAAGGGAGAGCACGTACGTCACTAGTAATAACAAAGTATATTACTAACTATGGCTGTAAGTAACAATTTGCTCCAACTTGCTGGAGTATAAGCGAAATATAAAACCCAACAAAGTGATAATGTACAATACGCGGAGGGAACAAGTAGTAATAGATTCTACAACAGCCCCATCGCTTACAATATAGGCTTGACCTCTGCAAAGTTACCATCAAATCATCGTGGCCAATAGCTCGTGAACTCGTTACAATGGTAAAACCCGATATGACTTCATACCCACCTATCACCATTCACTGGTATCCTGCCAGCAGAAAGAGGCAGTGTTACCATACCTTTATCACCTTACAATAAAAATAAATACACTATATATACTATATACCAGAGAGAGACTTTGTACAAAAGTCGATTGCTTGGGTACCTCTGTCCCATTCGTGTTTCAACCGTGAAGCAGTTGTGTTTGCATGGCTGTATTTCGGTTTGAAGGGTGGGATATGACGTGAATTTACTGGGTACGGAGAAATAACATCTGAGTCCTTAGGAATGGCAACACATGGGGGTATCGTGGGCGAAACAGTATACTCTGTTATGTCCATGGTACTGCTTATGTCTATAAGCGACGGTTACCACTTTCCATCAGGTGGGCCGTCAGCTTGATCGCCATTCTAAGTTGTATAAAAAAAAACTTAAGAGTAAAAAGGGCTTACCTCAAGAAGCTTGCTTCGTCTCTGAGTTTTAGGATCAAGGCAGGAGTATAGCTGCGCTGATAGATTTGCGATATCTTTAGCAGCATCTTGAGCTTTGTCAGCATCCTGACAACAAACGTTTATCCTTGCAATTTTTAATTATCTAAAAGCAAAAACAAAATTAGTCGTAAAATGTATATACAAAATGTATCATTACATTTACGATATACCAGATCAGTCGGTAATTGTCCACTGCTGAACATAAGCCTCCCCCTTGGAAGGGGGGGGGGGGAGGTAGGGACCGGTTAAGGGTTAGGTTATTATCTGCCTTCCTCTATTGGAGGGTTTTGTCAGTAGTTACCACGCTTGACATACGGATTGGCAACCGCAGTTAGGCGTTAAAGATATTTTAAAAGGAGCGCTACCATCCCTCGAAAATTAGGTTACCTTAACCGCCTCTTACGACACCCACGGGAAAGGAAGGGGTGGCCTAATCTATGCCGGGACTACACGCCAATTACTAATATAATAATCATTCATAATTCCTTTATCAAAGATAACTACTTGCATATTGCACATGTAGTATTGTATGCATTTTTCGGGTTCTCCGTTCGTTCGTCTGTCTGTCAAGTTCCTTTTTCTTAAGAACCATATATACGGTAAGAAATTTTCATGCATATTATTTTATATTTATATAAATATATACTAGCTGTTGCCCACGGCTTTGCATGTGTGGCATCGTGTTTTAATTTAAATTTGAAATTTCAAATTTTCAATAGTCCTTCCTTGGCGAATGCTTACCTTATAGAATAAATCTATGTTCCAAACTGTAACTCTATAGACTTCGTAGTTTTGACTACGTGTTAATAGTTAGTCAGGATGAATGATTTTATATATATCGTATACTCTCTGCCTACCCCCGGCTCTGAGAGACAAACCGTGATAATATGCAACAAATTATTAGAAATCTTACAATGCTATTGCTCTCCATTGCTGCCGACAGCGCGTCCACTGCGTTGCATAGTTCTTGTAGTTGGTCTAGAAGCTTCTTCTTTTCCTCTTCGCTCGTTTGTTTTTCAGCCGTCTCTTTAACTCCTATTTAACATAAAAATGGCTTACTGCATAACAACTGTATGAATAGAATTTAAACATTCGAGCAACATCCAAAATTTAGGTGAATATTTGTTATTATACCTAATTGAAACATTTTAATTAGAGATAATAACAATGTACCTACGAGAGGAAGATTTTGTACAAAAGTCGTTTGCATGGACACCTCTGTCCCATTTGTGTTTTTACCGTGAAGCAGTTGTGTTTGCATGGCTGTGTTTCGATTTGAAGAGTGAAATATGGTAGTGAATTTACAGGGCACAGAGGCATAACACCTGAGTCCTCAGGAATGGCAACGCATGGGGTTATCATGGGCGAAATAGTATACTCTGTTATGTCCATGGTACTGCTCATGTCTATAGGCGACGGTTACCACTTTCCATCAGGTGGGCCGTCAGCTTGTTTGCCATTCTAAGTTGTATAAAAAAAATTTATCCTAATGTTTGTTACACGAAAATCAAGTAATATAAAAAAAAAATATAATTTTAGAAAATCTTCCGTTTTTATTCATATCCATACATAAATTTTTAAACTTATGACGACGCTATCTTTTGATATTGCAGTTTGGCGCAGTTAAAACAATAAATGTTGAGGTAATAATAAAATTAATGCACCAAACAAAAACTCCAGTATAAATAATGAATCGTTACCTTTTACAATCGCCGGCATTTCCGCTTTTACGGTTTCCAATATTTTCCGAGTTTCCGATATGTTCGAGTCGTTTGGATCTACAGGTAAATGGTATTTTAATTTAGAAAAATATTTGTAGTCTAGTGTTATTTAATTCATTATAATTGTTACTTCATTTTCTCGCACTGTATAACTATGTTAAAGTGAATGCTGTGAATACCTTTAATAGGCATGTGCATTAATATTGTATTGTATTTAATGTTTGTTATATGTGTTATAATGCAATATGCTGTTGGTGTTCCTTAAATAAATAAACAAGTAAAAAACAGCTGATTATATTGCAATACAAACTCTGCCTAGATACAAGTGCATTATTATAAAATACTTGCTGAAATTCATTTTACACTAGCAACCCGCCCCGGCTTCGCACGGGTTCTTTACAGGAAATGTAAAATAGCCTATGTTACTCCGAGGAGATATAGTTTTCGATAAAATTGTATGACTAGTTTTTGAGTTCAAACAAATAAAAAATAATTCATCGTTTCGTATATTAATTTACTTTGACACACTACCTAAACTTTCGGATACGACCGGCTCGATTTAATTTGCATTAGAAAAAATAATCTTCATTAAATGGTCAAGCTAAGGTTTAATACCGTATTTGTATTAATCCTTATAATTTCAAGTACATTATTTTAAATTAAAAATTAAAATTGATATAGTATGTTATTCTTAAGAGATAAACAAATGCCATCGCGGACTTTTCTGTAAAAGATACACAATTCCCACTTACATTATTTTGTTATATCTCAAAGTGTTTATATTAAAAGCTCCCAGATAGCGTATTTTTTTTTTGACACCTCCAACAAATATCGTTATATTTTAGCCATTATACGCAAAAACTTCGCCCTTCCCATAAAATTATAGTAATAAATAGGTGTAACTCACCAGCCAGATAGCTGACGATCTTCACCGAGCTGGAGTTGAGCCGATTCAGCCTCCTCACGAAGTCCAATGACATGTCCTTGCGCATGGGCACTTCTCCACTCTGTCCATGAAATTTTAAGTTTATTGGATATATTAGAAACATTATCATTAATAGCACAGTATTATAATTATAAATTATGCTTATTATAATAATAATTAGTGGCCGTGTGGTCCCGGCATAGACCCCACTCCTTCCTATCCCGTGGATGTCGTAAAAGCCGACTAAAGGAAGGCGAGGAATGGGCAGCGGCGCCTCTCTTAAAACATCTCTAAAGCCTGATTGCGGTTGCCAGGCATGGTAACAACTTGCAACCTCCCCCCCCCCCCCAAAAGGGGAGGCTTATGTTCAGCAGTGGACAAGCAGAGGCTAATATGATGATGATGATGTACGATCATGATTATGTTCTTCAAATAAAGTATATTAAGGTTTCCTCAGGGTCAGCAATGCGCACGTGACACTCCTAGTGTTGCAGGCGTCCATAGGCTACAGTGACCATTTACCATCAGACGAGCTGTGTGCTTGCTTGCCACCAGGTAAATACAGCTACGACATTGCATCCTGTCAGGTCGACCTCCACGTGGTTCCTGGAAACCATCGTGGTATAATTTTAATAAAATCCTCACAACTGACCTGCTTTCATCGTCACCTCTTACTGGTGCCTTGCCAGCGTATACCGATAAAAATAATGGCATCTAAAAGTTACAGTTAAGCAATATAACTTACAATAGGTTGTTGTGGATTGGAACTCAAATTGGTGACCATCATCTGCTGGACAGTAACTAGCTGAGTGCCGTGCGAAGCCACTGAACCTACGATAAATAAATATTTGAATATTTTGTTCTGCAAAAGAAAAACCGACTTCAATTGCAACAAACCCAGTTCTTTAAAAATTTAACTAAAAATCTAGAGAGGTAGGGCACAGTGGGAGACTCTCGCTCATAAATGCAACCGCCCGCCTGGGAAAGGACCTCCACCTTGAAGAAGTTCGCAGTTAAACATCGCTGTTTTAAAAGCGTCGTATTCCTGCGGGGAGTCAGGTTTCCAGTTCCATCTTGGGGAGGGATTGTGCCGATATTGGAGGGACCAGCGTGTTTTAATACTGTCTTCGTGCTGGGCAGGCGCGAAGTGCCGACACAGCGTTCAGGTAGACCCGGTGAAACGGTTGCTCGCTGGCCGCCCGCAGGTTGTTGGGCTCCCGAACACAGGGATTGCCTAATCTCCGCCCTGGGAGGCTGAACCGCCGCCTGTGCATAATCCCTGGTGTAGTAGTCGTGGCAAAGGAGAAAACTGGAGTGGACCTGGCTACTGCATCAGTGGGGGGACCGGGGGCCGGAAGAGTCTGCCGGAAGACTAGTCACAAACTGCAGTGACTCGGGAGACTGAGGTCGCACTTTCTTGTTCCTTTACTTTAGAATCAGAACAGATCACTAAAGGAGAACATTTTGGGCAAGAAATATCAACAAAGCATCTAAATTTAAAATATTCTACAGTTATATTCATCTGATGTTATGACTACCTGGTTGAAAATTGATAAGTTTCGATGGTCCAATAAACGTCTCTTCGACAATTTTCGATGGACCCTGACCGACGTGCTGAATGATGTTCCCTCTGGAAATATACATTTTAACAATTGTAAGTATTAATTCGACAACTTTACCATAAAATAACATCAAAAAATGTATATGTAGCAATTATTTTTCTCTATTATAACAATGATATATTTTAAAGATCTTTCCAGATAAACCAATGCTCTGTTTTAATCATTTACATCGCATTAAAAAAAAAACAATTACTTAGATACTATGATATTTTCTTCGCTGATGGCAGCATGTTCTTGAAGAGTGTTATTGTAGACACCAGCTAGTCGCTTTCCTATTATGTCTATATAGCCTTGCAGGATGTCGCGAATGCGGATCGCGTCGTTGGTCTTCACGCAATATTCTTTGTCACTAAAAATTGGATTAAAAAGTTTGTTTGATCACTTACATTTCTCTAGAGTGGTCTCTCCACTTCTTCAAAGTTTACATGTTCATGCAGAGACATAGACATGACTCTTCGGGATAGATAATCTTTAAAAGGATTATAACATTTATCTACAGATCACACTCATGTTTTTGCTTCCAGTTAGTTGTGCTTGCAGGGCTATTTTTTGGCTTAATAATACCTAAATTACAGGGTATAGAAGCATAACAACTTAGTGCCAAGGAATAACAACGCATGAGAGGTACTGTGAGTGTCACAGCGATCTGTAATGTCCATGATACTGTTTAAATCAATAAGTGGCGGTACCATTGAGCCATGGAAAGCAATTGATAATCAAAATTTATGGCATATGTATGAGAGATAGAGCATAAAATGAGAGCTTAGATGCTATAAAAGTGTTAAAAATCTTAACTTGTTAATAGACTACCAGAGGGAGACTTTGTACAAAAGTCGATTGCTTGGGTACCTCTGTCCCATTCGTGTTTCAACCGTAAAGCAGTTGTGTTTCGGTTTGAAGGGCGGGATATGGCATAAATTTACTGGGTACAGAAGAATAACACCTGAATCCTCAGGAGTGGCAACGCATGGGGGACATTATGGGCGAAACAGTATATGTATATATATATATATATACTACTGTATAATATATACAGTGTTATGTCCATGGTACTGCTCACGTCTATACGCAACGGTTACCACATTTCATCAGGTGGGCCGTCAGCTTGTTCGCCATTCTAAGTTGCATAAAAAAAAAGACTTAATGACAACTGCACCTAGTCGACACTTCGGTGTTTTTCGTGCTTGAAAATATGAGACTAACCTGTATTCACCAAAGTTGAGTGAGAAGGTCTTGGAGGTGCCGACCTGATACGACTTGACATGGGTCAGCGGCCACACCTGCAGGATCTCTTTGGTCACTTCGTCCAAGCGAAGGATCGCTTCCGCATTAATACCCAAGAGACGTGGTATTAATTTCTTCTTACCTTTGTGTTTCTCCTGCAAAAGATTTAAACACACATTTTTTATACCACTAAAGTGGCAAACGCATACTAATGAAGCTTGTAAATAGTGACGGTAACTGGAGGGGGACTGTTAGTAATAGAAACCACCAGTCTTATTTCTAGGAATATAACAGACTAACTTTCATGCAGTCATCCTTGGAAACCATTGGTGAATTTGCTACGATAGAGCAAGTAACCTAACTTCATGATTACCTATTATTTCTTATTGGCATTGAAAGCAGGATTACTATTCTATTTTCAATCTATAAAAAAAACAAGTCTAGAAACTTACATTTTTGACAAATACATCTAAAAGAAAACTGCGAAGCAGTAAATAAAAGTGGCCGTGTGGTCCTGGCATAGAATAGGCCACCCCTTCCTTTCCCATGGGTGTCATAAGAACCGACTAAGGGAGGGCGACTGATGGGCAGCAGCGTCCTTCTTAAATATCTTTAAGCAGAACCCCCAAGGGGGAGGCTTATGTTCAGCAGTGAACGATTAAATGCTGATATGGTGATATAAAAAGATACTACCAAATTTTATTACGGTACTGACTTTGACCAAGAAAAAAGTGACTCCATAAGTAGGCAAATCCCGTGCAGTCTTTGTGTACAGGTACTTGGCATCAATGGAGCTGACGCCCTGGTGCTTCCTGTGCTCCTTCAGGATCTTCTTCTCTATCCCCCACGAACTCGCGTACTGCTCCGGGAGAAACTCCTTCAGACTGAGAACATTTTCTAGACTAAGAAATATATTCAACGTACCTAGGTTTTCTTCAAACTTAATATTATTAACTAACTGTTTCGCGTGACTTTGCTTGCATGAATCAGTATATAATTATGTGTTAAGTTAGGATATAATTTACCCGTATACATTATTATAACTTTTCTCAATGATCGTGGTAGTTCTCGTCTCTTATAAAGTATATTAGTCCAATTGTAATTTTAAATAGGACACAAATTAACTACCTATTTCGTAACCTTAGATACTTACTTCTCAATTAGTCCGGCCCTGTGTTTTTCTTCATGAAAATCTCCGTAACATATCTGACACTGGATACCGGCGAATACGACCGCTGAAAAAAAAAAAACAAAAATGTATTTATTTATTTATTAAACACAAGAAATATGCAACATGTACCTCGCACTAGGCGAAGTCATCTTGCAGGAGTCCATAAGGGATTACCTGATATTGTATTTATTTAAATCTTTATTGCACCAAAACATAAAAATAAACAATGACATATAAACAATTCAAGTAAAATACAGTAGCATGGAGTACAGATCAAAATATACATATAAAGGTACAAAAGGCGGTGTTATCGCTAGGGCGATCTACAGACAATCTTTGGTTAAAGGAGAACATATAGAAGTGGGCAGGTGGCGCAAGAGTGAATTAATAATTTTTACGTATAAGGCACAAAAGCATCAAATACATATTGTTTACTAGGCTACTTATTATAACAAATAATATATACTACATATACATACACGGTAGATTTGACATATATTTTTTTTTATTCAACTTAGAATGGCAAACAAGCTGGCGGTCCACCTGATGGAAAGTTGTAACCGTCGCCTATAGACACGAGCAGTACCATGGACATAACAGAGTATACTGTTTCGCCCATGATACCCCCCACGCATTGCCATTCCTGAGGACTCAGATGTTATTCCTCTGTACCCAGTAAATTCACGCCATATCCCACCCTTCAAACCGAAACACAGCCATGCAAACACAACTGCTTCACGGTTGAAACACGAATGGGACAGAGGTACCCAAGCAATCGACTTTTGTACAAAGTCTCCCTCTGGTAAACTAAAGAGACTTAGATTTTTTTTACTTTTTTATTAGACTTTTATTAGAGATAAACTTAAGAGACTGTAATAAATCTACATGAATAAAGATATTTTGAATTGTGATATAAAAATATATACACTAGGAAATATGACGAATCTCGTAGAACGAAATAAAGAAATAAAATAAGTAAGGAAAAGAGTAACTACAGTTACTCAGTTACAGTACTGAAAGTCTATTGTACAAATGTACTTGTAGATCGGTTAACCAATTTTACAGAAACAAACATGATAGAAGGGCATCGTTAATAGAAAACGCAAATAATAACTTTATAGGGGGGAAAGGGATTGTTAGTAATGGAGACTAAAAATCCCATTGCTAGCAATATACCCAACCAGGTCGACCTCCTCGCGGTTCCCCCTGGAAACTATCATGGTTAATTCCTGATGAATTCATCATGATGGGCTAACTGGCCTGTTTTCATTCTCATCGATCACTCTTCACTGGTGCTCCGCCAGCGTATCCCATTAGCGCAGGCGGGGTTACCATTCCATTTTCATCCACCAAAAAAAAAAAATATATATATAACTTTATAATTTATTTATACAAAAATGAAAGGATATCTAGATGAGCCTATTCGTTACGAAGATGTAATTCATGGAAAACGCTGCACAAGCGGCAACCCTCACACAGCGCATCGTACCACCTGCCGTGAGGTCATTACAACGCAACGCGCCGGCGACTTTCCGAGGAAACTGCCATTGTTCGCGGCTTTTTTCAAGTTTGACCAATCGACACCTCATTGTTTTTGTAATTAGAATTAAATTATTAATTTTAATATTATTTTATAATTTTTTGATTTTTTATTTTTGTATCCTTCGACTGTAGTTTTTTTTTTTTTTATCTTACAAAATTCTTACGAAAATTCCGTCACATACATACATACATATCTGTCACGCCTGTCTCCCATTAGGGTAGACAAAAACGATGGAACGCCAAATGCTTCGACTCAAACAAACCTCTTTCGCTTCGTCCACATTCATCAATCTTTCCATACACGCTCGCCGGTTACGGGTACTTTTAATGTGGCCCTTTTTCAGCACGTCGCCTATTTGGTCGACATACGACCGTCTAGGGCGACTTTCATTGGAAAATAGGTACGTTTCTTATTATAATAACATGTATTATTAATTTCATAATTAAAACAACATAATTAGCAGTATAAAAATATATAATAATAAACTCTTAACAGCACTTATACTAAATAACTAAAAAAAATTTATGTTTATAAAAAAAATACAGTTTTATCTGTTAGTATTCCCGCCGCCCGTGTCCGTCTGGGCGTCCTTGTTGACTATTTGCTCGAGCTCGTAATCCTGTACCACTTGGAAGATCTTACTCTTCGCCTGGTTCAAATAATACGGTGAGAACTTCCTTAGCGTTGTACCAACTGTTATTAAGAACACGTCTATGGGGTCTGTCGGGTTCAATTCCGTATAAACAGTATCATTTTCTTTTGAGCCGGACCCCTCTTGATTACGCCTTCTCACGTTCAATTTAACCTCTTTCGTATCTGTAGAGTCGTATTCATTCTCGTCGACGAACACAGTCGACGGCATCTCCACTTCCGTCAACTGACCAGTTTCCTCGTCTAGGAAGTCGGGGTATTCCTCGCTGGTGTTGGAGGCGGGCTCCTTGAAGTAGGGCAGCATGAACGCTAGCTCCTCCTCGTACTTGTAATTGTATATGCGGTGGTGAGGGTTCCTCAGCCGCTCCTTCACCTTCCTCCGCATCATATCTCTGATGTTGATCCATCGCGATTTGCATACTTGTCCTGGAAAATATATAAATGAAATAAATAACCTTGGATACTTTACATAGAATGAAAGAAAGAAAGAAGAAAAACAGAAAGAAGGAAAGAAAGGAAAGGAAGGATAGGAAGGATAGGAAGGAAAGGAAAGAAAGAAAGCTAGTAGTTGCCACGTTTGGCAAGCGAATTGGCAACCGCAGTTAGGGTTTGGTTGTCTTTTAAGAGGGACGCTGCTGCCCATCCCTCGTCAATAATGGAGTCTAACTGCTTCATTAACAGCAATATACTCATCATATATCAGATCGACCTCCACGCGGTTCTCCCTGGAAACCATCATGGTTAGTTCTTAGTCAAATTCGTCACGGTGTACCAACTGCATTCATCCTCACCTATCATCCCTCACTAGTGGCTTACCAGCGTGTATTGATAGCGCAAGCGTCATCATTCCGTTTTCATTTATTAAAAAAAATTGTTGATAATGGTATGGTAACCCCGCCTGCACTATCGGTACACACTGGCGGGGCACCAGTGAGAGATAACAGATGCGGATGAAAGCAGGTCAGTTAGCCCATCCTGGCGAATTCAACTAGAATTGAACACGATGGTTTCCAGGGGGAACCACGCGGAGGTCGACCTGTTAGGATATATTGCTAGTTCTTTTTTTTTTATACAACTTAGAATGGCAAACAAGCTGACGGCCCACCTGATGGAAAGTGGTAACCGTCGCCTATATACATGAGCAGTACCATGGACATAACAGAGTACATATACTATTTCGCCCATGATACCCCCCATGAGTTGCTATTCCTGAGGACTCAGGTGTTATTCCTCCGTACCTAGTAAATTCACACCATATCCCAACCTTCAAAACCGAAACACAGCCATGCAAACACAACTGCTTCACGGTTGAAACACGAATAGGACAGAGGTACCTAAGCAATCGACTTTTGTACAAAGTCTCCCTCTGGTAAATGTAATGTAATGGGACTATTTGAACCCCCATTATTAACAATCCCTCCCCCCCCCCCCCCCCCCCCCGCCGGTTTATTTTTACCGCGCAATATAATTTGTAATCAAACTGAACTCACCAGGCCTATTCAGCGCATCGCCAATCTTCTGCCAAACGACCTCCCTAGCGTCGTAGTCCACGTACTTCGTGTGCCTCGAGTTGTATAGAATAGGGTTGTCCTTCACCAGCTCGAGTAGCTTCAAATCCAACGCTTTGTTGAATGGTAGAGGCATCGTGTCGTGCACAGCGCGGCCCCGTCTCGCGGCGACTGGAGGCCGGCGCGGCCCCGTCACGTGAACAACGCGCGCGGTACGGCAACGTCGCACTCGTCACAGATACGGATACGCGTCGAGGCGGATGGGCTACGTAGCCGAATTAGCTATTTATATGCATACTTTTTTTAATGCATGATAATGGAATGCTAACTCCGTCTGCGCTATCGGTATACGCTGGCGGGGTACCGGTGAAGGATGATAGATGAGAATGAAAAAACAAGTCAGTTAGCCCAGCGTGATGAATACATCTAGAATACATCTGAATTGCTAGCAATGGGACTGGTAGTCCGCATTTCTAACAATCATACATGCTTATGTAATAACATAGTTACTATGGTTATATATTACTATAGTTACTATATTGGTGACCCGCACGCATGCTAAAAGTAAAGAAGTTAAGAGGCCGCCTGTAAATCAGCGCTGTATGAGTACATCTCGCTGGAGCTGTATATATATAGCAACAGCTGAGGCGGCTTCAGCAACCAGCAAAATTAATTGTTTTTTTTCTTTTTATTAATGTTTTTTTTTAAATATTATTATTAATGGTAATAAAGATTATCTATCTATCAAATAAATAATTATAAATTGTACCTAATAAAAATATTATTAAAGTCATGTTCCAATAATAAAATGTGCGATTGAAAAATTTCCCATGAACATAGAGCTATGGCCGCGTCGACCGCATTAAAATGACGTAGTTTATCAGTCACAGAGGGGCGAGGCGTGGCCGCGAAGGAGCGGGCACGATGCGAGCACCGCCCGAGACGTCACGCGTACCAACTAGTGATGATATAATCGTTAAGTATCGATTTATTAATCGGTAATTCGAATGGGGCAGCTACTTTAATAATCGATACATAATCGGTTTTACGAAATAATAAATGAAGAGTAACCGATTTATAATTAATCAATTAAAGTGCTATTGTTACTATTTAAATAATGGATTAAAAAAAAATGATCGATCATATTGTTTTGAGGGAGGGAATAGATTATTATTATTGGAGACTAGCGGCCCCATTGCTAGCAATATATCCTATCAGATCGACCTCCACACGATTCCCCCTGGAAGTCATTGCGGTTTACTGTTGTGAAATTCGTCATGATGAGCTAACTGACCCGCTCTTATTCTTATTACTGATAGCGCAAACGGGATTACCGTTCCATCACACCTTAGAAATACATTATTTCGAAGTAGCAATAATCTATTTTACTAACAATAGTATCGCTAGATTATTCCTTATTCAGGACATAATATTACTACTACATGTCACTTAAATTATTATTTTTAATAATAACAATTACAATAGTAAGTAATTTATGTCAATTTAATTAACTATTTTTTAACGCGCCACCTACCTATTTATGCTTTAATTTTTTTTACCCAAAGGTTGTCAGGATTTGTACTACACTATACTTATTGAAAATTGTTCAACAAATCCTGTTATGTTGGTGCAATAAAGTGTTAAATAAATAAATATTTCGACGATGATGATAGTACTTCAAATCGATACTATAAACTTAATCAATTGTGACTATCGATAGGCCAATTGATTTTTTGTGTAAGTAAATTTTTTCTGAGTGAAGACGATTAAATAATCGATAATCGATTAGTACGAGTAGCAACACTATATGATAACCAGAGCTGGCGATTATGGCGCGGCGCCGGGCACGATGCGCGCCAGCGGATGGCGAGACTTATGAATGTGTGCGTTCACTAGTGACATTGATTCTACATATAACTACGAGAACTCATGAAATACTCGCACACAAATAATATAATTTCTCCCAAATTCGAAATAAAAAAAATGTAATTGTAATTTATATTTGTTGTTTTAAAATAATAGGTATTGTCCAAAGCTTGAGCAAAATAAAAAATACCAAATAATTTCAATATTTATTATTTTTCATCAAATACAATTCTACTAATAAAACAGAAAAAACAAATATAGTTGCAGTACATTTAAAAACTAACTCTTTGATCTTTTTGTTTTCTAATTTAATGTTAACACATTTGAAACACTTGCTTTGTGTCTTTAAAAAATACGGTTTTTGAGACAAAATATTAGCGTGTAATAATAATTATTTATTTATTAGATAAATGCCAAAAATATAAAAATACAGTACTTCCATCGCTTTTGATGATTTCAAAACTTCCGATTTGCAATATTCGAACCACGTTTCAATGCGTCCAAAAAAAATTATACACCAAAAATTAATAAAAAATATAATTTTTGATCAAACATGCAGCAAAAACAATACTGGAGAAAGTCATGACCCCTTTGATCATTTCTCATGTATTATTATTTTACTTTAAAATAATTGAAACGCCTTTTTTTCTGAATGTTTTGTGACCATTACAATAACTTCTGTAGTTATGTCATTTACGGAAGATACATTGTATCAGATGTAGAAACCTTAACATCGTTTGATTTCTGAACAATTTGCTGTAAATCGTGCTCTTGTACAACTGTAAATATTTTACTTTTAGCTAAATTTAAATGGTATGGAGAAAATGTTTTCAAAGTTGCACCGATACTAAGTAAAAACGCATCTACCGGATCTGAAGGATCAAAATCAGATGCCATTGTAGTCTCACTAAAATTCGACGTCGCTGGTTTCTCTTCTTGTTCATACGACCGTTTCTTTTTCTTTTTTGAGCCCTTGGAAACTTTATTTTTTGTCTTTTTAATGGAGTAATCTGAATCATCGCTCTCGTTTGAACAGTTCATTTGTTGGTCGCATTCCTCCGTGTTCCAATCTTTGTCGCTTTTGTCATCGGATTCAAACTCGGTGTTCTGAATCAATATATCTCGATAGAACGGCCTCATAAACGACAGCTGGCTCTCATACTTGTACAGTCTATTGTGAGGTCCAGGATTTTGCAAACTTTTTCTTATTATCCTTCTGTTCACGTCTCTTATATTTATCCATCTAACTTTACAATCAGCGGCTGCAAATAGATATTTTTTTATTAATCGAATTACTAAATAATACAAATTATGTATAATTATTACTGGACAATTTATTGTAATAATAATTATTCAGCGATATTAAAATAAAGAAAAATGGTACAACCAGATGGTATAATTTTAAATGTATGTATATTATGGTCTTATGTAAATAATTATATCGGTAATAATATTTCATATTAATAATTAATAGATATTAAAGTTAGAGAAGAGTAGATTAAGTTATGTGTCTAACTTTATAAATAGATAAATAAAAGTATAGTTACGTCAATATTCACGTAATAATCACATATAATAAAAATATAAGTACATCACCAATTGATACAGTAATATATATTAAAGATGGGCTAAAAGGAAATATCCAAAGCCATAAAACTATCTAAAAAAAAAAAAACATTTATTCATTACCATTCATTACCACGGCAGGCGAGGCAAGTTCCCGCAAACGCAAACCGTGGTACGGGCCACGTCGTTAATTGTAAATGTACGAAATCCACTCACCGGGTCGTTTCAACTCATCTCCGATTCTCTGCCACGCCACCTCCCTCGCGTTGAAGTCCATATATTTCGCATTGTTGAAATCGTACAATACCGGATTGTCTTTAACAAGTTGTATTAATTTAATGTCGACTTTCTCGTTGAACATTATCCAAGCTTCAGACGTCGTTGCAGCGACCTGCGCGGTTCGGAATGAGGCGTCGTATCCGTGTCGGCGGTCGGTCGGGTGGCGATCGATTCGGGCGCACTCGGGTCGGGTCGGGCCCGCGCCTCGGTACATCGAGGTGTATTCCTAGCTAGTTACATGTAGAGCAAAATATACTCTATTGTGTACTACAAAGATATTGAATTAAAGTGTACGATAGAGAGAGATATCGTATGAGAGGTCGTACACGCGACGCGTGGTCGCTAATATTGTGTGAGGAGTTCATTTCGAATGCAGAATAGCGCTTACAATGCAGAGGTTTTGTTTACTAACGCACCGTACAAAACTCGTTTGCGATAGATGTTTTGAAAGACCTTTTTATAGTTTAACCGCCTCTATATTGCAGGTAAACAAACACATTGTATTGTGTAATTTTTTTTTAAATGGATGATAATGGAATGGTAACCCCGCCCGCGCTATCGGTATACACCGGCGGGGCACCAGTGAAGGATGATAGATGAGGATGAAGCAGATCTGTTAGTCCATCGTGACGAATTCAAAAATAATTGTTCACGATGGTATCCAGGGAGAACCACGTGGAGTTCGACCTGATAGGGTGTATTGCTAGCAATGGGTTCATTAGACTACTAACAATCCCTTTCCCCCCTGTATTGTGTGATTCATTCACACAATACAATGTGCTTACCTGCATTATAGTGCCTTTTTTTTCTTTTTGTTTAATGGGTGATAATGATTGCCAAGAAGCCCTTTTCCCCCCTGAATGAAGTGCCGGAAACGAATCTATTTCAGACTAATCTAGGAAACGAACTAATAAAATATATATTAAACATTTCTCGCTATGTTAGCGAGTAGGCTGGATTCTGTCTACATGAATCATTGTATTTTGTTGCATGTCGAATGAACCCAACTATAATTATATATGTAATAATTTGTAATGATAAAGATAAATTTATTTGCAAACATGTGTACGTAAGTGCAAAGACATACTTGTTCATTGTAGGATTTGTATAGTTCTAACATGTTTTGCTAACATTGGCGTGCAAAATGTTCTTTCAAGGACATTGGCACTTTCAAGTGCCTTACAACATAAATCCAGCCATTTCAAAATATACTAGTAGTTTTGTAAAAATTAGAGAGAACAATATTAACAAAAATCATAAAATTAGGTAAAATATAAAAGTGTGTCCTGGTAACCTTAATAAGAAATTATTTATTTATTATTATTTCCTCTGTTACTAACATAACAAAATTGTAACTGAACGATGTCTGTATATAGCGGATTTAAAAAAAAAACAAAAAAACATAAGAGATCTTAATAAGAACTGTAGAAGCTAAACAGCATTCTAAAAGTAATAGGCGACAAATATAACTCGCCTATAATTGGGCATTTCATTCAGATGCTGATCTAGTCGGCTGGCAAACATCTGAGTGAACTGCTTTAATTAAATTAATTTGCTTTACTTTTTTACTAACATAGTTTGTAAGAAAACTGTTACTAACAAAATGGACCAAATTACAGTCTGAGTAATAAAGTATATTATTATTAAATCAATATTTTTTAGAAATTTCGACTGTCTACAATATGTTTGTCCGGTAACAACAACAAAAACTACTGCACCAAACTGAATTCACTGTCTTAATCCTGAAGATCTAACTTAAAAACTGGCGTATAATTTATTTTGACGCCATCTAGAAGAAATCTATTTCATTGTCTTTCCCAATTCTGAACATACGAAGTAGCGGGCAGAAAGCTAGTCAATAATACGCCACTGACCTTTGTCCTCAGTAACGGGGTGCTTCCCGTTGAGGATGGCGTCCCTGGCCTGCAGGTACAGCAGGTTAAGCTGCACCGGGTCGCGCGCGTCCACGTTACGATCGGAGTAGAAGAGCCGTCTCTTCAGCAGCAGCCTCTGCCGCGGCCCGACGCCCTGCTCGCGAAGGGTCTTGTGCTTGTCCAGCCATTGCACTGGACATAATTGGAATTGTAACTTGTTTATAGTACCTACTTAGAATGGCAAGGAAAGTTACGGACCACCTGATACAAAATGGCAACAGTCGCCTAAAGACGTGAACGACACCATCTGGCAGAATGGACATCACAATCGACACTGCAGCTCGTGGTACCCCTCATGCGTTCCTGACGCCGATGATGTTACGCCTCCGTACTTTGTAAGCCTTGTGATCCTGGCATAGTATGAGCCACTTCTTCCTTTTCCATAGATGCTACAGCTTGACGATTAAGTTCCCGTACTTGCCTCTTACAAGAGGCGAGTACGGGAACTTAATCGTCAAGCGATGGGAGGCAATGTCCCTCTGAAAGCATCACCAAAGCCTAACTGCGGTTGCCAACCCGCCTCCCAAGCGTAGCAACTACTGGCAAAATAGGGGAAGGCCTATATTCAGTGGACAGTTAACGGCTGATATGAAAATGATGATGAATTATTTTCAATGGCTCTCACCGTTGTCATCCGTTTTGAGTTTCTTGCTCAGTTGTTCCAGCATCACATCCTTCTCCTTCTCCTGTTTGACCCTTCTGAGGGTGAGGGTGCCTGTTGCTGGCATTGGCTTCTCCTCTTCTTCTACGTCGTCGTCGGGGCACTACAGAAAAATAATAGAAAATGATCAAACCTTTAACAAATCTAGTATCTGTTCATTTTCTTCATCACTACATTTCCTTAAATTGCTTCATCACTTTACTTTCTACACTAGATTATCCTGTACTTGTCGTGATGCAGCAATATTCTGAGGTATGACAGCTAGCACAACAAAGACATACAGGTACACAAATACCCGCTCAGAGGGTACAGATTGTTAGTAATGGGAATTAGTTGACCTTTTTCTAACAATATACCCTATCAGGTAAACCTCCATGAGGACCACCCTGGAAACTATCGCGGTTAATTCCTGGTGAATTTATTACAATGAACCTACTAACCTTCATCCTCATCTATCATTTCTCACTACCCGCCAGCAGAAGCTAATAGCAGAAATGTAAATAATATTCCCACCCACAAAGAGAGAAACAGGAAGACGCTGTATAATGGGTATGTTTTACAAATGAATGAACAGTACTCGTACAAGGGTGAGTTGCTATTTTCCATTTCTCTCAGTAGTATTAAGATAATGGCTACCAATTTTTAACCACGACCTTTTCCCAAACACAGTGCACAAAATATAAAGTAACCAATAAAGTGTAGATACCGACCAGTCCATACTCGTCGTGATTGGTGATGCCGATTCTGGCGCAGATATGCATCATCAGCTGCTCCACAGGCTTCGACTCGTCGATCAGTAAAGTCTTCACAGAACCTACACAGGACAAATAAGAATCTTATAAAGGTAATACTAGATCAGCATTTATGATGGATGAAACACGATAAGGAATTCGTCTTCTATCGTCTCCTATAGACAGACATGAACTACGCCATAAATTACAGAAATAACAAGCGACATCGATTGTAGGGATCAGTTTTTAGGACTAATCAATAAGCCTCTGTACTTTGCAATTTCAAACTTTATCTTAGCCTTTAAACGGAAACTTAACCATCCAAGCGCCTACCTACCTGATCGCAGAAATACCAATGTGCCAGAAATATCCATGAAGATGACTTTTGTACAAAATTTCTACCCTTACATACTACAACATGTAAGAAGAAGTTTATCAATCTCATTACTATTTCCAAGTGACTTTAAAAAATCGGTTCGAAGTACCCTTCTAAGTGGAAATGCGTTTTGATGTCAAAGTACGCAACTCACCATCTAGCATCCTAACTTTTAGATTTCTCCTCTTGCAGAGATAATGTAAAGTGTCGCCATCTCTCAGCATATAGTACTCAAGATTCCGGTGGTCCTCCAGCCAGATGCCGGAGAGATCGTCGTCCGCCGATGTAAGGAACAGCCCGTACTCTATAACAAAGTCGGTGGACCTGAGCATTACTATTATTACTTCTATATCTCCGAAGACGTAGAGTTAACACAATCTGGAACTCTTCAAAATAATGATTAATTCATTGTGGATTCATTCCAGAGTCGATTTACAAATTTCAATCAGAGAAATCAGTAGTTTAATTGGTCACACAACTGTATTATGTAAGTAAACGAGAAGAGCGCATTCCCAAACAGCGGGAATTCATCATCATATCAGCCTTTTATTGTCCACTGCTGAACATAAGCCTCCCCCTTGGGAAGTTCTGCCAGTAGTTGGTATGCTTAGCATTGTTCAGTTGCGGGTTGGCAACCCCAGTTAGACTTTAGAAATGTTTTAAGAGGGACGCTGCTGCCCATTACTCGCCCTCGCTTAGTCACCTCTTACGACACCCACGGGAAAAATTCGGGTAATCGCGTTTCGTCAAATCTTACGGTCGCTTATCATAAGGAGAGAGTCAAGATCAATCGCAAACAGAATGAAATAATACTTTAAGAGACATCAGATTGATATATTTCACTGAACTAGGTGTTATCTTACGGAAATCCATATCACTGACTATTTGGTTAGAATTATTTTGTTTAATTCCGCTACCATTAGTACGTGTGTGGCTGCCAACACTCGAAGATTGGCCACCACTATTACTAGCAGAAGTTCCACAACCTTCCATATTAGCCATCAATATTCGGCTGCGAACTAATTTAAATACGTCGTCCGCAGTTTGGATACCGAACAGTGATCTAATAATTTGCCTGAAGATGCCTCGTTTAGAGGTGAAATACGTTTCGCAAAACGTACGCAAACAAAATGGCATTCGAAGATTCAGGGCTAATATGGAACATTGTGGAACTTCTGGTAGTAATAGTGGTGGTTACTGTTAGAGTAGATAACCTCAAAATAGTTACTCCTGGAGTGTTGGCAGTCACACACACACATACTAATGGTAACGGAATTAAGCAAAATTGTTCAAATAAAATCAGATTGATGTTGTATACAGGGATCACCCAGTGATGATGAGAGCAAATGGTCTAATAGTGTTTTATCATCATCATCACTATGGCAGCTGAACCATCGGTAAGAATCGAGCTCAACACCTCATACTAGAGCGTTCACATCACTCGTACAATACCTTTGCCGTCATCTCCAGTGAGGATCTTCTCCTTGACGGTGGCGAGCGCTGTTGACACTTTAGACTTGGACTCGAACTTGACCGTCCGGGTCACGGCGCCCTCGTCCTGGACCACTTTCAGCGACAGTGGCGCCATCTCTTGTCTTAGAGTCCAGTCTTTAAATAAATAATTTTATCTTAGAAATTATATTGGTATAGTTTTGCGAACATAATTAATAAATAAACACGATAAATTATTATGAAACTATTATATTATATTACAGTTTACATTATGGGGTTCTTCAAAAAGGGTATATTAATGTTTCTTCAGGGTCGGCAACGCGCACGTGACGCCGCTAGCGTTGCAGGCATCCATAGGCTACAGTGACCGTTTACCATCAGACGGGCTGTATGTTTGTTGCCACCTTTGTAGTATAAAAAAAGTTATTATTCATTCAAATCTATTCAATAGTTGGGTATATTGCTAGCAATGGGATTCTCAGTCTCCATTACTAACAATCCCTTTCCCCCCAACCAATTAAATAGTACTCGTTTTTTAAAAAAAAACCTATCACCGACCGTCAGAACGTAATTTGCGCAATAAAGAAGTTATTATTATTATGATGTACTCTATAAATAAATATTAATATAGGTGGCTGTGAGGAGCGCTCGCTGCGTTATCAGTTTATCCTGTATACCAATTGTAAAGTACTATAAGTATAATAATTATAACGTTCATTGGAATGATCGTAACATATTTTTTTTTTTATACAACTTAGAATGGCAAACATCGTAAATGTAATGATACATTTTGTATATACCTTTTATGACTAATTTTGTTTTTGCTTTTAGATAATTAAAAATTGCAAGGATAAACGTTTGTTGTCAGGATGCTGACAAAGCTCAAGATGCTGCTAAAGATATCGCAAATCTATCAGCACAGCTATACTCTTGCCTGGATCCGAAAACTCAGAGACGAAGCAAGCTTCTTGAGGTAAGCCCTTTTTACTCTTAAGTTTATTTTTTTTATGCAACTTAGAATGGCAAACAAGCTGACGGCCCACCTGATGGAAAGTGGTAACCGTCGCCTATAGACATGAGCAGTACCATGGACATAACAGAGTATACTGTTTCGCCCATGATACAAAATATTGTGATACAAGGACAAGCCATATTGGTTAACCATATTCTTTAAAATCGATTGACCAACATTTAGAAGCTCATATATACTGTTGTTTTATATGTCGTTGGTTGTATATGTAAGTACAAATTACATATAATAATAATTAGGAAAATATAACTTGTTGAATCAACAAAACCAGCACCAGTTACAGGTTGCATATAGCATTGATTTGGCAAGTAAAACCGCAGCATACAGCCAGTATGGAAGATGCGGAAATCCTTTGAAAATGCATTTCATCAATTTACTTAAATGTACGTATAAGTTTCTCGAAACAATATTGAAATTCGACATCAATTAACATTGTTTCAACATTATAGTCTAAGCTTTAGGTACATACATACTAAAGTTAAGTTTTATGTTAACGTTTGAACATTTCAATGAATTATAAAAAAATAAATATTAAGAATAATAATAATAATAATATATTTTATTGACACCAACTTAAGTAGTTACAGTTATTCTTCTTATAAACTATTACATTTTTTTAAATACGCATCATACATATGATTTACCAGTAGCATCTATACTAGGCCGAGCCTGTATCATAGATACTGCCTTCTTCCAGCGACAAATAGGTAAAAATTAAAATGTTGCAATTGCGTGGGTAGATTTACATTTGAACTTGTACAAAATATAAATGAATTGCATTGTCATTAATCCATTCGCAGCTCGTAAACAGGTTTACAAGTGACCCAGCGCGACCACAATAACCACGAACACAAACAATATAATAACGTTATTTAACAAACTAATATAGTTTTTAATTTTATCTTTGTATATCTTAATGTACGGTTAATCTTAAATTTGTTTATAATAATAGTATATCGTAGATGTATATAAATATATATACATATTGCTTGTTTAAGGTGTATATTTTTAATGTTACATTTGCATACTATTTAATAAAGAGATGTATATAAAATGGTATGTATTATGTTTATGTGTGTGTATGTGTATGGGTGTGTGTGATGTTTGTGTATGTGTGCGGTTGCATGTGTATGTACTCATGTCATTTTACTGCTACAAGAAGATTTTCAATGTCATTGTAATTTAATGATTTTAGCCATACTGTTAGAATTTCTTTACATTTGAAGTAATTGAGGTGATTTATATCGATAATTTTATTAATTTTATTATAAAGCATAGGACCGAGGTATATTTGAAATTTATTAATAAAATAACTTTTGAAGGGAATTCTTTGGCAAACATCTTTTCTACGAAGTTTCATCAAATCCATGCTAAATGGAGTTTTTAGGTGTTGGGACAACACTGTATCTCTTACAAACATTTGTCTAATGGTTAGTACATCAGTATCTGCATATAATTCTATAGTGGGATATCGAAAAGGTTTGAAGGTCATTACTTTTAGTATTGCTCTCTGTGCTCGCTCTATTTTTAATAAATGGATTTTTCGTGCTCCACCCCAAGTAGTTATACAGTAACTTAATATTGACTGAACCAATGCAAAATAAACTATTTTAATTAATTTAGAATCTGCTATATGTCGTAATGTTTTAAAAATATAAATAAGTCGTCGTGTTCGTGATGATAGCAGGTCAATATGAGGTTTCCATGTTAGGGTTTTGTCGAGTATTGTATTAAACATTATAGATTAACTAGTTGTTTCCCATTGCTTTGCCAGCATGAATCGGTAAAGTCTAAGAGTAAAGTATAATAAATTTATTCAAATCCGCTTCGCCGTATAATCCTTAATTGAATAATGTTACCAGTTGTATTTAAAGTTGAAATGTTCAATAGTCCTTTCTTGGCGAATGGTTAACTTATAGAATAAATCTATGTTTCAAACTTTAACTCTGTGGACTTAGTAGTTTTGACTAAGTGTTAATAGTTAGTCTGGACAAATGATTTTATATATATTATTGCGGGTTGTATTGAGACGACGAGGGTTGTGAAAATGTATATTTCCAATAGCTCGGCTATAACTGACAAGGTTAAGAAATAAAAATAGTAAATATAAAATTTGGAAATTAATACAAAAGTGGTGGGGTGATACATTGACCTAGTACGTGCAATGTGGGGGGAAAGGGATTGTTAGCAATGGAGTTTGACAGCCCCATTGCTAGCAATATGCCTTATTAGGTCGACCTCCACATAGTTCCCCCTGGAAACCATCGTGAACAATTCTTGTTGAATTCGTCACGATGGGCTACCTGATCTGCTTCATCCTCACCTATCATACCCATCATACCGATAGCGCGTGTGGGGTTACCATTCCATTATCATTCATTAAAAAAAAAGTATGTGCAATGCTAAATTAACAATTATTAAATTTCTTAGTAAAACAACAGTTTTATTGCACTGCACGCATCAACATAGATATGGCTACATAAATAACAAAGGCACGAACATTATTTGCGAACATTTACATTTATATTATTCATTATTTATTTATAATTTGTTTAATATAAGCATTGTATTTCACTGTAATGAATTGTGAAGAGAAATAAATCTGTTTATTATTATTATTATTATTATAATGCATACGAATGCATTATGTGTACATGAGTACATAATACGTAAATGTTACAATATTCTTATGAAGAGTAAATACACGAACCCTGTTTGGATGTCGCAAAATTATATTAATAAGTATCTAATATACATGCATTAATGTCAACTTAGATTTTTTTTTCATGGGTAAAAATGGTATGGTAACCCCGCCTGCGCTAACGGGATACGCTGGCGGAGCACCAGTGAAGGGTGATAGATGAGAATGAAAACAGGCCAGTTAGCCCATCATGATGAATTCATCGGGAATTAACCATGACAGTTTCCAAGGAAAACCGCGAGGAGGTCAACCTGGTTGGGTATATTCCTAGCAATGGGATTCTCAGTCTCCATTACTAACAAACCCTTTCCCCCTCAATTTAGATGTTAGATTATATACAATCACTTTTACAAACAATTGCTCGTTTTTAAATAGATTTATCATGCAATATTTTCGATTTACATTAAATAAATAAACAACAATTTAAAATAACATATTAATTATATAAAAATGAAATAAATTCAATCTGATTATTTATATATACAATATTTCTGTTAAATCTGATTATAATATTAGTAGAAAGTAGAATTAACAATTGACTAATAGATTTAAGAATTGAAATTCACAGTAGAAACCACGCCTTTAATACGTATTTGTGATATCATTCTGCGAGACCTTTGTATAACTTGATAACGGGAATTTAATGAACCCATTTGTATATTGAAAAATCTATTCTATTTTAAATACCTACCTGCCTATATATCTCGATATAATCTCTTACAAATTAATTAAATTACATTTTTACTTACAAATTAACTTGTACGATGACAGTAATCACGCGCGAGCACACACTTCATTCGTAGGTACAAATAAATTGTATTGCTTTTTATCCTTTTATCCCGAAATAAACATTGTTTCATTGCGGTTGAGCAGCGCGTTTGTTTTCCTGCGACAGGCGCGGTTGAGGTAAACAAATAAATATCCCAAACTGATATGATACGTTATGCTATGTTTATTACAGAAATCCTGCATAGGACGTGTTCTATATGTCCTATACACACTCGAGAGCAATGAATCCGGGTCACTTATAAAAACCTATAAATCACGGAAAATAAGAATGCTAGCTTAATGAAATAAATTGTGTTAAGTAAACAATTAAATACTCCTTAAATAAAGGTATTAAAACTTCTTAGTTACTGCAAGGTTATGTTATAAAAAAATCAAGTTTAAAAAAGGGAGACTTTCGATGATGGATCTACAAAATTACTGCATTTGATTTTGCTTTTTGTTTTTTGTTTCTAATCTGTCATTTAAGTGGGTATATAAACCATATTGATAGTGTTCAATATTTATTATTCAACCTGTCGCTTACAACTGAAGAATGCACCAGAACCCTCACAATGCTGGAAACCGGCCGGAGTCAGCGCGATACAGCCAGGACTGTCGGTGTGTCGCTGTCAACAGGACAAAGAGTTCTCCGACGTTACGAGGAAACTGGCTCTAACCTGCGTAGACCAGATACAGGCAGAACTAGGTGTACCACAGCACGAGAAGGTCGTGCTGTGTATTATTCTAGTCAGATATTAACTTTTGCTTTCAACATTGTACATATCGTCATAGTCGTAGAATACTGACGGATCTGACAATGATTACATATATAGATCCATCAGTATTCTACGACTGTGACGAAATAGATTTTGAAAGTAAATTTTTTTATCATTATCTTTTTGTCAACTATTATCTGTCCACTGCTGAACATTGGGTTCCCACTATGGGAGGGTTTTGCCAGTAGTTCCCACGATTGGCAAACGGGTTGGCAATTGCAGTTAGGTTTTGGGTGATATTTTAAGAGGAACTTTGTACATAGTTGTCATGCTTGGCAGGCGGATTTGCAACCGCATTTAGGCTTTAGAGATGTTTTAAGAGGGATGCTGTCCATCCCTCGCCCTCCCTTAGTCGCCTCTTACGACACCCACGGGAAAGGAAGGGGAGGCCCATTCTATGCCGGGACATACACGTTGAACGGCGACGTCACTTCGATTACTCACTTGTAAACCAATTTCAAAAAATGTTTTTAGCGATCGACAGGTGTTACTCCTTTGTCGTCCCAAAAATTAATTTATTCATCCATCGAACATCGAAGAAACTTATGGCCTGTTCTGTTCCGGGATCACATGGCTATATTTATGGTTAATAGTTAGGAAAGGGTTTATTTTTTTAATGTTTTAATGGGTGATAATAAAATGGTTATTCTACCTGCGCTATCGGTATACGTTAGCGAGGCACCAACGTGTGATGATAGGTGAAGATGAAAGCAGATTCGTGGACTCATCATGACGTATTTAACAAGAAATGGTAAAAGATGGTTTCCAGGAGGAATCGTGTAGAGATCGACCTGATAGATCTGACCTGAAGTTTTTCTAGTAGTTGCCACGCTTGGCAGGCGGATTGGCAACCGCAGTTAGGCTTTAGAGATGTATTAAGAGGTACGCTGCTGCCCATCCCTCGCCCTCCCTTAGTTAGCTCTTACGACACTCACGGGGTAGGAAGGGGTGGCCTATTCTATGCCGGGACCACATGGCCATATACATTTTATTTTCACAGAAACTGAGCATACCGGAAATAAGCCGCTAGTATAAATGTAGGGGGGAGGGATTGTTAGTAAAGGGAAGGTTAGTCCCCATTGCTATCAATATACCCTATCAGGTCGGCCTCCACGCGGTTTCCCCTTTGAAACCATCGTGACTAATTTATCCTTGAATTCGTCACGATGGGTTAACTGGCCTACCTTTTTATCCTCACCTATCATCTCTTACTGGTGCCCCGCTAGTTTTTACGTATATACTAGTGCAGGCGGGGTTACCATTCCATTATCATCCATTAAAAAAAAATGTAAAATATTAAAAAAAATTTATACTAACCATTTTCCTTTTCTTTGCTACATAAAAATAATAATAACTTTATTTACTTAAACAAAATTAGCCTGTAGTACAATATAGCTATGACCCCACACTAGGCAAAGCCTGTCTCGTGGAAGTCAAAGCTAGAGATTTAACAGTTACAGTGTACATATTTACTGGGTTCAAGGTCGAATCAATAAAAGAACAAGGTGAGTTTAAAAAAATATTTATTAGATTATAACTTAAAGTACGTATACAAACGATTAATATGCCAATATAAATTATTATTAAATAATGTAAAAAAAAAAAAAAAAACAAATCACACGTTACTGTGAGTTCACAAAATTATATAGTAACTAGTTATTTACATAAAATTATTCACGTAAAACACATTAAAAATACATTATTTGTCGATATATACTCAATGCATAGATTATATATATAAACAATCGAGCAACAAAAACGGATCAACTTTTTGTCAGCCAATTGTCAAATTTGCCGACTCGTTTTTTTGTTGGTATTCTATATATTTACGAACAAAAAGTATTTTGACTTATTATTTAATAAATAAAATGCAGAAATTATAAGACAAAATAAATATAGAAGTTATGATAGAATCACTTATTATTTATGATAGATAGATAACCTTCAAGATAAGAGCATATTCTTTTTTAAAAGGCCGGCAGCACACCAGCAATGCCGTAGGTGTTGTGGGTGACCATGGGCGGCGGTAGTCACTTACCATCAGGTGAGCCGCATGCTCGTTTGCCCCCTGTGTTGTAAAAAAAAAATAATCTTATAACTAATTGTCATGCAAAATTGTATGAAAAAGTTGACCCGTTTTTCTCGAAACATTTGTATGGAGACACTCTATCTTATATAATCTAAGACTCATTTGATACACATTATAAATTATTAACATCTAGACATCCAAATATAACAAATATGAAATTTACTAAAATTGTAAAAAAAAAGTATGTAAATAAACGATTTATACTCGATAACTCATAGATGGTTAAATATAAAAATAAAATAGATACATAATTTATAAATCACGTTCAAAATATTTACTGTTCAAAATTACAGTTTCATAAACATGTATTTCTCTTGACAATACAAGTATTACACAGTACAAGTTTACACTACTTAATCACAATTCGAATACTCAATGTTGATGGAAGTAGAAATATAGGGCTGTCAAGAGACGAAATCTAGAGTTTAAGAAACATTTCACATATCAAATTGTTAGTATTTTTGTTTACGACAGCTGCGCAGTGACAAACTAAGAATACAAAGTGTCAACCCTACTTTTATTCCCATTATGTCGTAATAGGGTGAATAGGGAACAAAGCATATAAGTGCAAGAGAAAGAAAGAACTAGAAAGAATCTTCTGTTTTATATTATATGCAAAAGCTGTCCTTTTATGTATTTCTTTCACTCCGAGGCGTCTAACACTAAAATCACGCACTTTTTCACTAAACTTATGTAGTTGACAGCACTCAGGTAATAAAATATACTATACATCTATTAGTTACCATTGATTTTCAACTATCACTCTCTCTTAATAGGCCTCTTGCAGGACACAAGCATGGAACATGGCTAAAAGGGGGCGTTAGCGCAGTACACTATTTCAATTATTTTTTGTTATATTTTATTTTACAATCTTCACCATTCCCCCGGCCTTGAAAAGTCGTCGTTATCGACACCAAAGCATTATTTGCGATTAAACAGTGACGTTACATCTTTCATATGCGATTAATATCACTAGAAGTATTTTTTATTTAAAGTGTTAATGTTCCATTAATAGGAAATTAAGAATAGCTGCCTCTATGGTAAGTGAACAAGGTCATGCCATTTAGTTGCCCTCCTAAACGTATCCACATCCTGTCGTTTGAAGATATATGTAATTAGTTTTTCTATATTTGATACAATTATTAAACAATTTTAGGATTTTTGTTTTTATTAAATAAGTCATTTTAAAATAAATTGCAAAAAAAAAAAAAATTATATGTATTGTTCTTTCAATAAAAATACACGAAGCCATTGTTACTAACTGTGATAAAAAATATAGAAAAACCAATTACAAGATTATATTATCTATTAATTATTATTCCCTTACAATATTCCTTTAAATACAAAAATATATATGTATATCTAAATATATGTATGTATTGCCATAATCGTTTTCGTGTATTTAAAAATATAATCTATTTTCTATAAACTACAAAAAAGGTATATGTTACGCTTACTTACTTTATTTATATACGAAGACATCTATCTACTTTTATAGCACGAATAGCACGCGGTATTAGGAATGGGTAATTTATATATAGCAATACCTATATATTTCATTTACAATATCTATATACTGCGAATATATATATTAGGTGGAATAAAGATTATTATTATTATAGATTATTATTTATATTAATTACCGACCGGTACGGGCGATATCGGAATAGGTAATGACCTTTATTCCACGATCAATGTGCAAAAGCACCCAATACATAGATATTGAAGCGGTACCTATATCACCCACGCCTACGAGGAATTAATAAGTTAATAATTGACAAAAATAATACTCTTTAAAATTTCTGGTAGATTACATTAAATTTTGAAGACTGCAATATTCCTGAATTTTAACAACTAAAATATATTACAACATATTCTGTTTTTACCCAATGGTTAGCTGGTAGAGAATGCCATATGGCATTAAGCTCGCCATTTGTACAAAATTTTACTGTGCAATAAAGAATATATAAATAAATAATATTACAACATTATATAAAGCAAGTTTTTTTTTTTAATTAAAAAATACATAAATAGTGTCACCACTACACCCTACCTTTTATGTCTATTATTTACTCTAAATAAACGAAACAACGAAGTGTAAATCGAATTAATTTTTCACTAAAAAACAATATTTTTAAAATCTCCTAATTTAGACGCTATTCGGAAGCATAGTAATAAGAGGCCGACATCGCTTTTTTGATAACGAGAAGTCCGTTCCCAACAGTGGGACGTTAATGGGTTATAATAGCATGGTATAATGTGCGTCTATTTATAACACTTTCAATTTATATCAATTATTTATCGAAAAGAAATTTACATTATTTTTGACAATAGCAAAATAGTTGACAATAGAGGCAAATAGTCATTTATCTGCTATTATAGTTTTCAAAAGAAACAAATAGTCCACTATTTGTAACTATTGTCAACTATTGAAGTAAATAGTTGACTATAGATTAAATAGTTGACAATACAAATACATAATTGACAATAACAATAGTCGACAGTGTAATCAGACAGTTGACAGTGGAAATAAATTGTTAAAAATGAAATAAAACAGTTGACAATGGAAGTAAATAGTCAACAATAGAAGCGAATAGTTGACAATAGGACCGTGTTTCCGACTATGTGTAATTTTAAATACAAAATAGGGACTTAACGAGATGAAAAGTGGGCAATAAAGAAGCTGGTATGTAGGTACTATTTACCTGCAAAAGTTTTTTCACCGCGTCAAACTCCTATTATGTATTTACAGTATATGTGTATATGTTAGCTATAACTACGACTACGGCTACTATAATATGTATATATTTCACTACGTAAAGCACTAGCGCATGGCACTTACATTCTCGAATCACACTCACTTGGGTTTCTTACATAACTATTCTGATAAAATAAATTTTCGTTGTCGTTAAATGAATGTTACAATGTAATTCATCATGCGGTTAGTGATTTTAACGATTCAAATTATTTTTATTAGTAAGTTAGCGGGCTGACTGCCAAATATAGGCTTCATAGTTATATCAATTAATATTATAATTGTTTATATCGACTTTCTTCGACTATTTATGCCAGGTTGTCTGTAAGAGATTGCTTGTAGCGATAAGGCCGCCTTTTGTATATGCACATTCTGTATAAATACTCCTTGTATACATCTCTACTGTGCGCAATAAAGAGTTTATTATTATTATTTTATGTCTGAGGTGTGGCCCAACTAGTTTCCTGCTCAATACATGCCCTTGTTTATAATGATATCTTATAATAAATCAATTTATTCATTCACGAAGCTGTAATGTCTTTCAAACAGCTAAAATTACTTTAAAACATTATTTTGACTCTTTTACAGTATGTGAAGAATTGAATTTTTTTTTGTATTACAAATAGTACAATAAATTAATTCGTAAAAACAACGTAGAGGTTCATAACCTGTTAGAATATGTTCGATATTAACTGTTTCATCTCTTTCATTCGCGTTAAATTCGAAAGAGACATTGGATAATATGATAAAATATATTTCTTATGTTTTAATGATTAGTGCCATAAAGATGACGTATTTTAGATTTAACTACGTTAATTAAATAAGCAGAAGCGGTGTAATATAATTTTTAATAGCTTCTCTCTCAGTCGCCATCAGACTTCCACGTATTTTTCTCCACAGTAGACAATAAAAATTCTTTGTTTTTGCTTTCATATAACACGAGAGACAACATACAAATCACAATTTTTGGCGCAAGATAACTCTCCTTTGTTTAAATAAACAACAGCTACCGTTAGAACAACTAATTTCGTATTAAAATTTCTTTGTTTAGATGAGTCATAAGGTGATATGATATGTAGGGAAATTAGAGTTAGGGCATATAGTCAAGACTGTTGTTAGTCAGCCGACTGATTGTTGTAGTTGACACTGTTGTTAGTCTGTCCGCTCCACTTGAAACGTGCGATAAAGAGATATGTAAGAAAATTGTGGGTATCTGTAAGAGGTTTACTAGCTTTGGTCACCATACCAAATATATATATATACAATTAGTGTTTTCCCCATCGGCAACTCTATGTAGCATGCTTGCGAGTATTAAACCCGCAAAATAATCATGTTTTAGTAAAGGTGGGAAAACTAAAAACGCAATTTATAGAAATGTTTAAAATAGCTATTTACTCCAGCAATTTGTAATAATAAGTAATAATACATATTTGCATAATAAATATCCGGACAAAAATTTAAAATCTGTCCAAAGTAGTCGTTCGTCTTCGTCCACGCGGACAAAGTCGCGGGCTAAACTTAGTATACATATATATATACACACACAATTATTTAATTAGTTGTAATTTTGAAATGTGTGGTTTATATCTCATCACTGCGTGATGTGTTAAAATACTAATAAACTCTATCTATCATATCTATCACTTTTTTGTGATAGGACTACTAGATAGATAGATAGATAGATAAACACTTTATTTGAGCCATTTAACACACGTAAATTAATAAATAAAATGAAACAATTTGATTATTTACATTTTTTCAAATATAAAACAACATATAAAACAAAAAAATTAATATTGGAGAAATGTTTTCAGCAAGTGTGTCGCAGTGACCCAAAAAGGCTACAGCTCAGTGATACCTTTGCTTAAAAGCAAAGCACTGATTTTCAGCTACAACCTGAAGTAAGGCTACACGGACGCGTGCAACAAACCCAGAGTGTTACCAATTTAACCTTTTATTTTGACCTGACTACTATTTATGTTTCTACATTCTTTACCAATATATAGACTTATATTCCGTGTGAAATAAATTTGTTATAATTTACATAACATTGTTAGTATCACTATACGCAGTTGTTAGTAATACACTAACAACTACTACACTAGCTGTTAGACAATTAGAACTAATCTATGTTGTAATCAAGTCTGTTGTCAGTCTAACAACTGCCTACTCTTTTTGTTAGTTGTCTGACTTACAACAAAGCTGACTATTATAATTAGCTGCCATTTTTTTATTGTATATTCATACATACATATATATCAGGGTAGGCAGAAATAATAATAATAAACCTGTGACCGGGTGATGTCTGTACATGGGAGATATTTAAATAAAAAAAAATTATATAATGGGTCTTAATATTTTTAAGAAATATTGTCTGCCCGTCTGTTTGTATGTTTGTTCCAGCAGCACGGAAAAATTACTACACCAAATTGGATGTGATTTTCATTATTGTTTTCCTAAAGGTCTAATTTTAAAACAGTTGTGTGTTTACTCGGTGCCCCAGCTAGAAGGGATCTGTTTCATTCTTTTTCTTACTTCTAAAATCCACGAGTCAAAGTAGCGGACAGAAAGTTACAATAAATAATTATATATATAATTTGCGACAATTTTTATCACAAGACTAACAACAGTATTTTTCATTAAAAATGAATCTATTGTCTAATAAATATATGTAAAAAAACGTTTTCTCGTTAAATAATAGTAAATGTAATTAACAAGTCTTGACTTTAATATGCTCTGGCATTTAGGCAGTATTAATGACTAGATACATGTCAAGTTGCCATACTGTCGTTGTAACGATGGTCGATGTAATCTAAAAATGTTGCCATCTACATAAAAAAAAAAAAAACGATAGCTGCACGCGTGTACGCACGATGGTAGTCCCATGCATAAACCGGACATTGGTTCAGTGTAGATGTCGCTGCTATCGACGATGCTGACCTCTGAAAATTAAAATTAAGTTTTTCACAGTAAAATAATAGTAATTAATAGAAAAATATATTCAATTGAACTATTTGTTTGTTTTTTTACGCTGTTATATCAATAAAAAGATATTTCAAGCGTTTCTTGTTCTACTCTATTGATAATGTTTGTTAGTTTGTTTAGATTAATACAGCCTAGAATGGCAAACAAGCTGACGGCCCACCTGATGGAAAGTGATAGTGATGCATGGGGGGTATCCCCATGCGTTCACATTCCTGAGGACTTAGGTGTTATTCCTCTGTACCCTGTCAATTCACGTTTTGCTAATAGTCGCCACACTCGGCAACCACAGTTAGGTTTTAGTGACGTTTTAAAAAACAACCATTAAGTACCCTTAGTCCGCTTCTTACGACCCACGTGAAAGGAAAGTGTGGCCTGTTCTACGCTGGGACCACACGTATGTTATTCAGAATACATTGGTGTAAATGGTTTTGTTTGTATGGTGATGGTGCGTACCAGCAGTGGTGCGGCGGCCTATATCTGGTACCAGGGCGAGCGCCGCACCCAGCGCAGCCGGTAGCCGCCCTGCTCGGTGCGGATCTTGATGGACGCGCCCTCCGCCGCCTTCACCGTCTCCTTCACCTGCACAGACAAACCAGGAACGTAGCAACTCACTTGCCAACTTTGTATTTAATAGACTAATAGATACTCTTTACTATTCCCCTTCAGAAGATCACAATAGCAAACTGATCATCATCATCATCATCATCATCATATCAGCATTTAACTGTCCACTGCTGAACATAAGCCTGCCCCATATGGGGAGTTTTGTCAGTAATTGCCACGTTTAGCAGGCGGATTGGCAACTGCAGTTAGGCTTTTAGAGACGTTTTAAGAGGAACGCTGCTATCCATCCCTCGCCCTCCCTCAGTCGCCTCTTACGACAGTCACGGGAAAGGAAATGGTGACCTATTCATGCCGGGACCACACGGTGAACGGCGACGTCACTTCGATTATTCACTTGTAAAGCGATTTTAAAAAATGTTTTTAGCGATCGACAGGTGTTACTCCCTTGTCGTCCCAAAAATTAATGTATTCATGCATGTGTAAGCGACGCGTTCTGTGCCTCAAAACTCAAAAGTTTGTCTATGTCATTGTCTATGCTTGCGGTCGTTTAAACTTATAATTGGCGCAACGGACGCCACGCACCAGTCTGCAACTAGATACGATCGACACCACACGTCAATTTATTTATTACCTGTAATTAACGATTTAAAACGTAAAATAAAATCCAATTGTTAAAGTCTTCGTTTTCTTGCCATCATTCGTGACCTACCATATTCCATACCATACACATGGATACTTTCAGGTTTGTTTGAATCGAAGCATTTGGCGTTCCCTTGTTTCCGCCTACCCTAATAGGAGACAGGCGTGACAAATATGTATGTATGTATGTATGATACTTTCAAGCGACAAGTGAAAGATTATCTTCCCTCTATCTGATTGGTTTAACACTTGATAAATTGGCATTCTTTATGTATTTACATAATTATTTATTTTATGATAGTTTGTTTTCCTTGTGCTTATAATTATTAGGTACATATTTAACATATATGTATACGATTATATATTGTAATTTTTTTTTTTTTTTTAATGGATGATAATGGGATGGTAACCCCACCCGCGCTATTGGTATACACCGGCGGGGCACCAGTGAAAGATGATAGGTGAGGATGAAGTAGGTCAGTTAGCCCATTGTGACGAATTCAACAAGAATTGTTCACAATGGTTTCCAGGGGGAACCACGTGGAGGTCGACCTAATAAGGCATATTGCTAGCAATGGGGCTGTCAAACTCCATTGCTAACAATCCCTTTCCCCCCAAATATATTGTAATATAGTTAATTATTTCTTATTTTTATTTCTTAATTTGATAAAGGTACTTTCTCAATTATACAGTACTACCATACCTACTTGTACAACAATTAGTCCATTACCTTAAGGTTGTCTTGAAGAGATTGCTCTCAGCAATAAGACCGCCTTACTGTACTTGTACAATTGTATCGTTACATTTATTGTCTTGTTTTTCCCCTATATTGTATAATGCAAATAAAGTATACTCGTCCATTCATTATTTACTGCTAAATTCGCCACTTTACTTGTTCTTTTTAAATTGATTTTTAGTCAAAATCATTTATAACAGCGTTGTACTTACACTCTGCATCAAGTTTTGTGCGTTGCCGACCAGCATCTCGGTGGCTTCCTGGTCCTCTTCGCTACCTGCAGCACGACACAAACATATTACTAATATAATAAAATAACCCAACGATATCAGTGCATGGGATATATTAAAGAAACAATAAATAAAATTGGAGATATTAATAAAACAATTTGAGGCTAAAATAATGATTAATAAAAAAAATTGTTGGTCTGTCTGTCTGTATGTGAATAACAATGAAATGAAAAATTATGTTACTTATTTTATACATTTTCTTTTAGTTTTTTTTTTTTTATTTTTTTATATGTATTCTTATATTTCTTTTACTTGTGTATGTTGTTATTTGTGTGCTGTAAGTAATGCAACTAAATTATCTATCTATCTATGTTTGTTTCAAAATCACGCCAAAATGACTGCGATAAATTAAAAATAAATATTGACTCAGTGTTTAATTTCACATTGAAAAAAAAAACACATAATAATAAAAAAAAATTGACAATAAACAAAAAAAAAATGAAAAAATAAGCATTAAAATGGTGTCACTCAGCTACATGCTCTCTGCATGCACTCTGGTGTAGTGATTTACTTGAATCACCTACCTTTATAGTCCGCCATGCCGACTGGTACGGAGGCAACAGGCAATGTGTTAAACATTAGCGGCGACAAGCATATACATAACATATACATATAGTAATATATATTTAGTTTAACATATACAACATATACCTCTCTACTCATACTCTGTTTGAATCATAGATTATACTATTTGCTCTTCTATTGCAGTTGTTTTATATAGTAATATTTTATGTATTTATTTATTATATGTATATATTTATGTAATATATTACGTGTATGTTTATAATATCGTCACAGTCGTAGAATACTGACGGATCTGACAAAGATTACATATAAAGATCCGTCAGTATTCTACCACTATGACGATATATGAATATATCAAGCATTGCTTTATTACTCCTCTATTCAATAATGCACCGCCTACTTATTTCTCTGTTCGCCCAATGGTCGACTGGTAGAGAACACATTTTTTTTTTTTTTTTTTTACAACACAGTGGGCAAACGAGCATGCGGCTCACCTGATGGTAAGTGACTATAGTTTTCATAGTTTGTCTCTTTTCCTTAACCCTATGCAGGACATTCTCATTACTAAATGGATCTCTGCAGCTGACTATGGAAGACGATAGACATGTAATATTGGTATGCTGTAATGTCGTACGAACTGACCTTGCGCGCCCAGCATGGTCGCCTTCACGGTGGACAGTATCTTGAGTTGAGTGCCGATGGTGGGGATGCGCTCGCACACTTGCAACAGGTTCTGAAATATTTGCATACATTTGAATAAGTTTTCCAAAATTCTCGAATTTTGTATGTATGGAGTCTCGGATGTACACTATATATATATATATATATATATATATATATATATATATTAAATGGTCGCGTACCGCGCGGTTTCAGAGACGTTTCTTCCCACGAACACTCAGGTTGTGGAATGACCTCCCTGCCGAGGTTTTCCCAAGAGACTACAGCACGGGGTTCTTCAAAAGGGGGATAAAAAGGTTTCTTCAGGGTCGGCAACGCACGCGTAATACCTCTGGTATTGCAGGTGTTCATAGGCTACGGTAACCCCACTTACCATCAGGTGGGCCATATACTTGCTTGTCACCTCAGTGGTACAATATATATATATCAACACTTGTAATACAAAATCAAAGGTGATAGAACATCGTTGATGCAAATCCTGATAAGTGTGGTGTACGTGAATTTTATGCAATTTATTTAAATTATACATTTTAAGAAAATACATGTTAAAAAGACTGTCTATGTAATGTCAGACATGTTTTTTTTATACAACTTAGAATGGCAAACAAACTGACGGCCCACCTGATGGAAAGTGGTAACCGTCGCCTATAGACATGAGCAGTACCATGGACATAACAGAGTATACTGTTTCGCCCATGATACCCTCCATGCGTTGCCATTCCTGAGGACTTAGGTGTTATTCCTCTTTACCCAGTAAATTCACATGTCTTTTAGTAGTGTAGTGATAAGCTCCGCTCGCATCGTAGGGCGGACACTAGACGACGACCCCCCACCTCGCTGCCCTACCTGCACCAAGCTCTGTCATCAGGCACGGGCTGCCGGCTGGCGGTATACTCACGGTCCTGATCCTCTTGTCGGTGCACTCGAGCGCCAGTTTCTTGGCGAGGCGCGTGACCTCCTCCGACGCCTCCGCGATCGCCTTTGCCGTCGCGATCAGCTCGCGCTTGCTGCCTGCGGCCGCAAAATCAAACAATGCAATAGTTCTTTGAAGATATTGTTGTAGATAAAAATGTGTTCAAATGATGACTGTACAAATATACAAAACATAATATATATATAATGTTTACTAATACATATATTTGTTTTAGGATGATTAAGACGTACGTGAAGAGTGGGGGGGGGGGGGGGGGTCGACTCTGAGACGTAATTTCATTAAATCTATCTATCCTTGTTCAATTCTTTATTTTAAGGACCGATATGACCTAAATTTATAGTTCATTACTGCAGCGACCAGCAACTGAGGCATTGATGGACGAACGGGCAAATGTGGGCCGAGGCGTAGCCGAGGCACACATACGTGAGTTCATCAATGCCTAGTTGTGGCCAAGGTTTGTATAGTACTTTTCTCAAACAATGCGCGGAAATCAAAAACACAATTTTACTTTTTAAGTTCAGTGACGAATAACGAACAATAATAATTTTTCACGCGCCATAATGTTCCTTTGTTTTTTTTTTAATAAACAGCTTTCTATTTGCAAGCCAGTTTGAAATTTAAATAAAACCTTTTATTAGTTACCTCCTTGGTAGCCATGTTTCGAAGTAAAAGGTCATTCCATTTTTAAATTACAGGACAGATGAGTTTACATAGTAATTTATCTGGCCGCAAAACACGACAGATATGGATTTTCAAACAACTTTTGCCGGCCGCTGCCTGCATGTATCTATCCAGTACGGAAATTTTGATTTATCTCGAAGAAGATTGTCAAAATAATGCTCACATTTCCAAGCATGTTTGAGAAATAATATATTTAAATCAAAATTATTATATAAATCAATTTAGATTATCGCAGTTGCGAAGTACAGACCAAATACATTATTTATAGCTTTATATTATTATTTACCAAATTCGAAAAAAAACACGCATCTCTATTGTTTTTCTTTTGGCTCGCCTTCACGACCCAAGTCTTCTAAGTTCCTTTGACCAATATACAATACATATATTTCCAATTTCCATTCCTGGTTTTTTTTTGTCGCCCATAATGGTTAATAAACCAGTAATTTCACAAAACGATTAAATTAAAATATTAGTTTAAAAGACAGATTTAGAGAAATGGTGCTTCAGAATCTACCCCCAGCGTCTTCAATTATCCATTTAAATGTAACTTAAGTACATTGGTTTAGCTCTCACATCTTTAATAATTCATAATTATATTTAGAACCCTTTAGGTCAATAGTTCTTATAATTTTGTGTATTGTGTACTTGGATGAGGATGAGTCTTAGGGGATACTTAGCGGTGGACAGACGGATGAAATGATGACACTTATGTTAATATACAAGCAAGTGATATACAGGCGATGACGATGTATGTAGTTATGTATATATATATATATATATATATATATATATATATATATATATATATATATATATATATATATATATATATATATATATATATATATATATATATAAGTAGGGATATATATTACATTATTACATGTATCACATCTCCATATTTAGAAGTAATAGGATCTTTATCGTGCCTTCGATCAAACAGTTTATAATTATTCCTCTCCATCCAAAGGTAGCCTGGAAGAGATCGCTTTTAGCGATAAGGTCGCCCATTGTTTTCTCATTGTGATTGTTTCTTGTAATTGTTTATATTTATAATAAGTTTACTATTGTAATCTTTTGGAGGAAACAATAAAGTGTATCTATCTATCTATGTATATAGCGTGGCATATATATACAAGCAACTTACCGCTCAAGTTCATAGCGACCTCTATACGTCCAGTTAGCAATGCACAGATATACATGGTGAGTACACAACATTGATCACGCGTATAGCGCACAGTATTCCATTATATAGATAGAGTGTCTCCGTACAAATACCTCGCTAAGAAATCTACTTTTTTATGCAACTTAGAATGGCAAACAAGCTGACGGCCCACCTGATGGAAAGTGGTAACCGTCGCCTATACACATGAGCTAAGAACAAGGAATTACATAGAAGGAATGATAAAATAAAAACTGTAAATCATATGGTTGCCTCCATTCTTCCTATGCAAATATAATTTTAAAAATTAGTAAAAAGAGGACGAAAGATACACCATCAGTTGCTATTTTTGCTGCTAGTGTATGGAAAATGTTTGATATGTTAATTATTAGTCAATGACAAATTTTACATTACTAGATTATATATTGGACACAGTTTATGTGGACAATATGCAAGCAGGTTGTATCTGAATTTGGTAGGGTTATACGGCCGTATAACATTTTCTATACACTAGGCTGCTATGAATTGACAATTTTATCACTCCTTCTATGTAATTCCTTGTTCTTAGTACATGAGCAGTACCATGGACATAACAGAGTATACTGTTTCGCCCATGATACCCCCCATGCGTTGCCATTCCTGTTCATGCCTATAGGCGACGGATACCACTTTCCATCATATGGACCATCAGCTTGTCTGCCGTTCATAAAAAATGTTCCTAATTCAGATTTAAAAAATCGTCCTGATCCGGGAAATTTTCAATTCAAATACTTGCAACACTGAAAAAAGCACGTTTTTTTGATTAACAAAAAAAAAATGAGAAAGACTAAATTTGATCTGTTTTTGACACTCGATGCTCTATCTACATAATCTAAGCGCGTAATATACATATACCGAAAAGAGTTAAAACATGCTTTATAGTAATTACAATAAGATTCATTTTGTATCACCTGCCAATGAAAATATGTTACTTTGTTAATAGAACACCCTTCAGATCTAAAACATCTCATTAATCTCGGCGGGTTATATCAAAAGCAATCGTATTACAATGCATGTAAAGCAGCTTTTTAACTCCTTGTTTAGATACAAAATACAACAATATAAAAGCAATTCCGAAATGTATTACACTAGAGCAGTGTTTTTCAACGTGTGGGTCGCTTCTAGCCTAAGCTTCTATACTTATAGGGAAATCACGTAAACTATCTCAGTAAAAAACAAAGGTCTAAAAGTAGATTTATTATAATGATAATTAAAACATTTGTATGTTAATACAAATTAACACAAACATTTTTTATACAACTTAGAATGGCAAACGAGCTGACGGCCCACCTGATGGAAAGTGGTAACCGTCGCCTATAGACATGAGCAGTGCCATGGACATAACAGAGTATACTGTTTCGCCCATGATACCCCCCACGCGTTGCCATTCCTGAGGACTCAGGTGTTATTCCTCTGTACCCAGTAAATTCACGCCATAGTCGTGTCATGGAAAAGGTTGAAAAACACTGCACTAAAGTGTATTATACAAGTGGTTCGCTAACGAGATACTGACGAGTTATTACAAGTAGTGGCGATAACTATGTACAAACGAAGTACAAATATAAACCGCTAACATAAACACATCTACGTATTAACACTGTTTATTATACATTTATTTTGTAAGTAGGTTTTTAGAAGCTATTTTACTTGTATTTAAAGGATGAAAATGCGTAAAAAATAAATACACTTGCGATTGGGTTTATACGTTAACGGGGTGCTGGTTAGGTGAATACAAAGATAGGTCAGTTAGTTTATATATAAATGAATTAAGCTAGTTTATAGGGGATTAAGGATAAGCAAGCTAAAATGGTAATGGGCTGGTCACATGGCTCGAAGAACCGACAACCGATGGGGAAGAAAGGTTCTTGAGTTGCGACCACGTATGGGTAAACGCAGTGTAGGATGACCCCCACTGGAGTGTGGACACACGATGGAGTGACGACATTTTACCAAAGAGAGACTTTGTACAAAAGTCGATTGCTTGGGTACCTCTGTCCTATTCGTGTTTCAACCGTGAAGCAGTTGTGTTTGCATGGCTGTGTTTCGGTTTGAAGGGTGGGATATGGTAGTGAATTTACTGGGAACAGAGGCATAACATCTGAGTAC